GAGCTCCGCCAGGCACGTTCAGCGTCGGCACAGGGGGTGGGGGAGGAGGGGGAGGAGCGGAACCGCTGGCTCCAGTGCTGGGACCGCCTTTGACCTGTCTGAGGGCTTCCAGCGCATCGATGCCGCTCTGCTCATTCCATGTCAGGCCCTTCGGGTAGTGTTTCTTGAGATAGGCAGCAAGGGACTTGAAGACTTGATAGTAAGATTGGATGTACTGGACGTGAGTCTTATCCCTAATAAGAACGTAAGTACTTTGCTCCGTGCGTGAAGATGATAAAGGTCTTACTTTTCCTTGTACTCCTTCAAGACCTTGTTACCATAGTATTCAATGCCACCAACAATCTCACTAACAAAATCTCCTGGCTTAAACTCAAAGAACCATCCCAGAGCCACGATGCCTTCCGCGACCGCACTGAGGTGGTTGAAAAGAGGAGAGGCACGATTCGACTCGCGGATCATATTGATAGAATCGGAGGCAGTGTGAAGCTCAGTCATGAGCTCTGGGGGTTGGGGCTCGGGCTTCTTCGCCTTCGTCGAGACATAAAGGTAGGTGCGCTCGGCTTCAAAAGCTTGCAAGACAGCTTTCGACTACAAACCCAGTCAGTAATTTGTCACAACCGCAATATAATGACGTTCAGTTGGGGAGCCTCACTTGCTCAGCAACAAGGTCTCCAATTTTATATCCGAGGTCCACGAAGTTCCGCACGTCTTTGTTAATCAATGTATCGAAGTCTTCAATTTGAGGCGGGACGGCAGGAGCTGCAGGGGTCGGGGGCAAAGCTGGCTTGGGCGGTTCAGGAGCGACGGTCTCGGGGGCAGCGGCGGCATTCAGTGTTTTCGGCGAACTGGGATCATCCAGTCCCATAGCCATATCCTCCAGGCGGGAGGTTGCGGCTTCCAGCCTATTACATCATTAATATAACGAAACATATGAGTGAAGCGCATGATAGGTGCTCCGCATGGCAGCTTCCTGTGCCCTTCGCTGGGGCAAGCTGGTTTGGGATCGTACCGCTTAATAAGGGTAGTTAGGTTATGCATATGGCTGGTCGCCATCTTGAATGGCCCCTATAAAAACAAGGGAGGGGGTCCCGAAGACAACTCAAGAGGGATGAAAGATACAAAGAGAGGAGAGAACCCGACACCTCAAATGGAAGTTACAGAGGGACAAGTGATAGAACACTTGCCCGTAACTATGAAGTAAGCTGTGACTGTTGGAATCGTAAGTTGCAACGGTGTCGGTTCCCAAAAGATGATGCTCCTTATCCCGTGCCTGAGGCCCGGAGCTCCACGAGTGGATCTTTACCGTACAGTACACAGTCGTGGCTGTTTCGTATATTGTACATTATGACGTTGGCGGTAAATTTTGGTAATTCAACCACATTGTACGGAGTAGTTATGGTATTCTTTAGATGCGATAAGAACTTCTACTACGGGTACTGAACCCCGCCAATTTGGACCTTGGTTACGCATTACTACCTAGCAATAATGACAGGGCAAAGCGGCCCTCCATCTTTTGACAGTGATGTGGACTTTTGCACACTGGGCATGTTCATCCTCGGTATGCTATAACACGCCTAAATCGGATGAACTGTCGAAACCCTACGGTATACTTACGAAACTCCTTTGTCTCATGCAGATGATATTGACTTCGGGGGCATTAGACCTAATGTCAAGAACATCCTCGGGGGTGCAGCGTCTTTCGCGGTTGTCGGTGCTCGTCTAGTCGCGGGAAAGGAACACTCCCACTCTGTTAGCTGGATTGTTGATGTTGGCTCTGACTTCCCCCCCGAGGTTCTGGATGTCATCAATACCTGGGGCACGGCATGTGTGATGAGAGAAGACAACAGCCGATTAACCACCAGGGCTTGGAATGGCTACGGTCCCAATGAGAAGCGCGGTGAGTACCTGACCTCCTTGCGCATGAACACCAGAAAGGATACTGACAGGCTACAGACTTCAAATATTTGACCCCTAAATTACGGCTGGAACCTTGGATGCTATCCGATTCCCAGGTGTTCTCAAAGACATTTCACATGGTCTGTTCAGCAGAACGTTGTGTGTCTATTGTGCAAAATATACTGCAGCGACGAGAAGAACTACGACAAGAAGGCAAAGCACCTTCTAGCAGCCAGGCTTCGGAGAGGCCTTTCTTTGTCTGGGAACCTGTGCCTGATCTCTGTACACCCGAAGAGCAAGAAAAGTTCTTTGTCGCAAACCGGGTAGTAGATGTGGTAAGCCCTAATGAACTGGAGCTGGGGATGATGTTTGGACAGACGGGGTGGAACGAAGAGAGCGAATTCGGGAAAGATATCGTGAAACGCATCCTTGATTCGGGCATTAGCCCGAACGGAAATGGGCACTTGGTTATTAGAGCAGGAAAAGACGGAAGCTATACATTCTCAAGAGGGCAGAGGATATGGTTGCCCGCTTACCATCAGCCAGATACTTCAGCAAATACGCCAGTAGTCGATCCGACTGGTGCAGGTAATTCTTTCTTGGGTGCACTGACTCAAGGAATGGTGACTGCTGATAGGACCCCAGCCAAGATCGTTGGCTCAGGGCTTGCAGGGTCTGCTGTCTGGGAGATGGCATTGGAAGCGTTGGGCAAGCAAGCTTATATACTGTCCTCTCTGATATTCGCCACTGTTGCTGCAGGTTTCGTGGTGGAGCAGATTGGAGTACCCCATCTTTCTACGTCTACCGATGAAAGAGAACTTTGGAACGGAACTGAATTCACGGAACGGGTCCGTCTGTACACGGAGCGATTGTATCGAACACTCGAAGAGTCTCCCCAGAAGCACTTGCAGATCAATTGACCGATTGAAGAACGCCCTTCTATTGTCGTACAGCCCACAATAATATGAAACAAATACCTATCATGCCATATAAACCTTCCGCAGGGTTTCATTGTAGCCCATGCTCCTCCTTTATGACTCGTGCTTTGCAGCTTGCTGTCTCTCATGTTCGATAATCTGTTTGCTCCAGCTGTAGTGGAACAGTAGAATGTTAGTATGTGCAATCTTTGGCAGTGAAGTCCTCCGGTGATGAACTGACTAGCGACTGGGGAAGAATCTGCCAGGCTCTGGCATCCTGTCACGGCGTTCCCGGTCGGCACTAACGCTCCATGTCACGGCAACGATTCCAATAACAACCGCTCCCATGATAGCAGTGTTGGCCCTCCAGTTTGCGGGCTGAGCGTACCAGCCTCCAGCGGGAGACCAGACTTCCTTGGGATACCTGAGAAAGCGATCGGTCAGCCTCACACGGCATCAGTAATTCAGGGAGTATCAATCGCATACGGGATCTTGCCGCCTCCACCCATTGTGGTCGGAGTAGAATTGAACAATGGTAGGGAAAGAACGTGGGCGATAGCTTGCTAGGGAAGCGTTGTTCTGGCGGGTTGAAGCCGAAATGGCCGTCGACGTCCCTCGTCCCAGAACCCGTGACGCTAGTGCCATGTACGGTTTAGCGTCACAATGGACTTTCTCACACGACTCGCCGGTCCCGTGACTTCCGCCCAAGCTCGACTTTTCTCCAGCGGTCAAAAGTTCATACAATATCGACGTAGAAACCCCTACACTAAACCTCCACGCAACGCCCCGGGCAGTCCAATTTCGTTTTCGCTCCTTCCAATCGCCCTTCGGCTTCAGGTTTCCCACTCCCACAGTTGCCCAGATGAAGAGGCTGCAGCTCCAACGATGGAGTAGTTCGGTCCTTTCGCCGCGGGCCCGAACTGGTGGCCGCCTGCAGCAGCATCTGTACTATAATTTGCGTCGCCAATCGACCGTTCCATCTGCTCCTCAGGCGGAGAATGAGCCATTGTTTGAGGAACAATCGCTGAATTCGTCAACTCACATCCCCCAGTCCTCCCACTTCAAATACCTCCTCCCTTCTCCGCCGGTCGAGGCCGCACGCGAGTCCGCAAAACTTGCCGCCCTTCATGCACGCCTGTACCTCCCCTCCCGACTACCGCTCGAGACATTAGCACGCTCTCTGGTCGATTCTTCAGCCGATCCGAATCCTAATTTCAACAATGAAGCGCTGGCTTCGTTCGGCCATGACCTCCTGAGCCACTACACCTCCGAACACCTTGTTTGTACATATCCTCGCCTCCCCTTAACCGTCATCTTCGCAGCAATGTATGCGTATGTCGGCCCCAAAACTTTGGCTGCAATGGCAAAGGAATGGGGTGTTGAGATGGCTGCAGTGCCTGGTGGGGAGGTTGATCCCGGTCTCTTGCAATTCAAGAGAGTACTCCCAGGTACTGATGTGACGGCGGAACCAGTTACTGGCACAGAGAGACCCAATGAGCACCGGAAATCATGGAGAAAGTCAATGACCTCCAGAGTTGTTTACGACAATGAGTACGGAGATCCTGTCGGGGCGTCTGGCGAGTCGGCCGCCCCGGAATCACAGATTACTCAGGGTGTTACTGCAGAACACGCCAACGCGACTTTTGTGCGTGCTGTGATGGGCGCCATCTATCTTCATGCCGGTAGGCCCGCTGCCAAGCGATTTTTTGAGCAACATTTCCTCTCTCGTCACCTCAACATCTCGGACCTATTCAACTTCTCCCAGCCGGCTCGTGACCTTTCCCGGCTGTGTGCGCGAGAGAACTTCGAGCCACCTGTCGCAAAGATCATCAGTGAAACTGGTCGCAAGAGCAGACACCCTGTCTTTGTCGTTGGTATTTTCTCTGGTCAGGATAAGCTGGGAGAGGGCGCTGGCGCCAGCCTGCTTGAGGCTCGATCCAGGGCTGCCGTGGCTGCGCTCAAGGGCTGGTACCTATACAGCCCATTGAATGTGCGTGTCCCTAGCTCCATGGAAGAAGAGGGCGCTGCACCCTGGAAGCCAGTCCACGTGGACTTGGGTGAGGTGATCGTGTAAGATGATATTGCAGAGAGAGAAAGAGACACGCGTCAACGTGGAAAAGGTGTTACATTATATGACATGACTTGTCGTCGACGGGAGCAAGAGCACATTACATATTATCTATTCGAATTTGCAAGAACAGGTTTTGTACAGTATGGGAAATCTATTTCATTCGTCCGATGTCTTCTGCTGAACCCTTTTTTTATCTTTATTTTTTAACTTTTTTCTCGTTTGTCTTGGTTACACTTTTGCATTTCCACCCCAATCCGATTTAGACAGGAAACGGTCCTTCGAACGGAGTCGTTGTAAGGGCTGATTCTTAGACAAAAGTACATAGATGTATGTACCGAATGAATGCATATTACATGACCTCAGCTCGCAGAGTACCTGATACTCGTAATAATCCACGGAAGTCTTACAACTGCAGGGGTGCGCCAACTCCACCAAAGATGCGATTTAAGGGAATCTACTCGGAGGGGTTGACAATCTCATCCTCCCAATTCCCACTGCTTCGGTCCGTGTTCATCTGACCGTGTTCATCGAGGTATTTGCCGTAGTCTTCCCAAAGCTCATCGACCCCCGACCCAAACAGATTCTTCCAAAAGCCAGGGCGCCCGTTTTCCAGTGTCTCGCTCTCCCCGATATATCCGCTCCGCAATAGCCGGTCGTTCAACATTCCAACTGCGCCTTTACCAATCCGCACATCCTCCAGCCACTCTAGGAAAAATGCTGTATGCTGATAGCCTTGGTCCCATTTCTCTGCTCTCTCTTGGGCGGATGCCGGACGTTTCCAGTGCGGCGGAACGAAGCCAGCTTTGAGACGCACAAAATCCGCGATGCCCTCGATCAGGCCTCCGGGCGGACGCGGCACCGAGACATTATCCTGGCGGGGTGCCGTATGCTGATAACAGTGGACCAGCTCATGGGTAAGGACACCGACTATCTCGGCTCTTGGATCGGGCAGCTTCATGGCGGTAAGGATATACTGGAGAGACACATGGATCTCCTTATGGTCATCGTCCAGCTCCATACCGGTCGTGTAGGCTACACCGCCAATGTCACGGAGAAAGAAGGTTACGGATCGAGTCGGCGGTATGGAGGGTGTAAAGGATGGGGTTGGAGCCTTGGATGTGGTGACGGCGTGCGGTTCATCTTGCGGACAGGGTGGAGTGTAGAGGTTCTCAATAATATCAGTTAGGGCTTTGTCGATAGCAGATGCCACGTCAGGTACGAGGAGTAAGAAGGCATCGGAGCCGGGGTGACGTAAATCATTGATCTGGAGACGAAGCTTGGGTTTGGGGGGCACAGTGGACCGCGTGTTTGTACTACTAGGGTCGGCTGGGGAGATGGCGGTGGGGAGAGTATGAGCATTGATAGGCGACATCTCGGTTTGAATGCCGTGCAATAATCGAATGAGCAAGGAAGCGCCCGGAGGAATGTAGGTACCGCGTCAAGGTATCCCCACAAGAGTCTGTAGGCGCGAGATATACTCTGACTGGAATGTTCGTCATACTACGGAGTAAATCTGGAGGCATGTACGGAGTAATCATGGGAGCTAAGTTGCCAAGAATGGCACTATAGAGTTCCATAATGGCCTCGCCTTCTCTAGTGGTCTTTTGAACCTCACTGGGGCTCACAAGTTGGGACCATCAAATAACCTTTAGTCTCATGGGAATCTTTCCTTGTAGTTGAGGCGGAATAAATTGCGCTACCACTGCACTGCACATGGTGTTGCGCCAAAGGCACATTTCTTGAGGTCCATTACGGTTCGCTCTTCTTCTCAGGCGGCCATTGGACCATTAGTGATATTCGACTCCTGACACCAACAATCAATCCGATCTGTTGGGTCAAGTGATAACTGCCGAAACTCTGGTCGTTATTTATTATAGAGGCGCTAGCTAGCGTCGTGGGCCTAGCCATAGCAAAAAGCTTCAAAACACAGAAGGTGGGTAGCACTGTTAACGACAATTTGGGATTTGTAGCCTTTTCCTGAATAGGCCCAATATAACTAATTCAGGAATTCGCTGTCACTAACTCCTAGTACAGACTACGGAATATAACTCCACTACGTGTAGTAAGTAAGGCAGTAAGTGTATTACTGCTAAGTGCAGTACAGGTTGCATGCGCCCAGATCTGTCCACAAGACCTAATTCGGTAGGCGCATGCTTCTTCAACCGAATCAGCCAATCGATCTATTCCAATTGTCCATCTATGGATCCTCCCCATATTACCCAGTACTGTAGTATGCCACCTTTGTGGCGGCTCTTTCTTGACATGACGCATGGTAGGTATTTGGTCCAAGTGTCCACGCCGACCGGCGATCATGTGGAGTAGCCAGACGGGCCTGTGGGAGGCCAATGATGATTGGATAATATGTCATTTAGATTGATTGAAATCTACTCCGTATTGTGGATTTGAAGAAAAAGAAAAAAAGAAAGAAAGAAAAAGAAAAAATTGTAAAACTATCTGTGATAAACACTTAGACCTAGATTAACGATTAAAGAAGTTTGCTGGACTTGGGAAATCCGGACCTCTGCGGAGCATAACATAGTGGGAAATATATATATACGTAATGAATGTAAACACAAAAGAAAGCAAACCAAGAATCGGCAGAGATGTACGTAGGACTGTGCAAATTCTATTGAAGTATATCATTTCAAATTCAGGCACTTAGATCTTAGTAAGCACAATGATGCGATCTTATCGATTTTTTTCTCTCTCTTTATTTGTACCTTAAGCCATTCTTTCTACATTGCGATCGTGATACTGCATGATAAATGTCGTTGGGCTGCAGAGGCCTCAGGCGCATTCGACCCCACTGACTGCGGTTTCCGTGGCCAATGTTGCCGGTAAACAAAGCGGAAAAAAAAGATCCAGGGAACCAACGACCCGACTCGGCTTCTTCCACTTCCTTCGCTTTGTCGCACGTCAACACTTGATTTTCACCGAAGGACTTCTTGAACTTCGGTTTGATTAAACCCTTATAAAATTGCTCGAATTATCTAAAGAGTGTGGAGTTCGAAGCGCTTATCGGCGCGTCTATTCGCTTATCGCTCCTTCCGTTGCGAACCCCCCCGTCGCCGCAGGCCATCCTCGGAAGTGTCGCCGTCAGGATAGTAGCTTCCTCCTCCTGATCATCATCTTCCTCAACTCGCACCTCCCCTTACACCGACCATAATAAAGGTATGTATGAGCTCCTTCCTCATCAATAGCTTCTAGATTGTTTGGCCTAGGATGTCTGTCCTTCTCCCTCGTCGTCTTTGTAACCATAACCATTCACACTCACATTAACGTTCACAATCGCACACTTGCTTTTGACGCACCTGTATCTAAATTTCAGCTTATGCTAATTATTCCAAATGGGTCTCTATAGCCTCGCCTCTTTTGTGACTGAACTCACATTCTGCATTTGGGTTTTGGCCCTCTACTTCACCTCCCCCTTTTACTTCTCCATCCAGGTTGGATGCCAACCTATCTCGACACTCAAGTTTATCTTGATCCTTTATGTGAAGACTATCAGACGTCTCCTCGTTTACTCCGACCCTGTCCTTCTATATGTCATCCGAGCTATCTGTCGTATTGAGCATTTTCTCGCACCCAACATGGAAGGAAAAGCTACAGAGCTACTGGCGGTCTTGAAGAACAATAACCTTGCGATTGATGTCAAGGTCAGCCACCTACTGGGCATCAAATCCGATATCAAACAGAAAAATGTTCCCGATAATGCAGTAGATTTGATTTTCGAGAGCCTACGACTAGCGATCTCATCTCATCACGCCGCCCTTTACGCAGCCGGTTTCTCTACACTTGGCCATTTCCTAAAGCGGCTGTTCATACAGGACCAGGCTCATATCGTCTCCGCTTATGCCCGTCACTTTTGCCCCGTACTTCTAGAGCGCTTGGGAGACCACAAGGAGCGTGTCCGCGCTCAAGCTGCTCAAATATTTACCGACTTATGGCCAGCTGCCAGCGCCGACGTAGAGCACTATGTGCTCGAAGTAGCCTTGACGGGTAAAAACCCCAAGGCCAAAGAGACAAGCCTGATATGGCTATCAAACGTAGGTTAATACCCTTCTACTATTGCATCATTTACCTAACCGGCGTTCGCAGATGTCGAGAAATCATGGCCTCCTTTTCCGATCATATGTGCCGAGCGTGGTTTCATGCTTAGAAGATGCAGATAGTCTCGTGAGACACACTGCCAAATTGACGGTAGTCGAACTATTTCAGTATGATCTCGTCTAGGGTTAAGTGGGTTGTTTAGGATCAATCGTGTGACTGACAGAGGGTTTAGGGATGCGCCTGCACGGGCTAAAGCAGACCTGACCAAAGAAATGGCTGCTCAAAACGTTCGTCAATCGATCGTGAATGCAGTTTATGCAAAAATCGGACTTGAAGACCACTCTTCAACAGCTCGCCCGCGCTCACGAGTAGAGCCTCGGTATACTCCCTGCGCGGATTCTCATCCTCTACGTTCTGCCTCTCGAGCAGAAGTCTTACACCAGCAGCCTGCTACCGTGGCCTCCTCAGCCCCCGTAAGACCCTCTAAAGAAGGTAAGTCTACTTCCCTCTGCGTTGATAACCATGATGTGCTAACGCTTGCCGGCCACACCAGTGATTGTGGAACCAGAACTGATCAAAAGCCGACCTGGCTCATCAAAGAGCGAACAGGAACGGACTACAGCCGCGACTCACGAAACAGAAAAAGTATCACACATGGAACCTGCCCAACAGAGCTCTCAGGATGCTGAAGCTCCTAAGCCGCTTCATGCCGAAACACCGAAGCACGTCGAAGATCTCTTCCGCGTGCTGTCTCCTGCTTTCGAGGGCCGCGAGTCCGAGGACAATTGGAGACACCGTGAGAAATACATTATTTCTCTCCGCCGACTTGTTTACGGCAACGCACCCCAGGACTTTCCTCAGCCATTCTTTACCGGGATCAAGTCGAATCTCGATGGTATTTTCAAAGCAGTCAATTCCCTTCGCACCACTTTGTCCTCCAATGGGTGCCTCTTGATACAGGATTTGGCCAAGATCGGCGGGCCCAGAATGGATCCGATGGTTGAGGTCATTATGCAGAACCTGGTCAAGCTTTGTGGCGGAATGAAAAAGATTAGCGCTCAAAACGGTAATGTCAGCGTCAACGACGTCCTGGCAAATGTGACTTACACTCCACGTCTCTTGCAACACGTGACGAGCGCATGCCAGGACAAGAACGTCCAGCTACGTCTCTATGCTGCAGGGTGGCTTAAAACCCTGCTCAACAAACAAAGCCACCACAAGAGCTCGCTTGAGCATGGAGGCGGCTTGGCACTTCTTGAGAAGTCCCTAAAGAGGGGACTCACCGATGCTAATCCAGGCATAAGGGAAGCGATGAGAGGCGCCTTCTGGACCTTCCATCGGATGTGGCCTGCAAGGGGCAACAAGTGAGTTATTCCTTTTCATTTCTGAGTGAATGGTTATATAACACCTCACAGTATACTATCCGATCTCGACAACAAGACCCGTCACCTACTCGAAAAAGATCCGGCGAATCCAAACCGGGATCAACTGAGCTACTTGTCAAGCGACACTCTCACTGTGCCTAGTCGCTCTGCCTTAAAAGAGGCCATTGCAGCGCACAAAAAAGCTCGTCTTGCGCCAGCCAAGACGTTACCCCCACGACCGGAATCAGCCCAGTCTTCGTTTGGTGAAACGAAGGCATCCGACCCCCCAGCGAAGTCTACTGGACGCACCGCCCGGGCACCTCTTTCTTCGCTTTCTTCGGCACCTATGCGACCTGGCGCTAAACCCCGCCGACCCGAACTGGCGCGCCCCGCGACAGCTGATCCATATTCTTCTCGAAAAACCACCTCCACAGACGGCGTTCAGGTTGACAGCTCGCCAAGACCTAAGAGGCTGGGGCAGGCGGCCAGCTCAACTAAGAGCAAACCCAAGAAACTCGATATTCCCATGGCAATGGCCATCGACCCAGTTGCACCTGATGCGATTAACGAAAATGGGACCCAGCCGACTAGTAAGGTTAGAAAGCGTTCCAGCTTGTCTGAACAATTCGCTGCGCTCAAGAGAGGTATTCGGGCCAGAACACCCCCCAAAACAACGCCGAAAGCATCCCCCGAAACATCTCCCGAAACATCTCCCAAATTATCCCCCCAAACACCCTCCAATGAGCCAGATGATTACGATATAAATGCCCTGGGCGAATTGTCTATCAATAAACCACATCGTCGCGACGAAACTGCCCTGGGAGAATCATCTCCCGATAAGCCAGGTCGTCACGAGGAGATTGCGCCGGGCGAATTATCTATCAATAGATTAGATCGTCGCGATGAAAATATGCCCAGCGAATCCCCTACCAGCGGTCCAGATCGTCACGACGAAAATGCCCTGGATGAATTGTTTATCAATAAACCAGATCGTCGTGATGAAACTGTCCTGGGCGAATTACCTATCAATAAACCAGATCGCTGTGATGAAAATGCCCTGGGTGAATTGTCTATCAATAAATCAGATCGTCGTGATGAAACCGTCCTGGGCGAACTATCTATCAATAGATTAGATCGTCGCGATGAGAATGCACTGAGCAAATCACCTGCTACTGAAACAGATCGTCACGATGAAAAGCCGATTGGTACTGTTGAAAATACGCCCCAACCCCGCCGACGTGTCGAAGAAGCCGAGCCTTTTTCCGCACGCTTGAAGATACGCAGTCGCCAGATAAACAAACGAAGGAACATCAGCCCACATTCCGAACAGCTAGAGAACGCAAAAGAGATGGTCAGGGTTGCAGGTCAACGAATCCGCTCCAGGTCATTCGACCTCTTTGCATACCGAAAACTACAGGACCTTATTCATTATCATGGGGAGAAACTCTTCACTCGGCCGGTGTTCGATGATTTGCTCGACGGGCTGTTGGTGGAGCTGCGCGAAGAACCGAGCCCAGATAGAAAACACAATGGTGACTACGCTGATGTGAAGACCCAGGTCGTTGGTACACTTCGTCTGTTGGAAAAGAGCTGCCCGAACCTCTTTGTGATTCACTACGATGCAATAGACGCCATCTTTCATGCCAGGAGATACTTCGAAACCAACTCCTGGATTGTTCAAGAACTCCAGCAAACCGCGTTGGAGTGGTTTCGTAACTGTGAGCCATCAGGGCTCGAAGGCATGCTTGTTACACTTGTCGAATATGTACAACGTGAGACGCGGGATGAACCGGGATATCGGTCCATCCTTATGGCACTCTCTCTACTCACTGACCTGATTGGTGACGCAAACAAGAAAGGGACTTGGTTCTCGAATGAGATCTTGGAGCAAGTTGGGACGATAGCAGCAAGGGACATCCTAGCCGAAGACACCGACATAAGAAAGAAGTCTATCGAACTCTGCGTTCAACTATATGTGATGTCTTGTAACGTGTATCAAGACAAGGGGGTAGCTTTCTGGAGGCTGGTGAGAGCACCCGAAGGGGGCACCCGGCAATTGATAATGTACTACATAGCCAAACAGTAGGCTCTGTATTCCGATACCTGTATTAATCAAATCAAAATAATTTTTTTAAAGGCGCTAGCTCTATGCGGTTATTTAGGTCTTGTGGGTCTCATACATCTTCTGCGATATAATCAATAAGCAGACAAGTATCCCGAAAGAGCCCTCGACTGGGAGATCCAAATATTAGACGGTGATGAGAGCAGCGACGTTCGACTAGAATGATAGTCCAGGATAACAGACGAGTATTCACTCGTCAGCATGTCCTCGCTCATCATATTTGATACCATTGATGCACTTGACAGTCCCCGAGGAACAATCTCCTCACGATCCAACAGCATTGCTGCGATGATAGATTGCTCTTCTGGATATCCTCAAATGTAGGCACCTGATCAACACCCGCCTTCTTCCCATTAATCCTAATCTCCAGACCATCAATAGTCCCTGCTTCCGACGACGTTTCATTCTTCCGGAATCCCCGACGAAAGAGCGATCTCTCCCCGTAGGACACTTGGCTATTGGATTTATCCAACCTCCTCCGGTCCACTTCTGTTAGTCTCCGTCTCTTGCCAAATTGCGCCAGCTCTTCCAGTTGCGGGAAGGTTATCTTTAATGGACGCGCAGCGGAGACTGCGGCCCAATCTGGCTTTGCCAGGAGTTGACGTTTGATACGCTCTAGACGAGTGGAGTCTTTCGGGGATTGATGGTTTGGTGACAAGGATGTTAAGATCGAAGGGGACTAGATAGGAAGCGTTATATTGGTTCAATGTCTTTGCAAGCTGCCGCAGATGTAGATTTACCTGCTTTTGATGACCGGTTTGATTGTCCCTGACGTTCGGTGCCTGCTCATCAGGAGCTAGGGCCTTGGTTTGCGTAAAGTTGTGGAATAGAGTCACTTGTTGTGGACCTTGAGATGGTTTTCTAACGGCTTGTCTTTTGTGTTTGGGGGCGTTGGCGGTGGAATGCCGGTGGAGACGGCCTCCTGTCCAGTTCATGGCTTTCTAGTTTTGATTAGTGCATGATATGATTGATGGTGTAGAGGAAGTGTCTCGCTGTGGAGGGATGGATGGATGTGTGGAAGTGTTGGAAGTATATGGTACATTCTATCATGTGATTACTGGCGAATATCGATGGCCTATAGTTTAGTCACGAGGCCGACTGCTGGATATATGGCACGGTTATAATAGCCCTGGGGTGGTTGACGGTAGTAATGACTGTTTCTATGGGGCATTTGGTTCTCGTTTCCTGCGTAAAGCTATCTGCCATATTACTGTGGTTTCCGTACTGGGTTGAAAAGCCATCTAACGGATTTGCCTTCCGTGGACCTGATCGGGCTTTGTTTTCATTGCTGAGCAGGTCTGCTCGTCCATTATGTACTAAGGGGTTATTTCTGTGCAATGAGGACATGCTATGCATAGAACCAGCTGTGGGTACCACTGTTACTTGTGATGTAGTCCAGATTCTGTGGCCTGCATAGGGACTGAAACACAGAAGCTGGGGATTCAGTGAGTACGAACCTTGGCTTATCCCCTCGCATGACTGTTTATATTGTGTGCCTATGTGCGTATAGCATATACTACCCAGAGTTGTCTGTCTGTTGAGCATTTTTATTGACATATCTATAAGCTGTCCCCTATAGTAGGTGATGGCTGGAAGGATGGATGCTAAATGTTGTCCAGGTTGTGTCGAGATGGTAGTAACTGTATTATATATATCTCAGGCATCACGCGAATAAAAGAAGTCAAAGAAGGCCGGCATTGTTGGACTTATTACCACACTCACCATCTACCAAAACAAAGCATATTATGGCGACTCCCATAGCAAAGAATGGCCACAGAGATCAATCTATAGCGTATACGTTGCCCTGGACTGGTGTCATACAAGCCCTACCTATGCAATCTCCAAAATGGTGGTTTTGCTCTATTTGATCTTAGCGTCCTTTGACCAAATATCCAATCACTTTAGACGGAAAGATTCTACACAACACTTCCTATAGCCCTGTTAAAGGAAGCAGCTTAGACAGAAATCAGCAATAAAAGCACTTCCAGCTTGCATGATATCACACATAGGGTCGAGAATCGTGATGCACTCATACAGAGAGCGGTTCAACATTTCCCTGATGCGGGTCATGGTAATAGACTAAGTAGGATTGATGGATTTTGAGTTACAGCGGGCCTCTGTTCTACAAATAGGAAACGAGTGTGTTCGAGTTGGATGGTGGCTCATGGGCATGCCTCGGGCATGAGATGTACAAGGTTTTTAAAAGGGCATTTGTATTATAGGTTAGATTTTATATAAAGAAGATATCTACCAGCGTGGGTAGTGTAACGGTTATCATCCTTGCCTTCCAAGCAAGGGACCCGGGTTCGACTCCCGGCCCACGCAATCTTTTTGCGTTTGATTTTTGTTCGCTCCAGACCTTAGTAGAAAGAAAGGGCAGGGCTCGGAAAAATACATTCGGTTTAGTCCATTATTGATCTCCTACACGCTAGCTCATAACGGATACGTAACATGCCAATAGGTGCCAGACAAGGCCAACTACGCGGACGTCAGAAGTGCCTTCCAAACGACCACCATATATCTATCTGTAAACTATCGATTAGTTTTTCGATTGTAAGCAACAGCCTATGTCCTGCCTTCAATGCACAAATCAACGATATGACAACCTTGCTTCTAACAATGCTCTAGATGTACTGGAATCTATTGTGTATCAAGCACCGTGTGTCGTGGTGAACGATGCGACCAGATGGAAAACAAGTCATGTTGATATATTCATGCAATACAGTAAGTCTGAGGAAGGGTGGAAAGAGTGTTCTTTATAGGTGAAAATCGGTATCAATACTAGTAGTAATGTTGCGACTATTATGGATTACGAACCGGTCCCTGCACCAATTGGCCATATACAAGTCGGGCGTGTTACTACTACGTATAAGCTGTGTCTGATATAGACTAAAAAGAGAAAGGAACAGAAAAAAACAAATACAAAAACATTGCGTGGGCCGGGAGTCGAACCCGGGTCCCTTGCTTGGAAGGCAAGGATGATAACCGTTACACTACCCACGCTGGTTGTTGATGATTAATCTAGTATATCGCCAAAAAAGACAACCATTTGATGTCTACATACACCTGTTTTCTTCCAACACCAAACGTAACAGAGATGTAGTAGGATATTTTTGTGCCTTTTTCTTTTTGAGTTCCTATTGAATACAGGTTTCCTTTCCAAGTTTATATCCCACTGGGAATTTATCCCATTCTCGCTGAACGCAATATTACTCTCCTTCACAATACCTTCATACCCATTCGGGCAGTAATAAGACCTAGAAGGATGCAGGAACGATATGCATCATCAGCAAGGAGCCCAACCTACCTGTCTTGAAGAATAGCCCTTGCTTGCTGCATTCAATACTATCCGCATGGCTCTTTGATAGATACGTAGAGAATATTTAATCACTGCATGCCTTCAGATTGCTGTAACAATGACGCTATATCATTAATAGTGTTAAAATAGCTAAAGCAAGAGTTTATGGCTGACACTCATCATCCCACTATTGCGCCGTAAATGATGAGAGAAAAAAGGATCAACATGGACTCCGGCATATAGCATATCTGCGAGAGATACATGTAGCTCGCTTGGCCTGCAGTGGCCTAAAGACCTTAAATTTAGTTCGCCGTCGCCCGAGACCACGATGGGAGTAGTGTACAGCACCTAGCCATGGAAGGACAGTAGCGGCACGGGCCGGGCGATGAGCCGAATGGTCCCCTAGCTTGCGGCCAGCCACGCGACTTATTCCGAGTAGGGCTCAAGGCTACCATGTGGAGATGCAAACAGTGCAAAGTACCCAAAATCACATGACCACTCGCTTGGACTATTTCACGCACGCTGAACCTCCCCTGTTCTTTTCCTTCCGACACATTTTCTTACACTGCAACACCAACACCAACACCAGTCTTTACGCTGGGTCTGGATTGCGTCTGCCTTGATGTTGGCAGAGCTATGACACCCTGGCTGAGACAATGTGAGAGGTCCGGTTCAATAATTGATTATTATTTGGGCCCCTGAAAAATTTAAAAAAGAATAATAATTGTAATAATAGGTGAGCAAAATTTTTTTTTTTTTAATCTCTCATTATTTGTTTCGACGGCGGAGACACGGAAACCTCGTTTCCCCCTTTTATGATGATCACCATTTTTATAAGCATAGTTCACCTGAGGTCTTCGGACCGTTGAACGACAACCTTATATCATCTTTCACCTTTGTCTGATATTGTCTCTGCCTGTCATTGCATTCTTCTATTGTTATTCTTAAGTTTGACACTCATGACTGACTGGAAGTCTATAGAAGGTGGTAGACAACCTATATGATACGTTCGATTTGAAGGGGGGGAGGGAAAGAAAGATTATCTCTATGACTAGGCTACATCCTAAACAATCAAATAGAATTATTTCATTTCTCATAAGGTTCCCGACGGCCCCGATTATTATCCTCCAGTAGACGCATTGCTGCCCAACGTGGGCTTGATGGGGCTGCCCATTGGCAAACCCACTGGTAGTCGAAGTGTAAAGAAGGTAATGGCCAGCAGTGACACATTGTATGTGTGCGAAATAAGCAAAAAAGAGCAAATAATCATGGCAAGCCCCTTTTTAATTGTGTTGTCATGAAACAGGAACCCCTCTCCCTGTCATCCGACGTACTTTCGTTCTTATCCAGTCCATAAGTGAAGCATGTTGGCACAGACGCGCTGCAAGATGAAGTCGCAAAGTGTCAGACAGGGTGAGAGGAGGGGTTCATTGGTATGGCAACCCCTCTCCGCAGTGACATGCAGGTGAGCAACATCTCTTCCATGTTCCCCGATGAGATGGAGGGGTTTGACGTGGTAGGGCTTACAACCAAACGATGGCAGGGAGTCAAGTGCAACTTTCACGAGGCAGGAGTGGAGCCCCAATAGGGGCGCGGTAAAACCAGATGGGAGGGGAGTGGGGAGGGGATGATAGGCGTAGAAGAGCGCGAGATATACCTGCAGGATTGGGTTCTGGCGAACGCCTTTTTTAGTCGCGGGAGGGAGATTGACCTCCAATGATGCCATGGACGGGACGAGGACCCCTTTTTAAGGCCAATAAACGAACGGGCCGAAGTGGGACCCGCTTCACCGCCAGATTGGGCAAGTACCGTTAATGGACCACGGGAAAGAGGATCCTTCGTCCCGCTGCCACGTCAAGTCTCCGTTATTGGCCGACTCAACACCGTCGCATGTTGCACCACCATCACCGCCATGTCGCGCAGCACCAAATCATCGCTCGCCATCCGCCCAGTGAGGCGCCGCTACTGCTGCAGAATGCGAGTCCGTCACGCCGCTCGGACGCTGCGAATCCACCCCACGCTTGCCATTTTTCTCCCTCCAAAGCATCTAAAAAGCCGTCGTTTCCCCCCTCCAGATCCAATTCTTTCTCGATCTTTTCTATTTCTGATTCAGACATCATTCAGTCTTCCAACAAAGAAACCATTCCCAGGACAGAAACGAAAACAAGGATTCAGGAGAACCTTTAACCTTAACTTTGAATTTTTTTGATTGTTTGACAAGAGATACCCCCCCTGACGTCACTCCACTTTTCTACTTTCATACATACATATACACCCGTCTCCATACATACAATACCTCCATTTACTTCCTTCCCTCCGCTATACTCCTTTCGTGCTTGATTTGTCACAGTCAAATCAGCTGATCCCCTCTCCAAACTCCCATATCCATCCCACAAATTACTCTACCGAAGGCTTCTTGTTGCTTTTTCGTTTCTATTTCTCTTATCCAGTCCAACCCGTGGATCTTGGAATTCAAAAGAAAGAACCTCCCTCTGGTCTACCATACAACCCATTGGATCTCAGTCCATTCTCCAGGATAGGACTTGCTTTGTTTGTGCTTTGTGTCTTCACTCCCAGGCTTTTGGTCTGAGCAGTTATCGACAAATAACAGGTAGTCCCCTTGATTTTTCCTTTGTGCTCCTGTTTTTGCTCTTTTTTTTTGCCTTTCTGTCTCGCATCTCGACAAATCACCTTGGAAATCCGACTATGGACGACCCGTGCTATTATCGTATTACCGGACTTGCTGGATTCCTGATTTGCTTTATCTTCTTTGCCGTGCTGGACACTTGCTCCGTCATTCAATGACGGTAACTTGAATAATGATGACCTTGGAAACAAATTTTGTCCCAGCGTCCGCTGTGAGACTGGACACAAAGAGTGTTGTTTAATGTTGCATACACTCAACTCCACTTGGATTCTATTATACCGTTCCTGGACCCATGGACTCTCTTCTGCCACCCCGGAGATGAGAACTGTATTAATTTGGCCTTGGATACCCACCCTTGGACTTTATGGAAACCATCTTGGACATAACCCACCGCCCTGAGGATTTTATGATGTATTACACCCTTGGCCTGCCCTGGATCACACAATATCACAGTGCTTTAATAGCACTACCCCCGGATGAGTCAATGATGCTCGCTGGAATTGATGAACACCTGGAGAAATTGACGGCACCAATGGAGACAGAACCTGTTCACACCTGATAATGTCTTGATCTTTACTACACCTTGCTCGCAGGACTAGTAGTCTTCTGGACTAATACTCAATGGATTTTGCTGGTCATCGAAATCGCTGAAGGATCACTACACGGCGTGTAGCTCGGACCTAGTATGCGTTGTGGACCCCCATATCGCTGTGTTTTTACTCTCGCTTCTTGTCTGGCCATTGTGTGTATAGTTACCTGGATGTCGCGTCACTTAGCCTGGACCTTAGTGATAGTATCAATGGATCATATGTTCTTTGGTTGGTACTTTCGATGATTCTCAGGCGATCGCTCAGTCAACTAACCGATTCTGTTTAGGACGTCACTCCCTCTTGGATCGCGGACATGTGCTTTTTCATTCATGTTATGAATCATGTTTCACAAATGGAAAGGTCTATTTACTGACATGCAGTTCTTTTTTTTAGTGCTTGCTTTTACTTCCCAGCCAAGCTGGATCTCAAATATATCACAATGCCTTGCCATATCAAGCACGACCCAGAACAGGTTTCTTTGTCCCAGTCAGCGTTGAAAAACATGGACCACATCTCTCAACCCAGGCATACCGAAATGATCCAAGGAATCTCAAACATGGCCTCCAGATCGATCCAGGATGATGACCTTTCAAGCCAGGACAATTTCTCTTTGTGCTCCAGTACACATCAAAGCCATGGAACTCCCCACGGACTGCCGTCATGGGCTTTGGGCGATGTGGACTCACTAGACAATGGTGTCATCCCATCCACCAAGCCAGAATCCCCAGAAGTACAGATGCTGTCTTTCAATTTGTCCCATCAATTGATGCCTTCCACCGTGGGCCCCAGTGACGTAATGTATCACACCGGATCTGAATACTCAGGCTTCCATGATAATGACCTGGATCTTACACATCCTCAAGACTTCAACCCATACTCCATGATGGACTTGACTGCTTATGATGATGTGTCCGGCCAAAGCGGGAACCAGTCCTGCACTGATGATGCGCTGTCTAGCCACAGCTCTCACACAGACGAAAGCCACCTGGCTGCCAGCGATGCTTGGAATTCCATGGTGACAGACACCAGAAACTACCACGGATCACCACTTGAACAATTTTCTTCCAGCATGTTTCACCCTGTGCCCGTCTCCCCCCTTTGACGGAAGCGAGTAATGATGTCTCTGTTACTTCCTCATGCTCCCACCCCGGATATCCATCATTCATGACTCACGAGGATGCCATGTTGAAGGATATTACAGCCACTCCCGTTGGAAGCCATGGTATCAATCTAGGAGACCCGTTGTTCCCCCTCACGCCGCCGCTCGCGGAACAGGACCCAAACAAGTAAGTGCCATCTAACTCCCATTTACGATTGATCATGTTTTGAAATGATCCTAACCGCCTTTCCCCCTGGACAGAACCATCCGGGCTTCTAAGAATGCACGTAGACCAGCTCTCCACACCCCACCATCCCAGACCCAGGTGAAGCAGGACCCAGAGTTTTTCCCTCCCTTGCCAAAGGAGCCCGTCCGGCAGAGATCCACCAAGGAATCCGCTGAGCTGCGCAACCCCCGGGATCACCCATACTATTCTTTGCCTACCCACAGTGATGGAAAGTATTACTGCCCTTTTGCCAACGGAGACAAGCCTTGCAATCACGCTCCCACTACCCAGAAATGTGCTTACCAGTAAGTTCCGACGCGTCCAATACCATTGCAAGAAAATGTGGCTAATCGTTCGAAGCAAATATCTGGATTCCCATCTGAAGCCATACCGTTGCAAGGTGCCAGCCTGTATGGATGCCCAGTTGCAATTCTCTTCCAATGCATGCCTCTTCCGTCACGAGCGCGAAGCTCATGGATTCCATGGCCATGGAGATAACCCGCACCTTTGCCTCTTTGAAGGATGTGACCGTTCGATTCCTGGATATGGATTTCCCCGTCGCTGGAACCTCTTTGACCACATGAGGCGCGTCCACGATTATGCTTCTTCTGACCGGCCCAGCTCCCCAGATGCTTCCCCAACGACCGGCCAGGCTGCTAAGAAGAAGGAAACCATCGGACGCAAGCGTCGGGTGACTGGTGTTTCCGGAGCACAGACCATGAAGCGCACTCGCTCCACCCAATCCCAGACCAACCCGCTCAAAGCAGCCCAGCAGACCTCCGCCCATCACAACCAGAGACTCCAGAATGCGGAGAGGAACTACTATAACTGCCGTTCCCGGCTCCTTGAGGAGCTGAGCAACATCACCCCCCAAGATTCATCGATGCACGAGAAGGTCAATGCCAGCCTTCAGGAGCTGATCACTCTGGGTTTGAACTACCGCCACATTGAAGCCAGCCAGGCTGCTGCCCAGATTGCCAGCGGTCTTCCTGCTTGAATGAAGCGTACGAAGCCACAATCATGCCGACAGCTTGCCCCCTTTAGGTCACCAAGGACTGGATGATTTACCGTTTAAACATCTCATGATGTCCATCATGAGAACCCCTTATGGATGTGTGAAAGAACCGCGGACCTGTCCGAGTTCACTTCTCCGGCCCTATTAGATTTCCTATTTCTATATAGTGGATCTCTTACATACCTTCCGCTTTGCCAGAAGCACACCTCCGCAGCGATGTGTCTCTGACCATCGCCCTCTCCGAGCTGCTACAGTTGACCTGGGCAGTTGACTGTCTATTTCTCATGGCGATGCTACTTTGGTTAGTAGCAGCCTAGAGATGTCACTGTGGCGACTGGAGCAGGAATGCTGCAATCTGCCTCAAATGCCACCAGGCATGGCCTTTTGAACTGGTATTTCCAATGGAAATACTTCCCCTTCTCTTTCTTCGACATGGACAGCTTGCTGTTCCATGTAACATTCCTTCTCAATTGATGCTTTATTCTCAAAAGACAAAATTCTGTTTGCAACACAACACACGAGAAAACAAAAAAAAAGGAAAAAAAAAGGAAAAAGAAAACAGAAAATCAACACATTGGTTGGGGCAACGGAAGGAAAAAATAAAAAAGATTCGGTGGGAATGGCTCGGTGCCTTGAGATTTAGAATTGTTTACTTTTACCCTTGTTTATATTTCTGTTCACTGTGCATTGGTTTTTGGTTTTTAACTGGATATAAAGATATACCTTGGATATTCCTTTTGATTCCCCTACTGCTTTGTTTATGCTTTGCTTCTTCGGATATATATTCCACTTCTGTCTATATCAAACAAAAAGTTCAAATCAATATCAGACTATCTCATTGCTTTCTCATCAAGAACACAACCACTCCGTCGAAAAGCTTCCACTCTACATAATCACCATAATTTCAAGAGTTTTAATATCAGATCATCATTCGTAAACCGTAATACAGCAACCAAACCATATCTATGCTTTACCCACACGCTTATAAACACGGATACCCAGACTTTTGGTCGCTTCATGCAAATCCAGTAGGGAAAACTAATCAAGCAGTCCCCTCTCCCGCAAAATCCGCATTCAAGAACCTCACAAACGCATCCCCAACCTGGTCCGCCCCCAGACTAGACTTAGTCCCCGCTAATCTCGCCACATAAGTTCGATTCAACGTAATCCACTGCCTCCTCAACCTCTGCAACCTGGGCACCGCCAGAATCCCCCAGCCCCACCAAGCTCATCCGTCGTCGCCGTCATCGCCACATGCGCCGGTATAAACACCGCCGTCTCCACCTCCGGCACAACAATCCTGATCCCATCCGCATCATCCCCGGCCTTCGCCAACGCACCCTCCGCAGACGGGTTCTCGACCACAAAACTCCGAATCGCAGATACTACCGCCGACGTCCGCTTCTCCATACTATAGAGAAGACCCGACTCGGTAGAGGTCGGCTGCACGGTTGCAAGGTGGGGTTTTATCTTCGGGCGTTCGCGGCGGAAAGATCCACCTCCTTTGGTTGTTGTCGAGGGCGCTATCGATGCGGCGGAGGAGAGGTGAGTGTTTGTGAGTGTTGACGTTAGGGCTGGGAGTTGGCCCGTAGTCTCGGTTGTCTCGGGGTGGGCGATGCCTGTTAGGGCGGTCCAGATCTCGGCGATTGGAGGTTTTTCGTCGCTCCAGGGGACGGTGAAGAGAGGCTTGTCCCATCTGCTGTGCGTGCTTGGTTCTTCGTACCGGAAGATGAGGTTTTGGAGGAGGGCGGGCGGATAGGGTTGTTCTGTGTCTGTGGTTTTCTCCGTCTCTGCAGCTGCAGCTGGTGTTGTGGTTTCGGACTGAGGTTGCGGTTCCGAGTCCGATTGGGATTGAGATTGGGACTCACGCTGAATCCGGGCCTCGTTATTCGCGACGCATTGGTCAATTGGTGTTCCGACGTGAACCTGTTGGTAAGTATCCTTTGTTAGCCATCTCAAACCCAGGGCAGGAACCTTATCGACAGAAGCACAGAGAAAGTAATAAAAGAAAGAACATACAACGCAACATGTCGTCCCCAAGGCCTTCGCCTCACACCACAGCTGGTACCGATAGCCCTTGATATAATTCATGCCGTCGAGAATCACGAAGCTGTCCTTTCCAAGCATGCGGCGCGCGCGCGTGTACGCCACGCCGCGGGCCTCCTTTTCCGTGCGCGCATGGTCGTAGACTGTGCGCGGGCGGTTTTCGTCATGCGTTGATACGACGTGGATTTTGTAGGGCGGTTTCTCGGAGTCGGCGAACACGGTCTCCTGGGTTTCTTGGAGTCCGGCTGCGAGTTGGTTCGCGCGGTGGGTTAGCCCCGAGCAGGGGTAGCCGGTTAGGATTATGAGCTGTTGTCAATCAAGGGTGAGACTGTTAGTTTGTGGAGAAGTGCGGCATCGTAAGAGGGGGGTTTTGCTTACGGGCATTCTTGGGTGGGAGGGTTTGGTGGTGGTTGGAGGAGGTGGTGTTTGGAGGGGGATTTTTTTGGGCGATTTTTTGGCTTTGCGGAGTGCGGGGCACATGTGACTTTTTTTTATCGGTATCAGCGATAGGATTTTATATACTTGCACGTGTGGAATCTAGAATTGACCTAACCGGTAGTGGTGTTCTGGGCGGTTTATCTTTTGAAGATTATGTAGCTTATTTTGATTTTAGTGTTAGGATTGTTTGCTGGTTTATGTGTGGTGTGGTTGTTCTCTTAATACTTTGCTTTTCTGGCGATAAGTAAATTTACCTGTATGCGCTGCTCGATTGCTGCGGAATGAGATCGTCAGAATATTGTACCCCTAGTCTGCTATTCGGAGAATTAGTACTACTTGCGCAAAGGGCACATTAGTCAGAATTCTCATTTATGAGTCAATTGTGTAGGGATTGAGCAGCTTGGTATAACCGCGGCGAGGAACGAAAGGAAGTGATAGTACGTTGTCACATGTCACTTGTGAGTTTATCGAATATCAGTCTGTTCGGAATACCAGGGTGCTGATCTACTGCAGATCACGAGTGGATCTAGAGCACTTAAAATGGTGTATTGAAAACATACTTGAACGGACGAGTAGATCAGGATCAATCCTGACTTAGACTAGTACTTGGCACGTGGTAGATAGATCTGGTACGGTTGAGTGACTGGGGTAGATAGTTCGCATTTCCGTCCTTAATGCTCACTGCACTTGTGTTAAAACGTGCCGATGAGCTTGACACGTATATATACTTGGTGATCGTTACTGACAGTTGAGCTGTTCAATATATAAGTGATCGTGAATGTGCCGAGGAGCCATTGTCATGTTGTAGCCTCGGGTCATTCATAGTGATGGCTGGAGTCTCAGGAAATTATCGTAAGGACTTCCGCTTATAAGCCAAGTTCGTATGGTCAAGGTTTACCGGCAGAGCATTATAAATATCTCATAAGTAGCACATACCAAGCAGCCGACTGTTGGAGTTGACGCTCTATGCGCCAACACTTTCACATGGGGTTGTCTGAGTTCTAGAATCTCTCCTAACCGTAGGATGTTGCTTGGCAGGCGCTGGCGTACCATTATATCTTACCACAGGACTCCGTACAATGGCTGCGTTTCACATCCAACCATTTCTGGTTGGTGGAGGCATGGCCATACTCGAGGTGGAATGATTGGTGCATGATGTTGCTCTAATTTCGGCATTCATCCACGACAGAGGCCTCGTCCTCGGCTTTAACTTGTCCAAAGTACCACCAACGAACGCAGTGATTGCAGTCCATTGACCGACTAGTATCGCAGCGTCTCGAGAAAGCAACTCTCTACCTCCACCTTCGGTTCCTCCCCGGATCTCCTTTACCGAGGACGGGCAAATCGGCCGATCACTAGATATCCTAGGCAGCAGCGTAAAGTCGTCCAAGGCTAGTGAAACAAGCTTCAGCCACAATTAACGGACAAACCCGTAGCGAATCAGATACCATCGGTTGCGGCAAGCATACGACGCTTTATAGGGCGAAGTTTGCAAAGCCGCGTAGTTCCCGGAGTGACAGATGAGGCTCCGAGACGCAGGAGCCAATCGGAAATGGTACGGATCAAAGCAATGTTGTCCATCAGATGGAGCCCATCGGACAAGCGATTATGCCTAATTCGTGCGCCGGTGCTGGCCATCTGTCATTTCTCTGTTGGAGCAAGCTTCGGCAGATCAAGTGGGGACCGCTGAGTGGCTGATTGATCATTGATGACGACCGGGCTTACGAGTTCGTGGGAACGTTCTGGAATTCCTGTATGTGGGTTATCGTGAAACGTGCGCAGCTCCAGCCCATTGTATTTTATTGTGTTTGAATTGTCCTTGCTTGGGGAGGTGTGGATAGAGTTGTTTGGGATTGTCTTGGTTCCATGGGTTGCCTGGGAGGAAATGTTTCATTGTGTGGTTCTTTTCTTGGGGTGCGGTGTTTTCTTATGCATTGCAGTGGGTAGGACTGGGTCCACCTGGTATGTAATGGGTTGTTGAATGGACTCATGGGGTTCTAGAATGGCTGACGTGGGATTCTGCAGATGCACCGTCAGAACTGTAGGACGTAAGGTTGGGGGGTGAGATTTCTATCTATTTATAAGACAAAATAGCAAACATCTTCTATAATTAGAAGTCCTCGATGGTCTAACGGTCATGATTTCCGCTTGTCATCTCATACGAGAACAAGCGCGGGAGACCTGGGTTCGACTCCCAGTCGGGGAGATTCCTTTTTTATCTTCTGGTCGTTGTTTTTCACAGTGAATTTTCTTTGTTGGGTATGGAGAGGCGAATAATTGAGAAGGATTAACTTCCGTCCATGAGGACCACCGTCAACGGGGCTGTCAGCCACGAATCGTCTGTCAAGTGAGCACCATGGGTGAAACTGTTTTAGGCTCATGTCACCCACTATCAAAATTCCCCGTCACGATCATGCATGATTATGGCATTGTACATACGCAGACGAGCGAGCCATGGGGCCCTCTCAAGCGCCAAATGTGCCGTGATCGGCGAACTCAAGTTAGTCGACGGTTTAATTCTCCAATGAGCAATCACCAGGCCAACGAGCGCGAAAGGAGAGCCAGAGATTTCGCCATTGACGGGCTGAACATCAGCCGCCAGGAGCGATTGAATTTCCCAAAACAGTGGGTAATGACGAACCTTGTAGACGGCGGACGCCGAAAACCTTCCTTTGCGCAAAACCTATCCATATTACATCTTCCGCACTAGGGAAAGAAGGGGTTTAGTCGCTTTAGTGTCTGGTCTTCGCAGTAGAATTCGGGTTGGCGCAGCCAATCTCAGGACAGGTAGCGCACATGCCGGGGGGAGGCCAAGAAACGATCCACATCCCTTGTGGCTGTGGGGGTCGCGATGAAATCATGACGAGCAAGTTTCAGAGTGGCTGATTGAGCGCTAATACGTTAGGGGCCAAGGTGGGCAGGGTCATTGGTTACAGAGAGATTATTTTTACCGACACTGACCCAGTCCAGGAATTTTTTGATCGAAGCTCTCCGTATGGAGCATGTATCACGTTACCCAGGGCTGGGACGGATGTATGCATAATTGTACCACCTTCGTTTGCAGAACTGAAGACTCGGGCAGAGGCTATGTATAGGTGGATGTGTATGCACGGGGGTCAGAGAAATGATGATGATGATGATGCCAGATACTTCCCCAATGAGACAAAGAATTCCATCATTCCGAACCGAATGGTGTGTGTGTGTGCCCCGTTGACCTTTCATCCTGCCAGTCAATTCGAATCGAAGGGTACAGGTGGCCCTGACTCGCATCCTTATTGCGCGAACTCCCGCGCTTCCGATGGAATGAGGCCCCCAGTGGTGGATTGTGGTCCCATCTCCTGTTAGGTAGGTATTGTTCTTGATTATTTTGGGTTTCCCCTTACCATCCATTTGGTATTCTCCTTCCTTACCCGTCCAGAGACAACTCCTTGAAGATAGATCACACTCTCTGGAACGGCCACTACACTGTCCTACCGTGTACCACCTTCTCGGAGACTCGTTCTCTGCCCATGTTTCAACTGGAACCAGATTTTTGCGATGGATCTCAGCCATTATCAATCTGTTCCGTGGCAGACGGGCTGCCAGCCGCCACGTCGGCCAATGAACACCGGTCGGTTCCCCCAAGGCAACCGCCGACGTTACAGAGCAAGATCTCGTAGATTAAAGCCGATATTTTCATTGTATGATCCAGGGAAAAAAATGCGAAACAGTCCCAGGCGGTTAACCCCGCGGAGCATGTCAGTTGACGTTACTGTCAATGTAATGAACTTTTCTGAAGACAAGCAAATCATGTTAGAGATTGGAAAAGGAAAAACATGAAAACAACATAAAGAATTAATAAAAGAAACTAAAAACGACAGAAACAATAGAAAAATAAGAGGACAAGAACGAGTGCATACATTAATAGAGACATGGAGAGGCCGTTCCGATACGGATCCGTACATACATCAGCGGTACCAAAATACCGATCCAGTATTGAGCCACTCACTAACAATGTGCTGAGTGAACAGTTCCACTTTCCCTCCTTTAGTCTTTTTTCCAATCGCTGCTATAATTATTTCTTAACCCCCAGCCCATCCCTACGTTGGCATCAGACGAACCGTCTGACTCGGGTTGGTTGGGCTGAGAATTTTCAATCGAATACTTCATACCATCACTCCTCCTACTACTATTATTATCACTCTCACTACCACTATCACTATCGCTATCGCTATCGTTATCACCGACCTCCTTCGCTTTTTTGTACATCGCCACTCCATAGCCAAGAATTCCCTAATTCAGATAATTCAATTGGAGCTCTTCGATCCTATCGACAAAAATTTAAACAATGATGTTGACGTCCTCATCCTCCGACTCCTCTTCCTGTTCCAACAGTCCCATCTCGCAACATCCTCACCCGCAGGCATACTTCCCATCTCTCCCTCGTCGGAGGGAGCCTGTAAAATGCCCTCGCTACTACTCAACTCCATTACGGTCTGATTCCCCCGAATCGACCCCTCTTCAAATGTACGGCCTGGAACAGCGGGAACCGTCGCTTTACGGGGACAGACCCTCCACGCTCTTGCGTCGATTCTCCCACGCCCTCGACGACATCAAAGAAGACTTCTCCCTCCAGCTGGACCCACGGAACACCACCGAGAAAATCCGCAGCAAGCGGCGTCAGTCCACCCTGATGCTGGACACCAGCGCCCCGGGTTCCCGCGCTGGCTCGCTCTCGGGATCGGAGAGTGTAGCCGAAGTCCCGCGTGCCCGGCCCATGTCGATGATGTCGACCGACAACAGCTTCATTCCGCCGACGAGGAGATTGAGTCGGAGACTGACATTGCTGGGTTTCCGGAAGAACCGGCTTCGCGGCGGCCAGGCAGCGAGTATCTCGCAGCCGAATCTGATCGGATCCTCGACTCAGATGTAAAACCTCAAAAATACAACATATCAACTCTCCAACCGACTCGCAATCGATAATCAACCTACACTCCTTTTTATTTTCTAATCGCATCTCGGGCCATATTACAAGCATTCCCAGCATCATTCCTTTCCATTGGAAATTCTTGCGACTGTTTAACTGCATTCTTCATCGGAGTTCAGGAAAGGCGGGCGGTACCATCCTTCGATACATTTCCATTTTAATATCCGGCCAAAAGTCATTCCTTGGTAGCCTTTCCTTGTTATTTTGTACCTATTACCTATATTCTTTCCTTAACCTTTGCATTAGCTTGGTGTTGGGTGTCTGTATATCCTCCATGTCTTTTTTTCTTCATTCTATTTTATTTTTTTTTTTTTTTCTTTTTTTTTCTTTTTTTTAATATTCGCTTTATCGTTTCCATCTTGCGTTGCCCTTGCATCGTACATGCATGTACAGGTGATATATACACACCTCATCCAGAAGTATATAGGACCAAAGTATATATCACATTTGACGAAAGAACCACCATTGATCGCAACATATCATCACGTAATAATCCTCCATGACAGCAGGAGTAAACCAGGGGGTGACTGACCCCCCTCCAGAGTCAAACCTCCTATTCCATAAATTAAAGACTACAAATCCAGAATCAAAACTGAAATGACCCAGAACGATGTCTCACATCCCCCATCTCCTGAACACACCAATCTATCCCCCGGTAATAGTTTTAACCCACTATAGCTCTAGTATGCCTCCGGGCAACGAAATAAAATGAACACCCCCATCTCGGAAATTAAAATGACAAAAACCCATCACCCAAGCTCCATCGCTCAGCCCACTTTTTATTTAACGGACCCTATTGAACCAACGACCAACTTTTCCAACCTAAAGTAAACAAAGGGGGCGACGGAGGTCTGAACTAGCTACAAGAACCTTGGGGCTACTATTGGCGGTAGTCTACCCTTCGTTACTAGTTAGTATCTTCCCGGGGACCCAGTTAAGCGATTTTCGTGCCTAGTAAGGCCGACTGAGTCAATTTCCGAGTTAGCTTGCTAAAACTTAATCCTGTATTTTGTTTTCTTTTCGTTCCCTTCTTCTTCTTTTGGTTTTTTCCCTGTCTGTCCTTGCCGATTCGGGTTCGCTTTGGGACGCCTTTTTGGGCTTAGGGTGGGTGCGAGGCTCTGTTTTGCCTATTGCCTATTGCCTTAGTGTTTGCTTCTATTGGGCCACTACTAGCGCTGCTTATGGCTGTTGGGTATGGCGACACGTGGGAATGCTCTTGGTTCTTGGGGGCTTCTTCGTTTCGTTTTTCTTTTTCTGTATGTATAATGCTAGGGGGTTTGCAGGGCTGGCTGAGGCTGTGTTGGCGGTTTGGTTCTTTGGTTTCCATACCTTGGGTAACTTAGGTACTCGTACTAGTAGTAGTTAGTTAGTAGACTACTACTAGCTAGTAGCTGGGGGAAGTATGAACTGGAGTTCGTTGGTGATTGGTTCTGAATTGATTTTGTTGTTGCCTTGTGGACGGTATCTAAGTATTACAGACACAGACACAGGTACAGATACAGCGTCGGTAAGTATCAATTTGATCTATGTTGGGTCTATGAATAATAATTCATATGGCTTGATTCATGAAACAGACTTCGTGTTCTTGCCCGATATCATTAAACCCCCCCAGTCGGCCAATTACAAACACTTGGTATAAAGAAAGTAAAGAAAACAGACACAAACGCCAGCCAGGTTCCATCCTCCCAAAAGTATAATCGCTCTAATCCGTAAGAAAATAGGAGAAAAAGGCTTCAAACAAAACAAAGAAACAGCCGTCCGCACAAAGAGCCAAGAAGATAAAGGGATGGAACTCATCCCCCGCGCACCAAGTAATCGATTGATCAATCGATTTGGTCGCGGTGGGAGGTTGTACCGGACCGATCCAACCCCAGGCCATCCATCCTCGATCTAGACCAAGAGATAGGGAACGACAACGCTCTAGACATGGAGACGAGATGAGACGAAACGTTGTCCTCTATACCATCACCATCACCATCACCTAACCAAAACCCGATCACGATCTCAGGCTGTATTAGACGAACTTCGGCCGGTTGCCCACGTCACACAAAACCCCCGTATCAAAACCCACACCTCCCGCAGTAGCGGCATCGCAACCAGATCTATAGCGTTACCGCCTCCAAATCCCGCATCACAACCGACATCTGGGCGCGCTTGGCCGCCTCGGCGACAAGGCTGAAGTCCCGCAAGAATGGCGCCGTAGCGGTCGGGCCCCCCGATCCCGACACCTGGTGCGGATAGCTTTCCATTGCATTCTGCTGTTGGCCGCTGGTTTCTGGCAATTGGGACAGCTGTTGCTGGTGGGAGTGTTCAGTGGGCTGCGTGTGGGGATGGTGCGATGTTGATCGCTCGTGTATGCTGGTTGCGGAGGCCGGGATTGGTTGCTTGGGTGCGAGGCTGAGCGGGTTGTGAGGCTGAGGTGGTGAGGTGTTGAGGAGCGGCGGTTGCGTTGTAGCCATGTTGTTATTGGTGTTGTGGTTGTTGTTGCCTGGGATTTGTGCTCTTGGGTCCATGGTGGATAAGTCGCTGCGTTGGGGGGAACAGTTGAGTGGGATGGCCGGTCGTTTAAGTTCTATACGGGATGTAGATAATTTTTGTTTTTTCTAAGCAGGACCGGTAAAGATATCGGATTTTCCGCGCGGGATAAAACAAGGTGAAGATTTTCCTAATGTGGGCTGATCCGGCGGGGGGGGGGGATTTGATCCAAGTGGGCGGCTTGATAGATGGTGGTGATGGTATTGGTAGTTCGAGGGAGTGAATGGCGTGATAGAGAAAAGAAAATGGGTAGAAGAAGGGAAAAATTTTTCTAGATGAGGGTCTCCAAAAAAAAAAAAAAGAAAAAGGGCTTCAGTCTGTAACAACACGTGGGGCTCCTTTATCTTTATTTTTTCTTCTTCTGTTCTCACTTCCTCCAGATTATGACGTTAGATGATCAGGATATTGATAAGATGATCTAGGAGTGATGACGCTGATAGATAAGTTCTGTCGCAAAGAGAACCAAATTAAGCAGCAGCCTGTCTCTTACTTAAACCCGACGATCGGTACTTTTGCAGAAGCAAGTAGACTCAGGGGGGGGGGGGACAAACAAAGACTAGGCCTGAGGAATTGATTGTCGATGATCGACAAACCTGGGCTATATTCGTGATCGCCTGGTCAGCCTTGATATGTACATCATCCTGGTACCTCTGGGGGGTAGGGTGGTAGTAACTATAATATAGTAGGTAGTATTCTATAGGTAAACGCACCACTACGACAGTACTATACTCCTCAACGTCCAATTGACGGATAATTTTAATTTGCGCATGCCGACAATTACCCGGTTCGTATCAGATCCGTATCTCCGCCAACCCCATGCGGGGATTGGCTGTGGAATGCGTGAGAACGCAGGTACCGTACGGTATCGAATGATACTAGCCGGAGAAGCCTCGGCATCAGCCGCAACCCCGCCACGTGATCTCATGTGACTGCGCTGGGAATGGATCCCCAGCGCTAATCCTCTTCCGGGCAATCCCCCACTACTCCACTATTGTGTGCGATAGAGAATTCAGCATATGATTGTCGATCGCAGATGAAGAATTCTGGTTCGAATGACAATTCTGCACCACCTGATCCTCCGTGAATAGGGGGCGCGACGACGATCCAAATGGCGGACGCAGATGACTTCGAAACGGGGGACCTGTTCAAGGACCCCGAGGGCTTCTACGAGCCTGAGAAGGAGCCCACCTTCGCCGAGCACCACATGCTCTCCGGCCAAACGGTGCGCGTGCGCTTAGTTGGAGACCATCCTCTATATGTACGGCTGCCCCTCCCATTCCGTCTTTCACAAGCCGCCAACTGACACTTCGCAAGGGTAACCTCCTCTGGAACGCCGGCCGAACCAGCTCCCACTACATCGAAGAACGTGCGCACGAGCTTATCGCCGGCAAAGATGTGCTCGAGATCGGCGCCGCCGCCGGCGTCCCCAGCATCGTCGCCGCGGTCATGGGCGCCCGCACCTCCGTGATGACCGACTACCCGGATCCCGATCTCGTCGGCAATATGCGCTACAATGCGGAGATCTCCGCGCCGTTGATCCCCAAGAACTCGTCCCTGCACGTTGACGGATACAAGTGGGGGAGCCCTGTGGAACCTTTGTTGGCGTACCTGCCAGCTGGGTCGACGGGGTTCGATGTCCTGATCATGGCGGATGTGGTTTACAGTTGGCGGGAGCATGGCAATTTGATCAAGACGATGCAGATGGCGCTGAAGAAGTCGCCCGATTCTGTCGCCTTGGTGATCTTCACCCCGTATGAGCCGTGGTTTCTGCCCAGGACGGAGACCTTCTTCCCGTTGGCGGAGCAGAATGGATTCCGTGTGACGAAGATCTTCGAGAAGCTTATGGATGCCGTCTTGTTTGAGAATGATCCTGGTGTAAGTGCACTCCTGGCCGGGGGTTTGGTGATGGCTTTTGCTGACTTTGTTGCAGGACGAGAAGCTGAGGAGGACCGTTTTTGGATACGAGATTAGATGGGCCGACGATCAGCTCAAATAGACGATGCATAGACTAGATACCATGGCGTTGGTTGGGGAAAAAGCATTGGAAGGTTTCACAATGCATGAAGTGACGAATCACGAAAATGGTACAGATGATCGCCTTATTTGGAATACAATAAGCCGTTGATGTGCAAGAATAAAAGTCTTGATTATCTTATACTCTATAAATACCCATAACTTCTACAAAGCCGGAGCGCTATTATTTGTAAGCGCTAGAGGGGATCGGGGCACTGTTTTACTATATCTCTTGAAGGGCACTTCGTTTGTCCTTGTAAGTCTTGATGACCTTGAAGAAGAGCTTTCGTGGTTTCTTTCCAAAATACTTGAGGCCCTTGCACATTCGTGCCAGGAAGGGCCTTGAGATTTATCGACAACTCTATGGGGCATCCCGACTCACGAACACCCGTTGCTCTGTTGCATGGAAGTCAACCTGGAACTGTTGGAACGAAGAGATGAATGATTTACAAGACGCGTCGTGCGTTCTATCATAAGTGCCACAGTGTCGAGGGATATTCTAATCTGTATCCGGCTGCTATCAAATTTTGTCGAACATTGCGATTGTGTCGTAATAGCACATAAAATTATTTTCAAGCTTTCGAAACAATGCTATGGTCCATGTACGTTACATTTTTCGAGCTTTTAACCAATGGAGAGGCCTAACTGATATGAATAGTTGCATAGGTGGTGTTGTTGAAAAGGATGCCCTAATTGTACACCGGAAACGGGTTGTTGAAACGGTCATGAGATTGTAGAGGCGTTTGAGGGCGCAGGCTATCTAAGGTAAGGTTCTGGGACAAGCTTTGCAAGTGGGTTTCCATAAGAACTACTACTTCACTATCCCACCATAGCCTCAGTCCGTTTGCGACGCCTTGATGTCGTACCACCTGGGCTTGGCCTACTAACCGTATGCAGCAGAAACCCGGGGATTTTATTGATTGCAGTATTGCTCAAAGACTTACAGCCAAATATTCATGCGTTTGATCTGACATCAAATTAAGTGTCAAACGCCATCTTAGTACGCTATTTAGAACAAGGGCCGATGTTCGTGGTCTTCAACAAAGGCTTAGGAGCACAAACCGCTCTATATCTTGCTGTTCCGACCCTGTCATCCCACGCCCATTCATTCGTGACTGGATAATTTGAAGAGTGCTCATGCACTGAGGCCAATTACGAAAACTTTTATTAAGCTAAGCAGAAGACTGGTCACTGATATCTGGGGCGACACCCTATATCCATCATATCGTCTAGATCGCTATGGATCGAGAGGTATAGTCGATTCTAGTCTACGTAGTATTACTTCCACGGATTGATTCACTGGACCTTCTCGGTTACCTAGGGGAGCATCGTGGGTTTAATCCCAGCGGGATGTTTCTTGCCTTTGGCTTTGCTGCGGATCCTGCGACTTCGCAAGGTGTATCCGCAGGTGGCACCCTCATGTTTCTACTCCAGCAAGCTAGTAGTTACTCCTCAGCTCCCTCGAGGCAAATAATACTTAACAGTCGAGCCCAGGTGATCGCATCCACTTTGGCCTTCCTCAGATTCATTGCTTTAGCATTTGCGGTTTCCAAGCAATCTTCCACAGACAAATCCCTCTTGTTTATTGCCTGTGCGTTCAGTACTAAGTTTGCAGCAGCATGCTTGCTTGTTGCGTTCGTACCACTGGAGCACTCCAGGACAGTTCGCCCATCATTTCTGATTTCATTCTACCTTCTAACTGACTCGATATTCAATGTGTCGCCTATCGGTAGCCCTTGGTTGGCCGACTCTAGCCTGGAGGTGAAGCGTTTTCCGTCCGCTTCCATGGGGGTAGAATTGATTTTGCTTGCTTTAGAGACGGTTGAGAAGCGGAAGTGTCTTTGGAGATACCAGAAGGATGTTTCCCGGGAGAGTACCAGTGGCCCTTTCAGCCGACTTCTATTTCTGTGGCTTAATCGTCTTCTTAAAGCTGGCTATGGGAATATGTTAACCCCGGACTGCATAATGCCACCTGCTGCATAGAGACAATGCTCGCGAATCCGACGCAATTTCCTTGGTAGGTTCAGACATTGACCGTACGATTTGCGATACTTAGGCAAACGCTTTACAGCTGGGCCTCGCTATTTGGCTTTTAGTAGACTAAATTGGTGCTATTTGTATCGCTCCTATCATTGTTATTATAGGTACGCTATCATTACTACATTTGCATTGCATGATGGCTGACCTTAGCGTGATTAATACTTACCTCCATATCCTTCATACATAGAAGGCTTAGTATCGCGTCATCAGAAACTATGGCTCGAGACCACTCGAAAGCGTGTCGACTTTACCACACAAGTGTTAGAGTCCGTTAAGTCGATAAAGATGATCGGACTTGTAAAAGGCATGGTTGATATGATTGAAGAACTTGGTACAGAAGAGATTGAGATTTCAGAGAGATTTCAGAGAGATTTCAGAAAATCCAAGCAGCCAAGGCGTCCCTTGGTAGGCCCTATTCGACACGGAAGATTCAGTGCAAACTAACCTTATGTCAAGTTAATATACCACTGATAGTGGGTCAATTATCTGCTTTCACTGTATGTGCTATCGTCGCTCGATTGGAAGGGTCTAGTATTTTTTCAGTATCACAAGCGGTCTTTTCCTTGTCCTTGATAAACCCGTTGCTTACTCCCCTTTGTGATTTGCTATTTGCTATCCCTGACGCTTTTCTTTCTATTGAATGTCTCGACAGAGTCCAGGATTTCTTGACTCGGGAACCTCACAATGACAAGAGAATGATCGGAATGACATCTTCTGGACTGACAACACCAACGCAGCCATCGGCTCCCTTACCGATACACCCAGAAAATGCCTTACCAAGACTGAGAACTGGATAATGTTATGGTCGGGACCGGGCTGGACCAATTTAAACATATTGGGAGGTTGACGCTGAGACTTTTAACTCCCACACTCACTATGATATTAAACTCAAGACTAGGGTTTTGGCTCGGAGTATATGCCTCAATTGGCTTTACTGAGGCAGCTGGGTTGATACTGGCGCTAGGGTAGGTGCTCGGTGCAGCGGTTGACGTGCTTCAGCTTGACTAACCCAGCAATTGATCTTTGAAGTTGGATGTGGATTGTGATTATACATGCTACGTCGAAGACTCTCTATGGACTTATTTTACAAGCAGCCATGATGTAAGCAACCGACCAGGCTGTTTTGTTATTCGACCTGACATGGGCAATAGGACTCCGATATCATTTTTTTCTCGCATTGAGATGGACGATCTAGTGAAAAGGTTAACACTTGGCAACAGACGCGATGGCGAAATCATTATCGCACTTGATCGTGTCAGACTCTGGAGTGTCTTGGTAGAAAGATCTCTCACGAACCATTTTCCTGACTGCAGCCCACTGGATATTATCATCGATGACAACTTTCTATCGCATGGTTAGCGGCAGCTTCTGTGTCTTGCACGGCTCCTGCTGACGGAGAGTACGGTATTGCTCCTGGAGGAGCCTCCTAGCAAGTAAGTGTGTCTGAGACTCTTCCTGTCGGCCATCGCGTTCATGGTTTATCTGTGTTTAGTCTGGGCCCCGAAGCCGAATCAGAGATCCAGGATGTCATCCAATCGGAGTTCAGATCTTGTACCATTATCATGATCGCCGATAAGCCTCAGGAAATCCTGGATTTTGACTACGTGGCTGTGATTGACGAGGGTCCACTCTTAGAACTGGGGAGCCCGCTGTCTTTGTTGTCGCAGGACAAACGTACTTTTCGGGAATTGTACTTCACCGAGACACATCGATCAAGAAAGTCAAGGAGAGTCGCCTGATTCAGTGGATGTTGTGTATACACTACACTTGGATTTAACTGATTTGCTAGATAGCGCCTATTTGGAATCGTGCATGTCCAGATTGTATAATGAGGTAATTAGGTCAGCGTTGTCAGCGCCCAAGGACACCAATAGCTGTGACTACCTTGACAGTATACATAGTTCCGTCACCTACCGGAACAGCAGGATATGAAAACGTCTTTCAAGAGGATTGACAAGCGTATGCGATCATGCACTGAACCAGACCCCTTGACGGAGCCACCGAAAGCTTATCACCTCTAACTCAACAGCAGCTGGCATCCCTGGTACCCGGCTTCTTTACTTGGCCATCTTGCGTATCAACCGGTATATACAAGGCAGCCCAGCCAGATTATGACGTAGAATCAATACAGCATAACCTTCTTCCCCATGATCATAGCATATGATCTAGATATATGGAGTACAATCTAGATATATAACCACGTCCAACCCCCTTCCCCATCATCTCCATAGATTTCCCTAAGACCAATTAAAAGCCCCACATCCCACCTCCTCCCCCCGAGTCTAAATCCAAATAATATATATAAAAAAAAGCCAGCCCCGAGTGAAGATCCACATCCAAAATGCTCCACCTCAAACTCACCGTCCCCAAACCCATCAACGAATCCGTCATCGAGACCCTCACAGCCCATTTGAAGGCAATTGACGAGGACTTCCAGCTTACATCCGTCGACCAGCGATTTGCGGAGGCGTTCTACGATTGTCCCGATTCAAGCGAGGCCGAGTTCGACGCGGTGCGCGCGGATATCCAACAGTTGTTGAAGGATCCGGACCCGCTGATTCGTGGGTATTCGATTGATCATTGGTGGTAGTGGGGAGGTCTGAGGCTCGGAGTGATTCACTTGGGCTATGTTGCTTTTTAGTCGGTGTTCAGGAGGGTTTATTGTTTTGGATTGTGGTGTCTGCTATGTTATCTAGTTGTGATTTGGTTGCTGTCCCGGTTGGTCTACGGAGGATTATCTGCGAATTGGGCGTTAGATACATAGAGTCAACTTGAGTGGGTCGGGTCTATCAGGGCCCATATCTCGTCAGATTCCGTGAATAAACCACCCGAACCCTGACCCTGACCCTGACTCGAGTCGGACCCTTTTCGACGTTAGCTCTTAGCTAAGCGAGGCTGTCACCGACGGATATCCTCCGACATTCTGCAGTGCCAATGGTCAATTCAATGATATCTACGAGAGTATCAACCAACCGTCCAACTCCAGAGGCCAGAGGGATCAGTTTGGGGGCCAAATGAGCCGCTCATCAAATCCAATGGGGGCTTGGAACTCTTGGCGCCGTATCCTGTTCCTCGTTTAGGGCAATTGGCTTGACGATGAGGACGCTAGTCGACGCCGCCGACTCCTTATTTTGCATGTCGGGGCCAATGGACGTCGGGCTGCGTGGGTAAGCTGCAGAGGGGTATTGATTGAAGGGGCTTTGGCGGATTTTGGTGATGGGCAGGGTTGGTTCATCCATAGGTTAGTAGTTGGGTTAGGGTCTGGGTTCTGGGTTCTGGGTTCTGACTTCTTCTTGGATCTTTGGTTTTTGTGGTGTTTACTTTGATATACTATAGCATCAGTACTATTACTATCAATCTTGGTCGACTCACCACCACCACCACCAAGAACAGGAATCCTCATATAGAATACACTATACAATACATCCAGGGCACCACAACCAGCCCAAATGAAACTCCCACCACCAACCTCCCCCCTCCTCCTCCACCTCCTCTTCTCCATCCTCCCATCCCACGCCCAAAACACAACATGCTACTTCCTCGACGGCAGCGTCGCAACCGCCGACGTGCCCTGCACCTCCGACGCCACCACCAACTGCTGCAACAAGAACGACATCTGCATGTCCAACGGGCTCTGCTATCTGCAGGGGTCGCACGGCATGGCGCTCTCCCGGGGAAGCTGCACGGATAAATCATGGGGGGCGCGGTGTTTTGCGCCATGTTGTATGTTTCTTTGTTTCCCTTTTTCTTCTACATCATTTTCTTCATTCTTTCCTGTGATATATACCCTGTATACCTAGATCTAGTCGATCTATTCGAGTGACTGGGTTTACCTGTAATAGAAAACACCAGGAATAAAAAAAAAGAACCAACTAACAAAAACCCAATCTCCAGCAAGCACAAACCGCAACAACGGCTTCCCCGTCGTCAACGTCGGCTTCTCCGGCTCCGACTCCCAATACTGCTGTGGATCTGCCACCGTCAAAGACGGCAAGACAACCTGTTCCTCCGAAGGGGACCCCTTCACGATCACCATGGGCACGGCCATTCCTGGCGTGGCGGCGCTAGCGGTGAACAACAGCGACTCCGGGTCCGGGTCGCCAGATAACAGCACGGATTCGTCCACCTGCGACGACCAGCGGCTGAAGGAGAAGGCGCTGGATAATCATGATCTGGCTATTGGCGTCGGGGTCGGCGTGCCGTTGGGGCTTATTGCGGTGGCGGCGGTTGCGTGGGCTTTGTATGAGCGGAGGCAGAGACGCAGGGTCGGGGTGGTGGTTGGGGAGAAGGGGGAGTATGTGGATTTGAATTCGGGGAATGTAGGTATGGATTCGGGGAATATGGGCATGGGTATGGGTGTCAATGGCAATATGAATAATATGAATAATATGAATATGGGGGGTACACCGCTGGTGGAGTTGGTGAGTACGAATCCTACGCAGCGGCCGGTGGAGTTGGACTCCGGGAAGGTGGTGCCGCGGTGATGGATGTGTGCTATTGCTGTTGCTGCTGCTGCTGCTGTTGTTATGTGTCATGGGCTTGTATATGTGTTTGTGTTATAGTTTGATACCTGGTTGTTTTTTTTTTTTTCTTTTTGGTTGATATGTATGTACGTTACTACTACGAAGTACTTAACTAATGTTGGGCTGCAAGGGATGATGTCAGATGCGTCGTGTCTTGTCCGGCCTGGGCTTATGGCTGTGGAGTATGGGTTACGAGTGGCTGGTTCGTATATCTTTCTAATACGAGATGCTGACTTGGTCTGGCCAACCTAATCGCCTTATGAATAACGTTCATCGTGTTTTCCATTGTGTATTGCTTATTATTCTCTGTTTTTTTCTTTCTCTCTATCTCGTATAGCCATGTCTACCAGTAGACTTGTCGTATCATCTATCGTAGCCAGTATCCACGTTGGATGTGCAAGTGCATCGCCCGTTCCTCGCGGACAGATGTCTCCTTGTGGTTCGCCCTGCGCGCGCTGGTTGGGTTGAACATGGGTGGGGGTATCTGTGGTTGCTCAGTGCCTATCGCCGTGTTGGGTTGCGGTTCAGGCGTGCCGGACATGTCCAAGCGTCGCAGACCGGGCAGTCGTAGCGCCGGGTCGAAGTTGATGAGGACGATCGCCTGCAGGTCGGAGCGCAGGCCCTCCTGGCTCACGGTGTAGATGATGGTGCGTTCATCCGCCATGGCCTCAACCTTGCCGGTGCGCTTGGAGGGGCAGAGCAGTTGGGTCAACTCGGGCGGCGCGTTGTCCGGCGGCCAGAGGCGGATGCCGCGGGACGTGAAGCGCTCGTCGCTGCAGTCCGCGGGGTTTCCATCGTCGTCCTGATCGTCTTCCGTCACCTCCGGCCGAAAGAGCAGGTTCGGGGCCCCTTCTTCGCCCGCCTCGTCGATCGGGCACTTGCGCTTGCGCGACACCATGCGCAGCCGCAGCCGGTCGTGCGGGATCAGGCTGCCAGGCGTGGGGCAGGGGTCGTTGACGAGATCGACGAAGGTCGAGGCGCCCAGGTTGTACGTGCGGAGCTTGGTGCGGTTCAGGATGAAGTCCCGCCGGTGCACGGGGTCGTCGTGGTCGCCGTCGCGGCCCAAGGGGTATTCGGAGTGATAGTGTCGGCGCAGGCGCTTCCGGGGGCGTTCGTAGTTCGGTTTGCTGGACGGGTCCAGGGTTTTGGTCAACGGTTCGTCCGGCAGAGAGACGGGACGGCAGGCTTCGCCCTGGGGCTTACTGTGGATGATCTCGGTGGGCGACGGGAGCGGCTGCACGTAGTACGTGCGGATATTCTCGCTGCCGCCCTTGTGCCACTCGCGGCGACATTCCAGGATGATCAGCTGTTGGGTGGCCTCGTCGTGTCGCAGGGAGAGATCCGACCATGAGTCGTTCAGGGGCCCTTCGCGATGCTGTCGGCGCCAGGTCCGATTCAGGGTCACGCGCTTCGTATTGCTGGTGGGGGCCACGCAGGCCCAAACGTAGAAGGAAGTCCAGTCGACCTCTTCCATCTCGAACGCCGCCTGCGTCGATACGGCGTATAGATGGTCCTGGTGGATGTCAAAACACACCGTTTGTCCGATTTCGTTGCCGGCGAAATTGTGCAGCTGCACCGGGTTCTCGTTCATCTGTTTGCCCGTCGCCAGCTCGACGCAGTTGACGATCCATTGCTGATAGCCATTGTAGCCCGCCCCGGAGTGGGTCCCGTAGTAGAGGTAAGATTGGTTGTGTCGCACGAATAATCGCTGTTTGTTCTCGAGTTGTCGGCGCAGGCGCAGGCGTCCCTTGCCCCCTTCCGTCTTGCGCCGCATGTCCACCGCCAGGAGCCAGGTCTCCCGCCGCTCGACCATGTCCACGGCAATTGCCAGCACGCCATGGCTATAGTTCATCAGCGACAGTTGGGTTGCGTCTTCGGTCGGGTCGCAACCCGGGATCACGCGTGACAGGACCGCGTGCAGGTTCAGGACATGCTCGACTTGGCTGGCCCCATGGACATCCAACGCGCGGATCTCGTCGTTGAACACGTAGCACAGCGCACCGCCGCTGTAGAGAAAGGCACTCCCGTAGCCGATAATCGACGCCGAATATGGGTCGGCGGTGGCCACCGCTTCCTTGATGTCATAGAGACGTCCCAGTGCTTGGCGGTAGCCAGACTTGTTCTCGGTTGCGTGCTGTCCTTCCTTGGTATGGAGGAGGTGGTTCTGTTGCGCTGTCAGTGTTCTGTTCCACACGGAGGGTTAGCGAGGGTCGTACCTCGACTGTCTTCCGTGCCAGTGATTCGTTTTGCATCAAGGCATTCAGGCTTCGGTTCACCCGGCTGAGATGTATGAAGTCATGGCAGTCCAGGGTGGATGCCACTTGATAGAAAACATCGTAAGGGATACAGTCTAAATTTTGGGTCATCTCTGACATGACCGAGGGGGGCACACAATGGGTGTGAAAGCATCTGAAGGAGGTTGATGGCACTGGAGAAGGAGTGTCGATCGAGAGATAAATAGAAAGAGAGTATAAAAGTGTTCCACAACGGTGTTCTCCAGGGAAACCGCCAGTGAATGTCAGGAGTGCAACGCAAGTCAATGGTTGCGACAAAGGACGCCGATTACCCAGGGAGAGGCAATCACCCATGCAGAGGGGACTTGCCCGCGGCGAGCATGTTTTAGTAGTTCAGGAATGCGGCTCTAGCACAAGCATGAGGATCATTTTTCGAGGCGAGATCCAAGGCCCGATGGAATCGTGGAGCCTCCCGACCCCTGGCGCGACGATTGGTCAGGCAGCGCTTATTAGGATTCTCCAAGTGGACATCAAAATTAAAGCCACGCCACATGCATCGAATGAAGGTCCGCGCGTCAAGGTCGGATGATGAAAGACTGCGATCGTCGCGTTCCTTTCCTCTCGACCGGTGGGGTTGTTTCTTCCCGTGTCTCGTCGACATCCAAGAGCCTCAATCTGGTCCAATGTCACTTTGGTTTTGGTTTTGGTTTTGGTTTTCCTTGTTTCTTGTCGGTGATACCCACGGGGGAGATTGGTGGATCTGATTTCCATATTCAGGTTTCTTTCTGGTCCTTCTTTCTCTCTTTGCGGTCACTGGAGAGCTAAAAATAACTCATCATTGGGAACCGAACTATGGGACTGGGGGGGGGGGGGGGGGTTTCTTGAACGACCCCAAACTTTGGTTGGGGGCTTCACCGACTTTGGCCCTCTTCTTTTTTTTGTTTTTTTTTTTTTTTTTTTTTTGCGGCTCTTTTCCCTTTTATCAGCGTGGCGGAAAACAAAAGCGACCGGCGCTATTTTTTCTCACGCCGGCCGCTTCGTTCCGACGTGACGACTGGTCGACTAAAAAACTACTAGTAAACCCCATCCTGTCGGGCCCCGAATTCGCCTCTTCGCGCTTCGGAGAAACACTGCGGTCTCAGCGTTACACTATCGAAATTGAAATCAAGCCCAAAGGACTCCTCCGTTCCACGACTAGTCCGTCCCAAGTGATGCGGCTGCATGACCGTGTACGAGCTGGTCCTTGACCCCGACAAAACACATCTCGTTGCCACCCCCGGCTAAACAGTCTCAATCCCATGATACTGAACACCAGTCCCTCGAGTCTTGGTCTTGCGTGAATTATGGAACCACGGAATTCAAATGCAACAATAAATACAGTAATCATCATAATGGCACAAGAAAAAACAAAATACCAGACTCCGAACCTCGGGCCAGAATTGCCATATCAACCACCGCGTGGCGGTGCCCGTAAGCTGCCACACATGCCGTCATAGTCGTCAACCAACTGGCCAGTGCGTGTCCTCAGATCACATCTTAAAATCTGCTCACCCCGTGGACACGTCTACGGAGCACACTCAAACGGAGTCATGCAGAGGGCCACTAAACCGGACATGACGCTCGAAATATGGTTGCCTTTCGAGTCACAATGGCGACGGCAAACAATTAATTGCGCATCAACTGCGCCTTGCACTGCCTCGTTCCGGACGAGGATCAATCAGGTACGCCGGAAGAGGCTGGTCATCCAGATCTCCGCACTGGGGCCCAAGATGGCACACGATCGCCTGTCAATCCAAGTGCAAGGTGTTCATGCTTTGGGGGATCTGATGCAATGGGGAGCAGGTCTCACCATGACTGGTCGTCTCGTTTGATACTGGACAGCCAGCCTCGTCGCGGCGGGAGCTCCCAACGCAAGGTGGCCGGGTCATCTTTGTTCATTGAGACCCACCTGCCAATCAGAAAAGACCCGTTCGAGATAAGCCATAAGCATGGACATTCGAGCTCTGCGGGGTATCGCAACAGGTCCAAACCTAGTCCCCCGTCACGTTGTACACTGCACATCACCCCACGAGATGTGTCGACGATCTTCCGAGTGAGTGAGCACCCAGATTGGTTGACACGTCTGGTAACGTAGTCGATGGATTCGTCTGGAACCAGTGTCCATGCGCCGCTCAAGACCAGGGCAGCAAGGATCCCTGTTTGGTCACATTCCGGCTGGCCGGCTGCTTTTTGTTTGCTAGCATCCTTGTAGACCCCGAAAGAAGAGGGGTCGGTGTTGATTATATGGAGCTCGAGCACAGACAATTGAGTTTCCCTCCGGTGTCTCGATAGGGGGGGGCTAGCCTCGGTGTATAGAATTGCTGAGGGGCCAATCCTCGTGTAGGAGGTGGGTGGGGGCACTGAGGCTCAATATGACATATTGTGAATATATCTAAAGGCTCCTGTCCTCCGTTCTGGGATACTCCTATGCTAGGAAGGTTTAATTCTTGATTCTTGTGTTATATGAAGTTCTACTTATGGGTTATGCCCTTCAAACGCAGCGCGAGTTATTTACCGCTCTCTATCACCATTGCTGGCTTTTGTTGTTGAGGCTCTTAACATCATCACGCCTCCACAGCGGGTAGGTATCATGATTACCTTGCGAACATAAGTAAATGGGACTATACTATATAAACCTGGTCCGTGTTGCATTAGATTCTGCATGGAGATAAAGCTCTACTATACTACCACAAGGCCAGCCTCAGTCTATCCACCATTCATCATCATGTCGCGGACTTGGCTGTCGGTTCTGGCGCTTACTCCCAACACGGTACGCGGTGGTACATAACATACCAACGAACATGTTTCCCGGTGGTCATGTGAGCTGACCCCGTGACCAGCCACCAAGACGTGGCTGTCAAGCAGAAGCATCTGGCCCCTGACCGTCTGAAGATTCTCGTACCCTAATGTAATGATCCCCACGAAAGTGAGAAGAGAACTGGGATTACGGTGGTGCAAGCCTCGTGACCTGACGGGATTCACTGAGAAGCATGACTACTGGCCAAGGCTGGATGATCGGCCAGCCGACAACCGACGATTCCATCATTGTCCGGCCATCATCGTCATTGATCCTCAGCCCCCATGTGCCCGGCTGCAGGCCAAGACCGAGACAGTTATGCTGGTGCCTAGCGAACATTCCGGAAGGTTGCCCCCTCGGGACAAGCGCCGAACTGGATGAGATTCCTGGGGAATGGATTGGCCCGGTGGGCATCCACCGTAGCACGTACCATGGAACCAGGGCTGTAGGGCTGTCCCATCCAAATTAACTTGGACGGGAGAGTACGTATCATGTGTTGAGAAGCATGATGCCAAACGTTCTGCACGATGGGTCAAGGGGCGAATTCTATTTGCCGAGATTCCCGTAATCCACTTTCAGGAGTCTGCGGTAAGGCTGACGGCCGACCACTGGATTGATGCTGATGGCGTGCCGGAGTCATCGATTACTCATGCTGATCCCAGGGGGGAACCTTTTTTTTTGGGGGGTTGGGGGTTCAATTTTCGGTGTGATTGTTGTGGGATATATGGTCGTTCTAGTAGATATCACCAAGAAAATAAGAGTAGAATAATCAGACCGGTCCAATTGACTTGCATCGTCCGTCACTAACCCTCGCGTCGACTTCGTTGGTCACAAATAAGGCAAAAAAAGATGTCTCTCACTTGACCGCTGCTGCCCTATCCGCTCGTGTCAGACCCACAGGGGACGAATGGGCCAATCGTCCGGCGGGACGGACCCCACCGAGGAATGCGGACTATCAGCCAGCCTGCCTCAGGTTCCCCGTTCTTGTTAAATCTCGCGTTCCTGTCTTTTCTTCTTCCTTTTCTTCCACTTCTTATTCCCTGTCCGCCTTGTTGGTCTCTTCCTGTTCTTCCTCCCCTCATTCTGTCTCCAGTGGGAAGATAAGCTTACTTTTCTTCACGATCTTGTGGGTTGAGGGGTTCGTGTTAGCCCCCCAGAGACGGTGCACTGACTTTCTCCACACGAGGGACTGTTTCTTGGCGAGGGGAAATTGATCACTCCCTCGCACTGCACGCACACACTTGTGATCTCTTCACAGTCACGGGTAACTTCTCACATTCATCCTAATTGATGTACTACCAAAATTACAATTACCCTCCCCCACAGTCGGCTGGGGAGGTGGCTACTATCCGCCGCCGCAACAACAACAACAGCAGCAGTGGTCACCAGCACCACCGCCGCCGCAGTCTTACTAGTAAGATACCGCTGTCGTCCGCCCACCGTAAGTCTGTTAGGGCTAACCAGTCCAAGTTCCAATGGATACCCTCCGCCAGCACAACCACCCCATTCATACTCTCCACCACAATATCCGCCCCCCGGCCATTATGGCCATCACACTCCGACCCCGCCCCCGTCGTCGGGGTCACAGCATCGCTCTTATCACAGTAAGTGAAGGCATATCAATCTTGCTACGGACAGGATCAACTAACCACCCTAGGTCACACGCCGTCATGGGGCCGAAGCCAAACGCCCCCACGCCCTCCGATGGAGGCGCAGCAGTTCGGCAAGGGAGCTCCGTCCAACTATCGCTTCCAGTATTCCGCCTGTACGGGTCGACGGAAGGCCCTGTTGATTGGCATTAACTATGCCGGGCAACCGAACGCCCTCCGCGGCTGTATCAATGATGTGACCAATATGTCGACTTTCCTCCATGATAGATACGGCTACCGGAGAGAAGACATGGTCATCCTGACCGACGACCAACAGAATCCCATGAGCATGCCGACCAAAGCCAATATCCTGCGTGCAATGCAATGGCTGGTCAAGGATGCCCAGCCGAACGACTCGCTTTTCATTCATTTCTCAGGTACAGACCACCGCGGAAGCTGACCGGGATTTGATTGGCTGACTGATCTAGGACATGGCGGCCGCACACCGGATCTGGATGGAGACGAGGAAGATGGTACGTTTGAACCCACGATAGTCCATTCGTGACTAGTACTGACGGACATCAGGATACGACGATGTCATCTACCCGGTGGACTACCGTACGGCAGGACACATTGTAGACGATGACATGCACGATATTATGTAAGTGTGCTCTGATTTGCTGCTCGCCCTCTTACTGACAAACCTTCAAGGGTACGGCGGCTGCAACCAGGTGTGCGTCTGACCGCTATCTTCGACTCCTGCCACTCGGGTACTGCCCTGGACCTTCCTTACGTATACTCCACTCAGGTACGTTTCTCTCCCGTTTCACGTGCCTTCAAGATACTCATTCTGGCTAGGGCATTTTGAAAGAACCCAATCTGGCCAAAGAGGCGGCCCAGGATCTCTTTAGCGCCATCACGTCATATGGACAAGGCGACTTCGCGAGTGTCGCCCAGACTGCAATTGGCTTCCTCAAGAAGGCCGCCCTGGGCGACTCTGCGCGCGAACGAACCGTTAGAACCAAGACCTCCCCTGCGGATGTCGTCATGTTTTCAGGCTCCAAAGATACCCAAACTTCGTAAGTACCTCCGTGGGTGCCAAAGTCGTTCGCAGCTCACAAGGTGACAGAGCGGATACCTTCCAGGATGGAGAGGCTCGAGGTGCATTGAGTTGGGCTTTTATCAAGACCTTACAACAGCGTCCACAACAGAGCTATTTACAACTGCTAAACTCGGTTCGGTCCGAATTAGAAGGCAAATACAGTCAGAAGCCGCAGCTGAGCTGCAGCCACCCTCTAGGTGAGTCTTGTGTTCCTGACGTCTTCTGTTTCTTTACTAACAGCCCTAGATGTCAATTTACTCTTTGTGATGTGATATGTATTGTATGAGACATGATGTATGCGTAGTTGTTTTCTTCTCTTTTTCTTTTTGGGTTTACACGATTCCATGACATTCAATAGCATTTTGCATGGGCCTTGAGCAAAGTCCCGGCCATATTTCCTTTCGGCTTTATTTCTATGCATTGTTTGGCTAGACAGCTGCGCTGTAGTTTGTTAATAATACTCTCTGACCAACTGCACGCTGAAGGTACAACGCTTTTAGTCTTGACCATAGGGGTTCCTCTTCTCTCTTGCGAACATCGTGGATATGAGTTCTAAGTGTACCACCGACATGCATGTGAATAATAAGTCTTGATAATCGACAGGGCAAATTGAATTGCTAAGAGTTCGCCCATTTTGACCGAGATAATAGTATGTTTGTTCTCTCGAATGTTTAGTTGTTTCAACCACCTTTCACACTACATTTGCAAATCTTGCTATCATCTTTGTCGAGTTTCTAAGTAGCTATTAGTATGCCGAAGCTGAGACTATGGCAGCGTTCTACATACCTTCTGCGGCCGTTATCAACAGTACCGTCTTGCAGCCGTACCCTGGTCAATCTTTCCTATATCGTGGGAGACTCGCTACAAAGATTAACAGCTTTCTAGGAAATATAGCATCTAGTGATGTGAGCGCATACCGGTATCCAGCCGATGAGCAACTATAGGGGGCAAAAGCTCCTCATGGGATGGCTCGATCACTAAGAGGAGTTCTTTCGCATATGCCGACGCCACGGCAATTGCGCGCTTTCGCCATCGATCGTTTTCATGCGAGTCGGAGTAATAACTGATTCCTCGGACAACCAGACAAGGGAGGTTATTCATCACCCCGGCCGCTGCCATTTCAAAGCAGAGTATCGAGTTCTTGTAACGTTGGCCAATCTTATCCCTTTCGATACCACTATTAATGACCATGCTCCCAGATGCAATGACCCCGTAATGTACGTGTGGTTTGCAGGGAGAGTGGCGGGCATTTCGTGGAATGAGCGCTTGTCTGTCGCAGGAATCGCAAGTTTCAGCTTCGGGGTCGTGCTCGTAATCCGCGCGGTACAATAGATCAGGCGCGAAGCGTTCTTCTGGATATGCGTATTCGTCACCCAATTCATTGATAATACCCAGCATGTTGTTTATTGGCTTCTTAGATCTCATGTGGTATGCCATTAGGAGGTCAACCGCAGCCAGGATCTTTTGAGGAGGCGCACGGAACCGGTCTTTCCTCTGAACACGGCCATTTGTTCCCAATTTCCCGTAGTCGTATTGTACAATGCCGGTGTAGGTCCCAGTAGGATAGCTGACCACGACATCGCCCAGACGAATGTCCTTTTGCTTACTTGGCACCCCTCCTCCAATCCCCACCAGGAGGGCGAACCTGATGTTCTTGAACGTGCGGCGCATGTTTTCTGCCACAATAGCAGCTGGACCAATGCCCCATTGTCCGCCTGGTAGACAGGCCATCACAACATTGTGGTCACCAACCTTGCCCAAATGATATGCGTTGGTGTCGTCTCGCGGTGTAGACTGGGGCCTACCATGCTCCTCATCCAACATCGCCATGGCTACCATCAACTCTTCAGTCAAGGTCGATATCCATCCAATGGTATATTCATCGTTTGAATACGGAGAGGGCTTCATGTTGAGTGGGGATATTTTGAACGGGACTGCTCAATAAAAGTAGCGTCGTGAGATACTTGGAAAGAGCCACTGTAGAGTTTACGAGATGGGTGGGAAGGAGAAAGAAGCACCACGAGGCTGAAGGTCAGGCCTGCCTGAACTTCTTGCCCAAAACTTGCCTGAGCTTGCCCCCCCCCAAAAGCAAAAACACCGTGAAGGAAGAGTACATATATAAATTGGGCATTTTCCACATTTACTCCTAGACAAAATTACAGACTCCTCAGGTTAAAGCCACCTACCCATATATCCTGGTAGATACTTCTGTGTACACTTCTGATGCCATGTTAGTCAACCAGTCAACAGGAGTTAATGCGGTCTCAGGTTCGCAGCGAACAGTTCACAGGTCGCCAGAAAGAAGTTGCTCGAATTCATCCTCATAGATGAAGTGATACAAATCGAGCTCGATGAGTTAGTTCGAGACATCCAAATCGAACAGGATCGTGCCAAAATAATGCCGGATCTTGGTAGAGACGTGGTACTGATGGAAAATCAGTGGGGTATTGAATATAGTGAAGGGTGGTTGAGGGTGGTTATAATATTTGTATACATGGCACCCTAGTACTGAGGTTTAGCGGGTGAGATATGCCGATAATCGGCGCATATTCGGGGCGGGTACGGTCGGATTTCTATTCCAATGGTTTAATTAATTTAGATAAACTCTGATTGATGCCTTGGCCATGTATAGTCTGTATGGGTAGGGTTTGCCAGCACATCATCGTGGCGCATCAACCACCTGAAGCCTAAACGTACAGATGGGGATGGGTCCACTCTCGACGCTCTCCCAGGCGCACGGAACCCCTCAGAATATAAATGGGGACTGGAAGGAGACTCGAACCAAAGATCGCGGGGCCTCAGTCCGTGCGGGTGGAGATCTGGTCAGCCAGCCACTGTTTAATGTATAGACCGTCTCCAATTGTTTATTCATCCTCAAAGAGCGGGTTTGTTTGGAACCTGACTCGCTAGAAAAGATACGCCGTTCGTTTTTCGATTTGATCATGACCGTAGATGACTGCCAACTATCCTTCAGTGGGGTCCCTACTGGTCCGATCCTGAACCTACCCTACCCTTGTACTGGTGGACCCAAGGTTGGACTGGCGGACCCGTCCGCTGGGTAATGAGCTAGCAACTATTGAACAACCAATCGACCACGAATGAAACCCCCAGTCGAGGGGACGTGAAGGAAATTGCATGTAGATCCCTCCAATTGAAGCATGGGTACCTCGTAGTCACTGGGGATTCGTATCATGGCCTTCGTTCTTGCATCAAGCTGCCAAAATGGGGTGTCTGATGTGTCACTCAATCTAACATTGCTATGCTATATTCGTCGCTGCAGAGTGAAAATTAGTGGTTAGGATTTTTTCTGTGTACTCCTCATCTCTTGCATTTTGCCATCCAATGCAGAAAAAACTCGCAAAGTAGTCAACTCTGGTGTTTGTCCTGTGTATCAAGACATCATCTGCTCTAAGAGCACATTCACGGAATGATGGCGATATCGACTTGCATCTGCAGGACTTGCTACTGGCAGACAGGCAAAAATCACGCAATTTTGAGGTGATGCTTTATGCACCTCGCCCTCTACCCCGCGCGCTGATCAGACTTTACTGATTCACTCGTGCCAAATGACACGTAGGTATCTTGCATCGCCATGACAGTCGCATCTTGCGACGTGTGCCATGAACGCACCGATCAGATGAGGCAATTCATTCCTGTTAGTCAGCGATTTCTCTTATTCTCCCAATTCAAAGCCTCTGACCTGAGCTGAGAGCTGGGCTATAAATATGTGGACAACCCTCCCCTAGGTTTATCCTGGAAGACAACGACCAGAAAGACAAGTGCAAACAGTATATTATACCTCTTTTATCTCTGTCATTCTAGCAGATTCATCCTTCTCACCACCAAGGTAAGATGTCCATAAGCACTATTAGGTTCCGCTTCCTCCACTCTTCATGCCCTTGTTCTGATCTTCTCCCTAGATGCCCTCCGTGACAGGCACAATTTCCGGTTCCTTTAACAGCTTCGAAGGCCGTTGGATTGTGGACGGCCACCTAGCTGAATTCCACGGTAATATCAACCCAAGTGTTGAAAGATGGGATTCCAACGCTACACTCGAATATGACGAAATCGATGACCTTGCTGGCGCCTCCGTGGTCGGCCCCGCGGGGCTACCGTCATATGTTGGCGCTGATAGCACTAGCCTCACATTGATCGGCCAGGGCGGCAAGCAAGTCAAGATCACTGGTAATCTCACCATTCCCATCTCCCAGAGAATCACCATCTCCGGCCAAGGAGTCTGGACTGTCAGATAGTAGATGGAGACCCTTTGGCCCTGGGAAATTGCTTCAGTATATATCTATGGCATGGAGTTTGGATAGGTGGATGAAGATGGCGAAGGAGGATGGGGAATGTTAATGCTGGTCTCATCGGTTGGATTACATGGTCTCTCACCTGGAATACCGTGCGCCTATACCTATGCTGCCGGCGTGTAGCTAGCTCTTGCTCCCTCCAAGCTCCAATAAATCACTAGAGGATCGAAGATGCCAAGCCTGGTAAAACAGGTGTAACTGCTGTAGCATATGAAGTAGAGTTAACATAGACTTAACGTACTGAGCTTGTGAAATATGACCTTCCGGCAATCGGAGGTTCCCTCCTCACCTTTCAAACAAAAATGTTCTTGTTTTCACTTGAGCCTTGCGTTGTCAAATACCAGTCGGCTTCATCATCTATATACCCCCTCTCTCCTATTCTCGCTATATCTCCTGGTACCTCCCTGTAGATAGATGATTGCTTGGAATATCCTAGTATTGGACACATCGTTAATAAAATATCATTGTTAAAGGCGATCACGTTCATAGCGGGAATAACATAACCTATATGATATGGTATTTAGCTCGAACGGGCCGGTGGTGATGCCATTTTAGATTGTAAATTAGGAAGCCCATGTTGCTCGTCTTCTTTGGGCCTGATTGTAAAGATTTGCGCTGTGTGGAAGACCCAGGCAGCAAGGATTTTACATAAGGACGCATATGCAGAGAGAGAGAGAGAGAGAGAGAAAGAAAGAGAGAGAGAATACTACATGGCTTTAGAATCTGATATATCTTGATCTTCTTATTCAATCTTGCATCGGGTTCGAGCTAACCATCGAAAGTGAGTGACGACTGAGCTTATCCCTTGGTATTCATCATCCACATGTCACTCGTGTTGGCACAGGGAATATCAGCACCAAGCAATCCCATTAGACCGGCACAACAATCTTAGTGCCACTGACACCACCCTTCAACTTGTCCAATGCTGCATTCACTCCGCCCAGACCGCCACCCTCAATCTGGATAGTGGGGCTGGGGATTACTCCACCGGACTGCAGACCGGCCTTCAACCACCCATTGAAGACCTCGTTAGTGTGCTTGCTTCTCGCATTCTCATCAATAGGTGGGAAGTTGAAGGTGATCTGCGTGTTATCGAGGGTAGGGTGACCTTCTGGGAGAAGGGGTGAGTGTGCAACCTTGGCGTGTGCATCGCCCTTGGTCTCCTTGAGGATGTCCAACGTCGGCTGCAGAGCTCCATCAACAACGCAGTGTGCAGTATGCAGCTTCACACCATCCTTCCTCACGGCGCTGATGATCTGGGAGACGACATCACTTGCCCTGTAATCGAAAACGGCATGGGCCCCGAGCTTCGTGACGAGGTCATGGTGCTTGGGACTGGCGGTGGCGTAGATTGTGAAGCCGAGTGTCTTGGCCGATTGAACGGCAAACGTGCCGACACTACTTGATGCGCCCCAGATCAGCACCGCTTGTTTGTCCGCGGGAGTGTACCTGGTGTCGAGCGGAATGCCGATGCTGGTCCAGGCAGTCAGGGCAGTCAAGACGGCCATGGGGAAGACGGCGCCTTCCTCGAAGGACAGATTGTCTGGCAGTGGGATGACAGCTTCGGATTGTGCCAGAGTGTACTTCTGGAAGGAACCGTGGTCGGGGGAGCCGTTCTGGTAGAATGACGAGGCAAAGGCGATGACTCGGCTTCCTGGACCAGGGGCCGTGGTGACCTTCGAGCCCAGCTTGGCGACAATACCAGCAGTGTCGGACCCGATGATAGCAGGGTAGATAGGCACAGGAGGCATGCCATAGTCACGCTGGAAATGATCGCAGGGGTTCAAGGCAACGGCCTTGACTTCGATGAGACTTCGTTTGGGCCGGGCTCGGGGGTGGCACGCTTGCCAAGAGACAAGGGACCGCCCAGCTGGGGGAGAATGGCAGCTTCGTGTTGTCGGGTCATAGTGGATGTTTGACGGGCTGATGCTGTGGTTGCTCTTGTGAGTATTTTTCTGCTGAAAAGGCGGTTCAACCTGAGCCGGCGAAGGATTTAGAAGGGGAAATGATTGAAGATGAAATGCGGATAAGGTTAAATATAAGAGATATATAACTACGGTAGACCTATATTTAGAGGGTACATGTGACATGCCTGCAGCTAGAGTCCTTTAAAACCGATACGTCCCTAAAGTCCGATTCTGGGAGATTCCTCTTGTTTATCCCTGCACGTTATTGAACTTCTGCTGTGATACTGGGGGATATAGCCCGAATAACGAGTGTGATTGTCAGATTCGAGTGGCTATTGATATACTAATACTTTTTCGCCCCCATGACCGTTGCTCTTCCCGTGTGAGCGCTGGACGCCTTGCCATTAAATGCGAATGCTGTGTAGGGATCTCGGAGACTGAAACTCCGTGGTTGGTTAGTATGGTGAGTTGGGACGAATACGAGTCGTGGTTAGCGTCTTTTTTTCAGTGAGAACCTACAAAGCCCCACTGTGCCTCGCCGGGGAGCTGCTGGCCGTGGACAGGGGCAAAGCAGTACAGCCAAAAGAGTCTGGCAAAAACTGTATCATTGAATATACCGAGAGGGACGTTGACAGAGAGCGTCGTCAGCACGGTAGCATCTCTGACCATTGCAGTGTCGATAGTGGAAAAGCATTTTTCGAATATGATCATCGTAGCATTTGCAATCGCAACGGTTCCTAGGTATAAGCCGAACATAAGAACGTAGGGGTTTGACGGGACGAAAACCCTTGGGTTTCCGCAGTACATTCAATACATTGCTTGAAGGCAATGGTTGAATTGTACATGGCCTTTCCATCAGGATTCTATTTAGGACCAACAGCACGATTTAACATGCGACATGGGGGCGGGACAGACCTATTCATCATCGTCACAACCGGCGCAACCAACGCTACAGCAGTTGCAACCCCATCGACTGCTAGTTTTGGAGGTGTCACCCACTTTTGCAGAGCTGACAATGTTAGTGGCACGTCTTCATCTTACCGTGTTTCAGTGGGTAGAACATACGTGGGTATTATCAGGGAGGCCTCCGTATGGGACGAGCATTCCAAAATATGATGGCTCATTCGAAGAGTCGATCGCATATGTTTAAGCAGATAATAGTGATTTCTATCATTGTCTCGTGCAAAGAGATTCGAGTATCGGAGAAAGCCCTCCTGGAGACAATTGTCACAGGAATTTCTGCTTCTGGGTCTCTTATCCTTCTCATTATATACCGTTTGTAAAGCTCGTCAAGGTTAAGAAAGACCACCGGATGGAAACAAAGGCAGGCTTCCAGTAGGTCAGTCCCTGAGCCTGGACATCACTCGGTAGCTCCCGTTCTGAACAGCAGCTTGCGTTATAAGTTGATTCAACGAGAAGTCAAAAGCACTAGATGTACAATCTTGTCACAGAGGAAGAGTAAGACGTGTACATAAATAAGTTGATTCTTTATAATAGACTGGTCTTGGTCGGTTTTAATCTACTTAGTAATGGCAATGTATCTAGTTAGCCCCTAATACCTTTCATTGGTTAGGGCCACATTGATAAATATGAGAATACAAAAGTTGGTGCTTTAAAGCGCTCCTATCAGCTGCGCACTAGGAGGATAATAAAACACTTGATTGAAGCTCTTTTTCGCAGCTCTTCATTTCTCTGATACAGTACGGGTATGGAATCATATAATAAACTCTATTGGTTATACCTCGAACACAGATGGCCAAAGCAACATTCGCCTATCTCGGAAATGGAATATGTCAATGATTTCCCGGAACTACCGGATATATATGGTGTATTTCTACAAACACAGATATTAACTGGCCTAGGCAATGGAGGTTATATTTCGAGTGTCCCTCTAGCACATGTAAGTGATCTCTTCTACGACTGTGCGATCCAGAAAATATAGCAGAATCACCTACATCTGCTAATAGTAATAGACGCCTGAAGGCGCAGCCAAACACCTTTCTTCCCAGTAGCAGAGCAGTTGCAAAGAAGTGATCAACTTTGGAGTGTTAGAAATGAGCTGACAGTAACATCCAAAGCTACTACAGACGAGGAATCTCCCATAGAACGATTGAACTGTGACGTGTACGAGACTCATATGCCAAGGGACCAAGAGGAAACCGGAATAGCGACCACCAGAAAACCAACGAGAGCTTGCGCCTAAAGGAGCATGCGACCAAAAGGTATATCAAGCACAAAGGACGGTGTATAACCGCATTGAAAAAGCAGTGCCGGCAGCCTCGAAATGCTAGATTTGACTAACTTGAAGATATTACTAGGGCTTGGACGGTAACCGAATATCCGGAAACCATTGACTGAAAGTTGAAGAATGGCAAGAGGCATGGTAGAAAGGCACATATCATATAAAATGCTTACAATTGTATTACAGCCCTTAAAGCCGATATAGATCCTCTCCATAAAGAACGGGTCGTATGTCGCACAGAACATGACTTATGGTGTGGGCCAGTTTATGGATAAATGCACAACAGGGTATACACATACTATGACAAGATCAATAATTTCAATTAGGCTAAGAATGCATGCAGATATCCAGATCGGAGTACCGAGTTTCTGAAGGAGTAGTCCAGGTGGCTCGTAGAGAGTAAACGATACCATGGGCATCAAATTATGCGCATTCTGTTCCACCAGATGTTCTGGTCCACCTGCCTGTGTAGCCAGAGAAAGTCGAAGGGCATAAAGTCTACCTTACAGCGTCTATCCATAAAGACAAGCACTCAACCTATAAAACGATACAAATTCCTCAGGAAGGAGACTACTAAACAGTAGGGGTCCCTTCAACGTCCGCGACTGATGTCAACTGTGGACTTGACTAAATCCCGCTTTTCCGTTGGCCGTTTTCATAAGCACTCTCCTTGTCATCATCAGCATGAATGTCCTTGGTCTATGAAAACGTCTATCTAAGGCGGCGAGCGGGATAATCAAAGAACCTTGCTTCATGCGGATGAGAAGACCGAGCCCATAAGCGCTAATACCATGTTCCCACTGTAGCCCCAGGCTTAGCTCCAAGGCATGCCGTGGTTCACCGGAACCAACCAACCATCGACTTATAATAGATACACCGTAGATTTTAATCCAAATATACCTCATTCAATTAGAATGCAAAAGAGGCGGTTTTAGCAGAACTAGAATCCTTTGAATCAGGAGAACAGAAACACTATACCTTCTATGCCAAAAATTCTTTTTGAACCGAATTACCCTGTCAAGACGTCACCAAAATATTCAGGGCAGCCAGGGCAGACCGTTAAGAGGAGCAGCAATTACTCCACAACCAGCAAGCCAAAACACACTCATCAAAGATATAAACAAGCTCCCTGAACGAGGTTTATATATGTATATATATATATATATGTGTGTGTGTGTGTGTGTGTGCCCTCTTCTATGCTACAAAGGTTTGCGGCCGAAATCACCACGCCGGCTGCGGGATCCGAAGTTTCCATATCATGTATAGCTAAACGCAAGTATTGTTGTTCAAACTCCACATAATGGAGGGCACACACACGCAGAAACCACCAACCAAGCATCTTGGACTTCCCCCATCAAGGTGCACTACGCAGAAGGATAACAGAAAGTCTTGTTGTCTCACCTGTCAAGCCATGCAGCGGGATTTGTAATTCAATGAGGGGTAGTTTAGCGCATTTCATGGTTCTCGACAATCGTTGTAGCCGCCGTGTTTTGGTGGGTGGATAACGCTTACTCATTGGCTACTTAATCTAAGGCAGCGTCCCACGCGGATTAGGCTGATTCACCAACCGCTGCTTAATATAAATACGAGGCTTATTCAAATGTGATTAATTCTTTTGATCCGAGACCAATTCCAAAGTACCACGGTATACCTTGCATTATAAGATTTAACCACCAACTCTTCGTTCTTGAGACTTAACTACTTCACATCTGAAGGACAATTCAACATGGCCGAAGCTTTGTCACTTGCTTCTAGTTTGGTGGCGCTGGCTGCGTTTGCATTTCAAACAAGCAAATCTCTCTACCAAGTGGTTGAAAGTTTCAAGTCTACTAAGCGAGTTATTCGCGACCTTCGGTTTGAAATCGAGTCTTTGACCCAAGCTCTTGCAACCCTTGAAAAGGCAGCCGTGGATAATGAGGCTCAGCTCATGGCACTGAAGCTGCCTTTACTACGTTGCGGGAAAACCTGCAAGGAGTTCGAGGGGGTTATCAACAGATGCACGAGTCATTCACGTGACCAACGAACCAGCTTTCGTGACTGGGCAAAGTTGCAATATATGGGGGGCGATATCACAGACCTTCGGACCGCTTTAGCTGGCTACAAAGCGACAATTAATATTGCTCTAGGAGGTGCTACCTTGTAAGTATTTGGACCGGAATCAAACATTCTCTTCGTGTACTTACATGAGCCAGCCGCCAAGCGGCTGTCACCGTTAATGTTCTCGAAGAATACAAGCAGATGATTGCAGAGGCAACATCGGACCTTCAAGACCACCTACAAGGAATCAACGAGCGAGTGAGGTCAATTGAAGAGACAGGCCACGTTCCGCATTCCGATATCGACCTGAGTATAGTGAGAGAAGAAAAGGAGAGTACCGAACAATGCCTCGCTATTTGCGTCCAGGTCTCCAGATATATTGAAGGAGCCCAAATGCGCCTGCCTCAGGACTCTCATAATGTTCCAATGCTCACACTCCATCCTGTATCCAGTGAAGGTTTTGATTCCACCAAGGCATATAGAGCGACGGATGCCTTGTTGAAAGATCTTAGAAATAAGCTCTCGCTGAACTCCCAAACTCTTCAAGCCCGTCTGAGTACCCTAGACAGCCAGCTCAAAGCATGTTCGGAGGTTGGTACCCTGAGTTCACGAGAAGGGACAGCAAAGTTTGATCTTATTAAAGAGGAGAGGGACAGTATTGCTCAATGTTTGAATATATGTGCGGACGCGTCGGATATTGCTCAGATGGCTCGGAAAAATGTGTACGAGGATGTTGCCTCAGCCGATGATTCCCACCAACTGGTCGTGTCGACGATAGGCGATCTAATATCAGCGAAACATATCATCACAGGAGCCAGGTCGGTGCAGTGGTTGGGGCAGATGTCGGACGACACATTGCAGCAACTTTCCCGAGACCAGAAAACCCGCCACAGAGAACAGGAGAAGTCGGGCACCCAGACCGAACATGATGGGTTCAGCGGACGCTATGGTACTGGGTATCAACTGCACCGAGAACAGATTGAGATGGATCGTCCTTCCCACAGCAACCGTTAGAGTAGGAGCTTTTGTTGATATTTGTTTGATATATTGATATCTGAGGGACGAAGTGAGCTGCATTCCGGATTGTTTTCCGCTGCAATAAAAATATAGCCCGACACTATTAAAGTGACTGTAATAATAGCTTGAAACGCCCCGCAGTGTTCATTGGATTGCTTAAATGCACACCAAAGGCTTGTCCGGAATCTCTATCATCGGCAGTTTATAGTATAATCTGATACCAGAGCCAGAAAGCAAGGAAGCACCTTTCAATATCCTAACTCTCATAGCCGCGAGGATGAACGCGTGTAACTGCCAGTAGTTGCAGATCAGTCAAGTTACACCGCATACCTTTGACGGTCTTTGGCTGAAGTACGTATCGGAACAACCCCCAGCGACTTAGGGTTTTAATTCTCATGAGGCAGACAGCCTTAATTAGCCGACCAATCAGGCAGTGCTATTTCCCACACAGATAGGCGGTTAACCAACCAATTGAGGAGCATCCACGCTCGAAGACAGGAAGGCACACAAGCCCTTTATCCCCACTGAGCGCGTACTTACACTTAAAGGTACGTACCGCAAGCCTGCCAACAGCTCTATTCTCAACCATTTTCTCGTTCTACTTATATCTTGATCGTTTCTGGAACCTGCCAATCCGTAACCGCTGGAAAGTCGCAGAAATGATTACGGCATAGGTATTACATATCCGCTCGTTCAAGTTAAAACACTAGAGCCTGGTGCACCAAATGGGCGCTTAGATCTCACATGGGACAATAATTCGCCCTCTATCAGCTGCCCCTCTCCATGCCCAATTGTAAATCCATTGTCTATTTATCTGTTATATTTCACTCTTGAATAGTTCAACAAAATGGCAGAACCGATAATTCTAGCCTCGGAATTGCTCGCCTTAGCTACTTTTATATTCCAGTCCAGTGGAGCACCATACAACACAGTCGAGAGCTTTCGGTCTCACACGGAATTTGTACGCGACCTTACAGGGGAGCTTAAGGCGTTGAGTGGGGTCCTAGCCCCGCTAACAGAGCGATTAAATACTACTCCTGGTACAGATCTATCTACCAAAGAGTCTGGTAAAAGCAGCCCCTTCGAATATCTCCTAATCTAGGTCGAGTTTGTTGTTGATGTTGTTGTTTAGGCTTAATGGAAACTATCTCGCGGTGGACCTACGACTTATGCCACTCAAGCTGAGGGTCAGCTGTTCTTTTAATCTATACGGAAGTTTAAGAGAGAGATAATTTTCAAAAGTTTTCTAAGTATCTTAGTTTTATTACTTGTGACAGGTAAATAACATAGTATTGAAGTAAAGAAAACTTTCTGATTATCATCAAGACTTGGCGACCACCTATTTTCTCGATACATGTGATGATTCTAGTGAAGGTATTCTAGGTTCCCGCTCTGCTACTGGTGGCTTTTCCAATCACATCTTTAATAACTCGGAGGATGCTGGTATAAAAGTCCAACATTTCGACCTGCGGCATCCCTACAGACTATCAAATGATTTGAATTTTACTGAGCCAACTTATGTCCAGTAGGGTGCCTAACGAAAAGGTGGTGCACAAAAGCTGTTATCTAGTCCCGAGCGCGGTACATGAGCCCTTGATCACTGTTAACGCGCCGATAACTGTTAAGAAAGGCGCGAGCTGGCTCACCATAATTCTTTTCTCGAGCATTGAATGGCTGGCCTGAGCTGGACGGCAAGAATGATCGAGGCGCTAATTCCGGGAAATAGTCCCACTTCTTCTCCCGAAAGTAATGGTTTGGTCGGGTCGAGGGTGCGGTCCAGGGTAACGGATACTCGTTGCGGTCGTTATTTAAAGAAGTGGCGATGGCCCTTGGAAGCGATGTACCCTCATGTTTTTCACTCATAGTGGCAGCAAGAGGTTGATTCACTCCCACGAACGAATTATCCGAGACAGACTGGTCGGTAACAGGGCAGTCTTCAGTCGATGATCGGGGAGCGCAACTCCCTGAGCTCTCTGAGAGGCTAGATGTTCTGCTCCTGTCGTCAAACCATGTAGTTGGGTTGGTATCTATAGAATGGCTTTGTTGTACCGGACTGGGGGGCAACGTGGGGAGAGGTTTATTGAACGAACAAATTGGTTGATTTGGAGGAATGGACTGTTTCAGTACTTCAAGTAACTGGGTTGGCTTCAAGGATGGCATGCTATATATGCTAATCAAAGTCGAGTAAGCCAATTGACGACTTATTGGGTAGGTAATAGGCTATCAAAATAGAGAAGAAACAATAAAACTAAAAGAAATTCTCGACTCTCTTCTTCATCACCATAGCGAGAGGGAAGGGAGGCTCTATTTTAATAAAGAAGTACCAAGAAAGACTTCAAGACGTGATGCGGGCAATAAAGGGAAGTAGAACGTAATGTGGGATAATCAGAGCCGAATAAACCGTGTTTTGGAACAACTAGGGGAATAAACCCAGACAAGCCTTTACACAGAACTAAAACCAAGTGTATTGGACAAAAGGTGATTATATCTAGCAAAGGCATATGCAGCACAGTCGCTCGGAATCCTTTTAATCCAATGCGCTGTAGATAAAGGATCTGATACATCGTAAGAATCGAGTCGCTGGGTCCCAAGGTTTCGGAATTTTGCAGACTTCGCACTACCTTAGAATATAGATATAGTATGCTTCATTCTTCATAAATATAAGTACTTGGTATAAACTTTTTCTGTGAGTGGCAATCTAAGGGTTAGCGCTCATGGCCTGGTTGAGAACGGGGAACTCAAGTAGAGATCGCGACAACGATATGGTCCTTTTTAAGCCACAGGGCACGATCCTTTCCACCTTAATACGAGAAGTAGCCCTCCAGCATACGCCATGTCATAAAGGCGGTGGCTCTTGCTTATCTTGTTCAGTATAGTAAGTATAACATAACATGGCCATATCCAGCGAGGGTAGCTTGTGCCTTGACAGATATGGGTAGTTAGCATGATACATAGTAATGCAGTAGTATTACCAGAGGCTAGTTTCACAAAGACAAGCTCAATATGATGTTTCCAGAACGTGTTTCCTTTGATGTGTCTGCCAATTTCTTAATATATATGTATTAATAATAGTCTTCTGCCAAACCGGTGAACTGGATGGAGTAATTATATTTAATTTACCGCCAGGTACCTTATGTTTAATAGGAGTAATGAATAAGCACCTCAACCCCTTTTAGTAACTACGGTGGGATTGCGCTGGTCTATATCTATAGGATCAGCACTTTGGTTTGAGTATATGCTCGAATCTAGCTTTTAGAACGGATGATTAAGTGAGAAACTAACATTGGCTGAAAATTGCTTGCTTAAATACGAGATAGCTCGGTCTAGTCTATCTATGCTTTTTCTTTTGTGTTGCCTAGAGTATCGAGTAAATTCTTGTGTGGCTTTCCAGGGTTTTATTCCTTCCCATTCCTTCCTCTTAGAAGTTGCGGAGGGAGCTGAGATATGTCGGATAACCTTATTAGTGTAATCCGTCCTTTGACCGCAGGATTGGTTGCCTAGCTAATTGGTTGCCTTTAGCCATACATGCCTTTCATGCCCAAAGCCGTGAAGAAACACAGGGCCTGTTTTATAATCATGTTGACACCTCTACAACCGACGCACGAATCCTGTCGGACTTGTAGCCGGTTCGAGGAAATGATCAACAGCTCTAGGTTAAGTGAAGATTTTTTTCTACAAGGATCTGTGGTCCAATATGCTTATGAGCACCGCTTTATTTCATATTGCCAACTTTTATTAATACCGTGTCAGTTGGGTCATTTACACTTTCTGAAGCGTATCCTGAGTGGAACTAAATTATTTCCCATGCTTTGGATATCTTTCTCATTGGGGCTATCATGGATGCTTGGTATTCTATTTACAGAATAGCCTGTTTTCTTCGTTTTATGTAGCCTGATGTGGATAACTTATTGCAACATATCAACACGCAGTTGTTTAAATGAGCAGCCCTTATCAAGGCTGCTATTCGACTTTTGCTACCTGATCATATGCCTGAAGGTAAGGAGAGATTGTAGAGCTGGCTGTAGTGCTGTACAAAAGCATGCTGTCATTTAACGAAGTTCTTTCACCAATATTCTTGCTGCATCCTATAAATAGACGCTTGAGATGGGCATATGGCAGGGGCGAGAAATCTGTATAAAAATATCTAACATTGCCCAGCGCCCCTTAATCAATGTTCTTAGCATTTGATGGAGCATGACATGAAAAAACATTCTGTATGCTATCATCCGACATTTGGCCAAGCGCTATACATGAGCCATTGCCTGACTTGATATGCTTCGCAGAGATAAGGTCTTTGAGAGTAGTCACCACTGCCAACCGAGTATTGTCTCCTACCTCGATGTCCTCATAGTAGTTTGTCCGCTGTTTGTTTGCCTCCTTCTCCGCTTGCTTGCAGAACGTCAATAAAGCTTCAGTGCCTCTAACCTCGTCCTGGAAAGTTCGGCAGTCAGAAGTTTGGCCCCTATGTAGCGGTGAAAAGTCTACCTTTTCCGGGGGGAATTGTTTGTCGACCTCAGAAAGACGTTGGTACAGCCTTATTTTCCAGGACATAAGCTCTTTGTGGGCTGAATGGAACCCCTCTGCATTGATTAAACTAGATTGACTGGGCGGGATGGCGTATGGCCGGTGGAACTCTCTGGTAGCGTGTTCGAAGTCTCCCAAGAGACTACTCCGAGACTGGTTCATGAAATCGAGGAATCGTTGACAGATGTCAAGGCCTTTTTGAGTGCATTGTTTTTCATCCTCCATCCTTTGGAGATCTGCTGCATGGATTTCCGTGTTCGGCGAGCCCTTGAGAGACGAGGACTCCAGTCTTGTTCGAATATCATGTAAATGATTTTCCAGGTCACACTGTGTGTTTTGGATGAGCTCTTTATACTCATCCAGCACTTCCTTTGTGATCTTCGTCGTACGGCTAGTGAAAATATTAGGTCTTTCGGAACAATAAAAGGGCCTGTAGGGAAACTTACAGATTTGCATATGCAAGGGCAATCGTAACGGTTGATTTATATCCGGCCAACATGTCCTTGAACCCAGAAATATCTTCTCCCATGTATCGTAACTGGAACCAATCTCTTTTGCTAATATGTTTCTCAGTCGAATGTCGTGTATACTTGACAATCAGCGTATTAAACTCGGAACAAGCATTGCCACATCTTTTAAGAGGCATCTGTAGGACTTTAAGGTCGACGTCAAACTTGCGGATTAATTCTTCCAGGGCTTGTAAGACTCCCTGAAGATCCTGCAATTCATCCCGAAGCTCACGAACGATCTTCTCCCGGCTCTGAAAACTTTTGATGGTCTGGTTGAGTATTATGGCTGCCTGAAGGGCCACAGTCACAAAAGTCGTGATAGCAGAGGTCACCCCGACTACTTCGGCCATAGTAGAAAAAATATATATGTGTAAAGATGGATTAATGTGTAAATACAATTCGCCCGTGTAGACCCAGGACAGTCACTTTGGAACATTATATATTGTTGCTCGGCTGGACACTTTAAGTTACAAAATGATCGTGCAATAAAGGATAAGCGATCCTGGCGCTACGGTCGACCATTCTTACTGGGAAAGGGTGCTGATCTCAAATCTAGCGCGATCTAGAGATGTTTGGCGTGTTCTATTATAAGAAATTGGATGACTTTCTCACTGCGATAGGATAGTGAACGATCACATATAGATCAAAGAAATTACCGGACTGTAAGCGCGCGTCTAACGTCTGGAGCAGCCTGACCGTAGGTAAATTTACACGCCAGTCCGGCCTAAGATAGGATTTGTGGTCAGATGATTGACAGTTTACCAACATAGGCCACTCCATGAAGATATATATAAACTCAGTTATTTCATATAAGTGACCTCTGCAACTTTCCACGCTTGGGATTGACCATGATAATCCCGCAGGATACAGCAAGACTAGGGATGCCTTGCTGTTGTATTGTTTAGCCCAGCCAAGAGCGACGATCTTTCTTTTCTAGAGCTAAAAGAATGCCCCTGATAGGTGACCGTGCGCCTCGGGATTAATGGTTAGCCACTCGGTTAGCTTGAGGGCGGCGCTACGAACCTTGGTACGGAAAACTAAGATATACTTTCTGGCCCTCCGGGTGAAGAATATTTGGGCTCCTGAAGAAGGCCTTGAAGGGCTGTTAAGAGCGGTGACACGCTCAGAAATGGCTTTAGGTGAGAACAATTATACTAATGGTGTTGCATGACTGGGGCCATGAGTAAACGCCCACGAAGGGTCACGAGAAGGTATATACGCCAACAAGTGGCATACGGGGACTAATGTACAAAGCCTCGGTTTGGAGGGCCCCACATCCGTTGACAATTGATTTCACCTTGTGATAAATCGATGGTATAGATATATACATCGGTGATAGGTTTAGGGATTGGAGAAATATGGGTAGACTCGACGTTTCTTCTTAGTTTGCAATTGCCTTGTTCAGCGATTCCCTGTTAAATGTCAGATGTAGATAAAGACACTCATTTCATGTACTTAGTTTAGTTCATTGTGATCAATTATCATAGTTATTTGATAGCTACAACCAAGATTTGTTACCAGCCTAACTCGCTCGCACTATCTAACAATTGAGTATTCACACTCAATTGGCCTGGCCTTTCAACTTTGGACTGATTCTTGTGTTAGTACTTGTTGCTGTTACCGCATTCGGACCTACAGTCAATCCTCGTCGATATCGATCGCTAGTGGGTCCTAGTCACCGTGATAAATCATATTTAACCAAGATAGCTATGTAGTTGCAGAGCCCTTGGACGAATACCCGGGCTTAACAGAAATCTTAAATCCCGATGTACTCCTCCCTAGCTGCTACGATCTGATAGATTGTAGCAATTGATCTATATGTGTGATCATTTTGATAGATTCTTTAACTCTAGATACCCTAGAATTCCCATGACCCATCCTAAGAGCCGACAGTATATGTTTAGGGAGTCTATATTGATTTCTATCATTGTCTCATGCAGAGAAATTCGAGTATTTGAGAAAGCCCCTGGGCCGTCGGGTGTTGGAGCCGAGGGCTCGGTGAATCATCCGGCAGCTGTCTAGCGTCTTGTTAAGCTATACTATGGAAGTACTCTTATCGCACACAATAGACAATATCTGATTGATTTGATCGTAAGCTCTTACCAATCGCTAAATGCTTACTGACAATTGAAGGCTATCTATCAACTTTAGTCAACAAATATGGAAGCTTTTGGTTCCACTATGTAATTCCGACTACCATCTAATATGATCTCCCAAAAAGACACCACTGCTCAGCTGTACGCTTGCACCCCTGGCCTAGGCATTTTGTTTGGGATCCATCTAGCTTGGTAGGCTGGTGAAAGGGTATACATAAGCTCTTAGCTCCCATGCTTGGAGCTCTGGCGTCGTGCTCCTGCATCGGAGAATCAGCGGTACACTCACTAGACTTCTTGATACGCTCTTCGCAATCCTCTTTGAGACAGAAGGGGATGAGACATATGTGCTTATTGTTGAGAGCGAGCGTAAAAAGAGACCACTCCGTGATGATTTTGACGTTCCTGCGGAAGTTGTCTAGAACACGCAAATACATCTCGGATTGGATTGTCTCCAAACAAGCGAGAACATCCTCGACAAGGCGGGAGGAGGCAATGCGTCCTTTTCCCCCGGTGTCTCGACGCGACATGGAAATAAAACTACCCTTCACCTCCTTCGGGCCAATCTCGAGGCGAAGCGGAACGCCCTTCAGCTCCCAGTCGTTGAATTTCCAGCCTGGGGAATATTCATCTCGAGTGTCCATCTCTACTCGTACTTCTGCATCCTCCAGTGCTTTCTTGGTAGAGACAATCGAATCGACAATCTTTTCCTTCAGATCATCTTCGGTGTGCGCGGTGATGCCAACTGGTATAATTATCACTTGGACTGGGGCAACCCGAGGGGGCATCACGAGCCCTTTGTTATCGCCATGAACCATAACCATGACACCGAGGACACGAGTGGAATAAGCCCAAGAGTTTTGCCACACGAATGTTTTCTGTGTCTTATTCTCGGTGCCGTCAGAACTCGGGGCTTCAATTGAGATATTGAACATTTTGCTAAAGTTCTGACCAAGGCTGTGAGAGGTAGCTCCTTGGATCGCCCGCCCGGTCGTAGGAATGTACGCTTCTACGGTGGTGGTATAGTTAGCACCGGCAAACTTTTCTTTCTCCGTCTTTCGTCCTGGAATAACGGGAATTGCCAGAAGATCCCGATAGATGGCCTCGTAGAGGCCAAGCACATCCAAAACTTCTTTATCGGCAGTATCGGAGGTGAGGTGTGCACTGTGGCCTTCTTGCCAGTAGAACTCCCGTGATCGTAGGAAGGGTTGAGGGTTGCTGAATTCCCATCGAACAACTGAGTTCCACTGGTTCAGCCGAAGTGGAAGCTCTCGGTAGCTCCGGATCCACTTCGCCAGGTACGGGTAGATGACGGTTTCAGATGTCGGCCGGATGGCAATTCTCTTGTCCAACTTAGTGTTGCCCCTGTTCCATTCGTAGTGTAAATAAGCGGCATCGGGATCATGAAGCAGGCCGACGCACGACTGTGTCACCCAAGCGACTTCCGCAGAGAAGCCCTCAATGTGGTTCTGTTCTCTATTCAACATTTCCTCCGCAACAAAGAGAGGGAAGCTGCAGTTGCGAACGCCCATCCTTTTGATTTGTTTGTTGAACCACTCCTGAGTCATTTCCCATATTGCCCATGAACCGGGCCGTAGGATATAGCAGCCCGAAATGTCGTAGTAATCGATCATCTTGCCTTTTAGCAACACTTGCTGGTACCAGTTCGAAAAGTCCACGTCCTTGGATACATCAATGCCTATCAAAGCAGCCCCTCTAGTCTTTTTCTTAGGTTCTGACTGATTCCCCTGGTTGGGAGGCGAGGGAGTCTTAGCAGGGTTAAATATGTGCCATTTGGAAGTAAGATCACCGATTACTTGAGCGGAGGTTGCCATTATAACGCAATTCTTCAAAAGAGGAAAAGTCGAGGAAGCATGGTGCGTGAAAGGGTGGTCTTGAAGTGGCCTTATGTATGAGATCCAGATAAAGTGCCAAGCCAAGAGGGGTAAATATAGCACTGTTAGTTCACGAGGTCAATGCCAATCCCTACCTATAATTCGCTACTAGCTTGGTTTTCCTGTTGTGTTGAACCATGCTCGATGGATATCGTTGGGTAAAAGATTAATCACTATGCTTAGAGCTCTGTACCAGAGTAAGGGTTGACAATAACTAGATACAACGTCACAAAGGCTGTCCCACCGACATACGAGAAGCATATCCAATATTCTTTGCATCAGGTACTAATAGCCCAGCATTTTCAGGCATCAGTTAACAGTGACCTGCGAATTCACTCACAGGCGAATCACCGCCGGGTTCCGGCTATCCTTGTTACAGAGACTACGCCCTTAACGTTCTTCCCCCTCTAGTCATTCAACTGCCTTTCTGATTTGCAGTGGGATGATGTATCGATCTCATCACGGGTCTCTTCGCCCCATTCATCCGTGATGTTTTGTCATGAAGAGTGGGGCATGTTAAGTGGTATAGCGCGATGTTCAGCACGCCCTTCCCATGACATTTAATTCGGATGGCAGCCGAAGTCTCGGCTTTCAACGCCGACTCTTGTCTGTCACAACTGCTACAGTGGACGAGTAGTAACTAGCTTATTCTCTTGTGCATATGCCTATTGTACCACAAGGTCGTGTAGGATTAATACTAGTAGTATCTCCCTTGAAATAACATGGCTTATCGCGCATACCCCCGAAATAATCATGGTGATGCAGGATATGCAGTTAACAAATACTTTATGGAATAGTCCTAGAGTTCTGAGACCATCTTTTGGATACATGAAAGAAGAATTCAATCCTTTACTAGAGTCAAGGGACATAATGTCACAGATATTCATATCCTAGTTGCAGCACTTATCAGGGATAGTCAGAGCAACTAGTCAGAAAGCAGCCGTCTAGAGATCAATATAGAAAAACAAGGGATGAATTCTATGTTTTGTGATCTAAGTTTGGTTGGTATATATTGACCTTTTCGGGTTATAGGTCTAACAAGCTTAAATCAACAAGTAAAGCTATCATGAGACCATGCATAAGTACTATGTCCTCCCCATAGAGGCATCAAAGCAGAATATCTATCGCCGGGTTAAAAAGAAAAACATACAACAGGAGGGATTCGCTGGTGGTCACCCACCCATCTACTAGTCTCCCGGCGTGTGGCTTATACGCGGTCAATGTCGTGCCCTCCAGCGACCTTGGTGTGGGTGCCGTTTAGACGGGGATACTGACTGGTATATCTTGTACTATTCCGATGCTGACCTGTACTGCTCTGTCTCTAGCCGATCGAAGTCAGATCGCAAACTCCATCAAAGATAGTCAAGGCCATGGGCGAGGCTGAAACATATTGAAGCAAGTATAGAGTAGTGTAGCTGCTCGGGATAGTTAACTAAGGGCTATTGGTCTTCGTCATCGTCCATCTTCTCCTTCACTGGATCAACGCCTTTCCCCTCTGAGATACACCATAACATAAGCCACGCAATGAAAGCTTCCATACCCAAGGCCCACCACATAGCACCCACTATGTTATTTTGAAGGCCAGCCGCAAGCCCCCAACCGCTAACAACCGGAGCCAATGTCCGCGCAGCACTGGATATACTCTGCGCAATACCGTGTATTGTGCCAAGACTCGATGGATCACTGACACAGTTGTTGACAAGAATGCTAGTCGCTGGAAGTACGAAAGTGCGAGAGACCGCCTGGAGTAAGATGACAAATGTGAGAGCGGGCCAGAAAACCCATAGTACTTTTGGGAGAAGCACCAAAAATGGCATCAAGATATATGAAACGGGTGAAAATGGCACAAAGGTGCGCAACGACAAGAGCGTTCCTAGCTTCCCTTGGAGACGGGGGTAGGCGAAGATTTGAAGAGGGAGACCGGTCAAGCCGATGATAGCAGTGGCGAGACCAACCTGTGCTGAGGGAAGACCAAGTCCTCCGCCAAAGTGGAAGATGCCAGTATGGCTCTCTATGGGGGCACGGGGAGTTGGCAAGAAGATGAATGTCATGGTCTGAACAGCATTTGTGTGAAAGGCAAGGAGGAAGTGGCAGAGAAGAGTAAGTAGGACATTGCGTGTCCAAAGTTGCCCTAATTTAGGTCGTTGACGCAGCTTAGGCTCAAGCGATGTGTCGGAAAGTGTAGGGCTAGATGGTGCAGATACTAGATGAGTATCTAGGTGGATATAGTTGTCACCAGTTGCTCTATTGAGAGGGCGGGTGTATTGAGCTCGTCTGCCAGAAAATGCTTGAGCTATTCTCCGACCTAGTTCTCGTCCAGTGTCATGGCGGTATCGTGCTATCTCATGTGTCTTGATATAGAGTCAGTATCCGGTAATTGATCGAGCTCAGAATCCTTACCTCATCTAGACCGAAGAACACCGCAAGAAAGGATGTCAGGATAAAGATCGTACTCAAGATATTCGGCAATGCAAATGGCCACCGTTGCATCCACCAGACACCGTCTGTGCCGCCAAAGATAGAATGAGGTCCAAATAAGTGGGGGAAGTTATGAACCGGAGTGGCCAACGAGCCTCCCATGGTAGGCCCAATAATCACGCCCAGATTGAAACACATGGGGAGCAACAGAAATGCTCGTGATTGAAATCTATCTCTGTCAGTGTAGTCTTAATGGCCGCATTATGGCAACATACTTCTTCTCTACCGTGATCTCCGAGATTAGGGTGCTCATTACACCAAAATTACTATTCAATAACCCGCCTAGCGTTCGAAATATTACTGCAGAAGCCAGCGAACGCGAGAATCCGAATCCAAGATATGAGATCATAGTACCTAGTAAGCCGATGAGAAGGACCCTCTTACGTCCCATGCAGTCAGCATCAGCCAGCCGGCCCCACCATGCTGATGTCAAGAACTGCGCAGCAGGAAATATTCCCAGCACAATGCCGACTTGTGCGGAGATACTCGAGTCCGGCAAGGCTGGATCAAATGACTTGAGCTGATGGAATAAGTACGCCTGCAGCGAGCTTTGTGTGAGTCCTTCTGACAACCGCGCAAATGTTAGGATTGCGAGCTGCCCCTTTTTGGGGAGTGAGCTCCAAGATGCTGGTTTTTCTGATTTCTCCGCCGCGGTGTCCAGGGTATCATCGTAGTCGGTACCGTTATTGCTGTCATCTGTGTCTGCAGATTGGGAGCGCCGGTGATTTTTTATGAGAGGGGCGGATGCCAGCACCTCAAGTCGTGCCGAGCCTAGACTGTACGAGGAGGGCTCTTCGAACTGACCATCATGGTCACTAAAGTCGATATGCGGTGAACGGCCACCGCTTGCTTCAAGGAGGGATTGTTCCATGAGCTCTTATGAAGAGAGCCCCATTGACAAAGACGGGGATACCGAAGCCGAGGAGAGTATAATAATTTAGATCATCTGAAGTGTTTGAGCCCAATGCTATAGGTGATTGAGGAGAAGGGAGAATAATTAATCATTATCCTTCCTTATACTATCAGAAGCTCGTGCCTTGCAGTGGATTTATCCCTTGAACATTGTGAGTTTGCCCCTTGCAGTTGCATGCGTGCCCTGGGCTGAAAGCTAGAGCCTTCACCTACTAACTCCCATAACGAACATCAACTTCACTAATTGGCCAAAGGAAAGGTAGGTGTGTCTGATAGCTTCGTGGCATAACCAATTTCAGCAACTACTTACCGAGTGCTGTTCGTTTCAAGACGGAGTAAATCAATTACTCTATCTTTGATGCAAATTGGATCTAACATTCTCTAGTTACAAGTCTATAAATAAAGTTAGACCAATCATCTTTCAACCAAACAATATTGTTTGGTAATAAGGAATCATACATAGCACGGCTCACGATCATCCTGTTGTAATCTATTGATTGTTTTCTTTTTTCCCCAAGCAGGAAACACTAGCTGACATTAAATTTGGGATAACGCCCATCGTCATCTCGGACAATAGGGGTACACATACGTATATAGATCGAAGGTGGCAGGCATATTTTGAATCAAATATTTTGGTCTATTTTGGCCTAGTAGTTTGGCCTGCCCCACTAGATCTGCAGATCGCCCAAACCCCCCTTGCTACCAACACTCAATACCTTTCGTACTATTCACCCCGCTATAAACCTTAGGACGGATTGTGGAGACCCTGAACTCGGGTGGCGAAGCTGTGATACTCGAAGCGAATGCCGAAGCATTGTGGCGCACTGGGATATACATCTGAATCGGGGCCACTTGAGGGTGGACCTCCGGCAGACCGTACTGACAACTGCAGTTCCGACAATTCGGCAGCCGGAATGAAAAGATTCCCTACCGACAATCAAAGAGAATCTTTCCCGATTCGGAACACACTCGGAGGGCTAGGGGGTTGAATTCCACTCCTTGCCCCGTACTGTAAAAAGGCATAGAACGGACTGGTCGAACGCACGAATCACATTGTCCTTCCCTGTGATGGCGAGTTCGATGAGAGGATCCCGGTGGCGCCATTCATCGAGGGGGAGGCAGGCAATGACTGGAGAGCTTAGCGATATCTTCGGCCGGAAAGTAAGTTGTGTCTTCGCGACTTTTATCTTTACAATGGGGAGCCTGTTATGCCGACTCTCCACATCGCGCGCGATGATTATCCTTGGTCGAGTCATTGCTGGGGTAGATGGGGGTAGCTGTACGTCGATTGTAATCTTTATCTTGCCAGATAGAATCCTTCCAGGATATAGGGGGATACGGCATAGTGTCTCTCATCGGATGGACTATGCTGGCTTCATCAAATTGGTCGCGCCTGTGGCTTTATTTCTCGTTTATGTGAATGGGGAAGGCAATGAGCTGGTCATACTCATTCATATGACAATGCTTCATTTGGCTACATTTCCTATGGTTGAGCTCCGATGGGCCAAAGAGTCTATCAAATCTTTGGGCCTCCTTAGCACACTACCCGCACTGGCAGCATTTCTCTGCATCGGTTTCATATCCACGACAATGTACACAGTAACGTATTAAGTTTCTCTGTGCCTGCAGCGACGGAGATATGCCACCAGCCAGGTGGGCCTTCTTTTCCTCCGGGAGCCAGTTGGCGGCGGAATCCCATAGTTGGGATGATTACAACCATCACGAGGCTATACAGTATACCAAAGATTCTGCAACCATTGCTCATTGTCCTCGGTTCAGCGGGATTTGTGACCCTCACCTTGCTAACATCCCCCATCTGGCCTCCAGTATAACAGTTTGTTTATAGCTTCAGCTATGAAGGGTTTCTGACCACCATGTTGCTGGCTTCATTCAGTGCGGCCCCACATGAGTTGCAGGCGAGATCGACCTTCATCTTGCATTCTAATCAATTGGATCTACGGTTGGACTATCAGTCGCTGATATTCTATTCCGCAACGGATTCAACACTAGATATTCGACCTTTGTTGGATAGGCTAGCCTCACCTCCCCTAATGCGACAATCAGCTACCTACAGTTCCACAACGTCTACTATAACCCAAAGAGCGAGTCTTCGCAAGAGACTTTTATATACGCGCTGCATGGCACCTTCTTACATACGCTGGGCTTTTTGGTTATTGGATTCATCTGCACCTCAAGCATCAAACACTACAAGCTAAGATCTACAAAAATGATACTGAGAACAGGGCTAAAATGGGGCTCCTAACCAGCTTAAGCGTGTAAAATAATCTCCTATAAGCGGATGAGATGGAGCTTGCCTTGAGACATTATGTACAAAAGCCCTGACGGTCCCGAGCATCTAGAATTTAATCTGACCCGCCCTTATCATCTTCATATCGGGGGCAACAAAGTTGATTCCGCTTTCATCTCCACCAGCATTCGATACCTACATCCTTGAGGGGGTCCGAGGATGATGTTCAGCTGCCATCGGAATGGTGTACAAAGAGAAGCATCCGGATTTGAGCCAACGTTCCTAGGTCTCATTCCTCCCCGACCAGATCCAAGAGGGCTGGGATCAAGTTAGTATTGTGTCTGAGGTAGGAACACTGTGAAAGCGTCGCAAGACCTGTAATCAAATTGATGAGCTATCACAGGTGATAAAGGTGTTATTTTCGTCAGTCGAATGTGCCCTTCGGGGCAAATGTCGAAGAAAGCTTTCTAAAGACACAATTGGCAGCCCGGTTTGCGTAACTTTAGTGCGGATGAGCCAGCACCCCAGTTGAATAGTTAATGCCTTTGTACGCTTCATTGAGCCGGCTGTAGGGACACATCCACTTGCAGTCCAACACGTCAACTGTCTCCCTGCCCCTTGGACTCTGCACTGAGCCTCAACCGTTATCCAAGGCCCCTCGCTCTCACGATCCTGTGATCACAGAATAGCCTTGGGTCCTAGCTCCCTCAAAGCCTCGTTATGTTCAGAGCCGATGTACCTTGAACAAAGTGAGGTATAATGGTATCCCTCACCCTACCATGTATTGGGAAGCCAGAAATTCACGACAAGTTTATGATTACTATCCCCGTTACTATATAGATGTCCGCGAATATGAGCTTGATTATACCCTCGACAGCTATGGCTTCCGGTTTCATTTCTATAAAAAAGTAGGCAAAGAAAGCTTTTCTTGACCACAAAGAAATTAAACAGAAGTACTAGCCTTGAGACGGAGCAGCTAATAAAAAAAATATATGAATAGACTAAGATATCCGAATATGGAATAATGTGATTAAAAATGAACTCAACAAAGCATAGTATAGGAGCTCCTTGATTCGTGAATTTAAATTATATTACCTATTGTGTCCCAAAGGACGAAGTCTCTAGTTCCAGCCCTGTGACTCTATTTGTACCGTCTCTATTAATATCTTCCTACTTCGGAGCCAAGGCCTGCGTCCGTTACCACTTCGTAGACAAAGGCACCGGAAACGTCTTAAAGGCCAGGCGGCCTCGTGGCCTGTGAAGTGAGGTCAAATAGTACTATCGCTATAAGTGACCTCTGAGTATCCGTATAGTAACTTCTATCACGCTATTTGATTCGAACGAATACTAAAAGAGCGAAGCATGTGTCGCATGGGTTTTATTGATTACCGAGATGGAGGATGCGCTTGCGCTTGCGCGAGAGAACATTGAGGTGAGGATTTTGGTTTTTTCATCATGATGATCGTGACCAGATTGGACTGTTGTTTCCTATCGGAATCTCAAGGTTAGGGGGTAGCATGTGTGATCTCCTCCACTGAGCAGATAAAGACTGTCCCTTCGTGCTTGATCGACTATCTTTTTATCTCGAGTGATCCCTGGCGTAGTTACTACTGTCCTAGACAGGACACCGAATGCATCTTGACTTGAGGTTTAGAGCCTTGACAGGACTCTAAGTTTACATTCCATAGAGTAGACAAGAAACAGTCGAAAGAGTAACATCGGAAGTTTCTTCAATAGCCATGCGATCAGATAATACTACCCAGTACGTTATTGTACGCTGGGAACTGGATTGGCGATCGCTCCCACACGATCTTACTATGTCACATTTATGAGGTTAAACGATGCATAGGCATGTTTCAACCTTCCAGGTCAAACATTACTAGCCGCAGCGAGAGCTTCACGCCGTGTCTTGCTGTTCGGGTCGAAGTACGGCGTCTCGCCAATTCCCACAGCCCGATGACCCGTACGAGCACCTAACCCAGCGAAATCAAAGATTGCGCTATGATAAACACTGCGATTATCCCAGATCGCTTTAGATAGTTAGATACCCGTGATCACTCAAGCCAAAAGACAGGTGCAGGACTTACCAATGTCGTAGGGATTCTCCCACCGATGTCTGAGTTGCGTATCATGTTCTTCAACAATCATCTGGAGAAACCAATCGTGTAGCCGTCTGCTTTCATCCGCCGTTACATCGTTGATTTTCACAACATGGTTCCCAACGGCGAACAGACTCTTCCAACCGGTAACGGGATTGGTGCGAACAACCGGATGCACAGCGCTGAGCGATGTCCCAATGTTGTTCGGGGATCCACGGGGTTCCGAGTACAGCTTAAATCCCTTTTCCGCGGCGGTCACTGGGAGTCGAGTCTGGGCAAAGGAGGCAGTTAGGCCTTCGAGGAATTTCCGGTAGGCAGGGGAGATCTTGTCGTATATTTCGCAGGAGGAGGCCCAGATGGTATCTAGATGAGAAGCATCAGCACGTCAAATCTGGATGATCGGCGCTCGTAGTGGGGGTTCTGGAGGGCTCGAAGGCACATATATACCTCCGCCAGTCTCGGGTAGCTTGATGAGCTTTAGAATAGAGTAGTCGGCGGGGTTGGGCTCGTAGCTAGTATCGGTGTGCCAGCTGTTTCTGATATCGGCGGGTCGGTTCTTCCAAAGGTCCTCGGCAGGGTTGGCGGCTCTGTCGGTTGTGATGACGTTGAGCTCTGGGTCTTTGTCGAGGTTGTAGTTCGTTAGAGGGTGGATGTGCAATTTCGAGGACTCGGGTTTGCCTGTTAGCACACCCAGACGTTGGGCGAGCTCCTTTTGAAGCTCATCGGTGAGGTCGGTCTGCGCACGGAAAAAAACCACTCCACGGCGAGAAACTAATAACAGATGTTAGTACTAGGGTTGGGATATAACACATGAGGTTTATTTGCATACTGGTAACGGCTAAGTCGCGCAGAAGTTCGTCGCTGTTAGGAGCCTTCATCCAATCCACCACATGGGCATCAGGGAATTCAGTTCCGACTATTGGAGTGACATGGAATGATTTGTATTGATTCAAATGACCGTGTAGTTCCAAAGGCTCTCTGAGCAGCGAACCTTCAGTGACTTCTTTCTTGGGGCCACTTGGTACTGGGGGAGCAGTCTCAACGACGGTCATGGCGAAGTGCAAAGGTTTAGCTGATATGGGAGTAAGCCGGGCGATTGGAATTAACACTTCTTTTTCATCAGGGGAATTCTGCACTCTTAAATTCAGCCCAAATTGATCTCGCAACTATAGACCGTACCTCGTGCGTGACCGGATGTGCATATGGGGACGATATCTGGGCATCAAAGCATGGGGTATACGACCAACGAAAGAACCAAACGAAGTATAGCTCGCGTAGTAATTCCATCTAGATGCTTTCTTACGCATTCAGATGCAGCTTCCAAGGCGGGGTACTTTTAGGTATACGAAATGACTGTAGGGAAGTAAACCGGAATTAGTTGAGTATTGTGTGTTCTGTCTATCTCCAGGGTTGGCATGTATCTCATACGGGCCATCTCTACATGATACTAGCTATATATATTCTGGGCTCACGGTCATCCGAAGGCATTCCGAAAAGCTTTCCTGTGGTCGCACTCTTTCTTTCATATAAAATTCGACCAAACAATGGCAGACTTTTCTTCACGAGGACAAGGTCTCACACTTTAGAGAACGCACCACCTGATCCAACTTTTGAGTAAATGCCCTCATCTCCTCAACGGTGTTGTAATGTACTAAGCTTGTCCGAAGGATGCCATATTCAGGCAACCCGATAACATCATGAACAGTACGAGGAGACCAACAATCGCCCGTTATGATTCGGAAGTTTGATGTTTCATGAATGACCTCTGCAACCTTGTCAGACGCCAGTCCATTCACCGAAAAGCTAATCAAAGAAACCCGAGCTTTCGCGTCCGCCGTTTCACATCCATAAACTGTATATAGATCATCATTGGCGGTCAGATAGTCCAATATCTGTGCCGTAATCAGCTCTTCATGGGCGATGATAGCGTCCCAACCCACATTGTCGACGAGGTGGGTGATGATGGGCGTCACAGCATGCTCCAGCTCGATGCAGCTGTTGCCAAGTCCTAACCTTACATGCAGAGCTGTTGGGTCAAAAAAGTAGTGGTTCAGACTGGTCAGATATCGCTTTTGAACCCTTCGTCGAGCGTATAGTTGTGCAATATGAGGGCCAAAAACCTTGTACCAGCTAAAGACATAAAAGTCCACGTCTAGATCCTTCACGTCGATCGGGCGATGTGGAGCCCAGGCCACCCCATCCACGCAGATTAGAGCCTCGGGGATTGTATGAACCAGTTTTGCAATCTCCTTGATGGGCTCGATAGTCCCGGTAATGTTGGACACGTGCCCGCAGCAGACAAGCCTTGTCTTGGAGGATAGGAGGGGTCGCAGTGTGTCCAGGGAGAGCTTGGGATCTCTGTTGTTTCCTATGCCACCCTCTGGAGCCCACCACTTGATGGAGATACCAAGGCTCTGCGCCAAAGCAACCCAGGCAGTATTTCCAGCTTCGTGACAAAGGACCGAAACTATCATTTCCGAGTCGGTGTTCATGTTTGGTCGAAGGGAGTTGGTGAGTGTCCGTAGCATTCCTGTTGTAGAGGGGCCGAAGGCTTGATTCACCACAGGACAGAAGTTAGCAAAAGCATTGTAAATTTTTATCAATAGAGCCTTCGCTCTAGACAAACTGGCGAGGATAGGTCCACGTGTGGGTCGACTTTTACCAATTTCATCTGGGTCCGCATTCATGAATGAAGCTAGCTTCGCATATTGTGCCCTCCGTTCCTTCACATCAACCATACTTTTCGAGTCGAGCCCACGGAGGTTCATGTGGGGAGCGGACATAGTCCGAGCGATACTATGTGCTCATTTATTAGCGTTATTCTATTTCTCTCTCTCTCTCATGACAGCAATCCTGCAGTACCTTTCGATTGCACCTTTATAAACCAGAGCACCTGATCCATTGTTTAAGCACACGGCGCCTTTCTCAAGGCCTGGAAACTGCTTTCGAACAGTCTGCGTGTCGAAATGCTGGAGATGCTTGTTGATTGTCATGGTCATGGAAGGGGGTGGAAAGTGAAGCCAAAAAGAAGAGACAACAATCGATATCAGGTTCGATGATGTCGCAGGTTATAAAGATACTTTCGTGTGACTAGGCAGTTTCCAGTCGGCCAATTCAGCCCTAGTCGTTCCCAAGTCCTGCATTGAGATTGGGGGGATAAGAGCATGACCCTGGAACATGATATTTAAGGTCAGCTATGTTCTTCAAAAAGTTCATGAACCTGTTTCATACAACCTTCCCGGATCCAGGAGCCAAAACCGATCGAGCATCTCTTCTTTCAGACCCTTTCCCTTGAGTACAAAGACCTTTGGCATCTTCGTCCACTGGGTACGCTCACCACTTCCATATTCCCTCACAAAGGATGTTCTCACCGCCATCGGTCCACACTGGGACAATAAATTCCTGACGCGAGTTGAGCAACAATAAAGGCAGTTTTCGTTCTCCGGCTTAGCGGTTTGGCGTCTGTGCTTCGTGTTGCTTTGGACCTATCTCATTCCTTCAGTGGGAGAGGAGACCCACATACGCCTGAATTTATCCCAACAATCATGTATAAGTGGGTCTCCGCGGGGTTAAGCAGCAGTTGCATACCGACCTCATGGCTGGCTGAGCTGGATTTCTATTACGGTACTATGTTACCGAGGTACAATACCAGCTTTCACTGGAAATAATGTTGGAATCCGATCGTGAATAAATCGATTCAGAGAGTGTGGAGTCAGGAACCCCACCACTACGATTAGTCCTGGCCGTTTTTCAGTTGGACAAGGCCATGACTCTTCAGAGTCACCGCGATCGACCCCTGGTTTGAACTGACCAAGCCTTGGTCTACATGGGTTGCATGATGCTAAGACGAAGATAGCAGGTTACCATTCCTTCCATCAAATCCGGCGATACTTGGGTAGATTCGACAAAACACTTCACTGATCACGATCTGGAAGGCATTTACATGCACTATTTCTGCGGATGGTTTGCTATTCGTTTGCATTTCGGTGATACTATCTTGATGAGAAACTCCTTTTTTCTTCTTCATTGGTCACACGGAAGTCCCTCCAGAGCTGGCCTTATCACAACATCCAACAACTTCTTACTGGATACTACACTATGGTTGATCTACAGAAACAGAAGACATTGATCAAACATTGAATCGAATGAGAATAGCGTGCCAATCCTGGTACTAAGACTAAACGGTTTGGGTCGTGGCACCAAGATACCCATTACGACCAGTCAGCATAGCCCCGTGCTGCTTAGCATCCAGGCTTGCCTCGCGGAACAGAGCATATTTCTGATTATGCCACTCGACGCTGTTCATCTGCTTTCCGTCATGGGAGGTGAACTTCGCATCGAACTCTGGGCGTAGGAAGAAGATGCAGGAGAACTTGTCGAGTCCTTCCGGGTTCGCTGGTGGTACAACACGGTGGAGGTTCGAAGCCAGTGCACCGTTGGATAGAAACCGCAGTGAGTCTCCGACGTTGACAACTGCATGTCCGGGACGAGGTTTGATATAGTACCACTGCTCAGTCTGGGGTTCGAAGACTTGCAAGCCTTCATTTTTGGTGAACACAACAGTCAGGGTTCCCATATCGGTATGTGCCATGTTTCCAACCTTCTCGGCGCTGCTGCCCCACGGTAGGTAGTTAAGCATAGCCATGTTAGCAGATGAGGGAGCATCCTTGCGGTGACAATCCTTCAAGTCATAAGATAAGTTGAGAGCTTTTGACAGGGTAGAGAGAATACACTCGGTGTATCCGTGAACATCTCCCATCCAAGCCTTAATGAGAGGCAAGTTCTCCTCAAAGGCCTGAGGAAGTTCCAATGTGTCATTGCCCCAGAGGCCATTGTGATGGATCTGAAAGTATTCCAGTTAGGTCATTCCATGGTGGTTAACCCGATCTTCCCGACAATCATACCGAAAAGCTTTCATAGCCATCCTTCTTTTCTGCGAATGGTCCGACAGAGCAGCCAGCTCGCTTATAACTGTTATGAAACATGTCAGAGACTCCGTTGACGGCACGCGCAGGGAAAGCTAGTAAGCAAAACGTACCCTTGAAGTCTCGACGGCAGATGCTTTTCGGTGCTGTACTGCTCTTTCTCTTCCAGTGAAAGCTTGAAAACTGACCTCCCAACGGCGATGAGTTCATCGGTCTGTGTCAAGGTCTCGCAAGTCGAAGGATCACGAAAGTCGAGATAAAAGAACCCCTTTTCTTTGCAGGCAGACACGAGATCATTTGCAGTGTCGGCATCTCCTTTCAGCAGCCCGGCTAGTGAGATCGATTTAAGGTCCGCCTGTTGAGCAGTTTCGCAAGATGCCATATTGAGAGCCTCAGTTGGCGAGATGTAAAATCGACAAAAGCTGAATATAATATCGACTAAATGATGAGCTTCACAGAGGTAATTCTAATCAAAGTTGGGCCATTTCCAGGTGCTTCAGATGTTCGAATTTATGCACATTATAGAGTGGGGACTTCTACCCAGCTTGATATCTATGACTACGTCAATGATTCCTCGCATGTCACAATGATTCAAGGACTGCACTTCGCACTTGTTTTGGTAAATCGAATCACGTATGGTTTTAATCGTACATCTGCAGTATAACTGTCGCAGTCAAATTTACCAATTGGGATGCTTCTCAGCGGCCGTTCCGTAATGGCGGCCTGCACCAATCGATCTGTATGCCCCGCAAGATTAAGATCTATGCACAGAGGAGTGATACGTGCGTAGGCCATCAACATTTGAGCTCCTAGTTTCTGACATAAAAAGAGACATGAAGCGCGAGATAAGCTTCAGTGACTTGAAAACTCACATCAGTCACCCTCATGACAGTCCCAGCCTTCGTCGAAAGCACAGTCCGTAAGGAAACCAAGATGCTCAACACAAAAGACTACAATGCCTTGAGCCTCGCTCAGCCTACGAATTTCAAGGCAATGCTGAACTCTGGGCAATTTCTTTGGGGAACCGGCTGCCGGATTCCCCATCCAGAAGCCGCACGCATCATTGCTGCAACGCCGTATCATTTCTGTTTCTTGGATGCAGTATGTATATTTCTACTCTGGATGATCGGTCTCTACCGTAGCATGATAATTGCCTATTGATGCACGGAGTAACAGGAACATGCACCTCTCAACGCAACCCTGCTTGTCAGCCTTGTTCGGACAATCCAGTACCAGTCGAATGGCTCCATGGTACCTTTCGTGCGAATACCAAGGTGCTCTCCGGAATTGTACAACTATGTCTTAGGGGCTGGAGCAGGGGGCGTCGTGATGCCTCACATTCAGAATGCCAAACAGGCCGAGGAACTCGTTCGCCTGTGTCGGTTCCCCCCAATGGGCGACCGCAGTTTTCCTCCTGCGGCCTTGATTGGCGAGCAGCAAAACCGGACCCCGAGAGGTCAAACCACCTATGATGTATGGGACCGCCATGTAGCCGTATTTTGCCAGATCGAAGACCTTGAAGGGCTGGAAAACGTCGAAGAGATCTGCAGAGTCCCTGGTGGTCCGTGGCCCATTATTCCATTCACGAGCATCCCATATCTGCATGATCGAAATGCTAATCCAACTCATCTCGTTACAGTCGACGGTCTTTTCATTGGTACCGGGGATTTACGAATGTGCATGAAGCTATCCCATGGATCTCTCGACGGTGACGAGCCAATATATCTTGCAGCCCTGAAAAAGATCCGCGATGCAGCCAAGGCGAACAATCTCCCAATCATGGGGTTCGGCATCTCTCCCGCCGCCCTCCAGCTTAGAATTGATATGGGTTGGAATGCGTTCATAATTCATGGGGACATTGATGCTATTTGCACATCGGCCACTGATTCCCTGCAAACGTATACCACTGCGGCGTATGGAAGGAATGGCCACCAAGACGAAAGGGAAAACGGTGAACCATTGGCCAATGGGGCACGCCCCTTGGATGATGTGGAGTGCAGGCAATCGAATTTAACTATGACAGCGAAGTCATTGATACAACCGAGGTTGGAACAATCAGCTTAGTCTACACATTTCAAGAAATGGATCATCTGAGAGCTGGGCTAGATGGCACGGTAACCTGAGTGATGTAAACTGTGAAAATTAGGACAAGCTTCAGGCATGAAACAGGGCCCAATCGTTCTCCAGTATGGAAGGTTACACATATGCATACGAAGGCCTCAATTACCCTTGATATACTGCGGATTCCCGGGTGGGAGGTTCCAACCTGGATCACTTTTCACCCGTGTCCAGCCCTTGAATCTTCACATAGGCGCTACTTTGTACATTTCGATATACTCTGCACTTTTCTGAAGGTCAAACGCAACTTCATACATCCCTTTTACCATTTGACCACTTAGCCTTGGATCTCATTGCCAAGAAAGAAAGGAAAAGAAAAGAAAAATGGCCAGTCTTGAAAATGATGTCAAGGCGCTCCTTGCTCAACAGCTTGAGGTGCCCATTCACGAGGTACGGAAGTATTCTAAATATCAAGGGAGTAGGCTTGAGAGGTAACACCTTTCTAGGTGACCACAACGGCGGACTTAAAGAAGGATCTGACGGTGAATGATCTGGGAAGGTCGCGGATGATAAATGCAATTCGCGAGGTTCGCCATTCAAGATATCCGACTTGTAGTCCGACTCTCTCACTAATGGTCTGTGTAGAGATTCGACGTATATATTGAGGAGGAAGATACGGATCAACTTAACACAAGTATGTCGAACATTGACTGGTTTGAAGGTCTACAGCTAACCGCCGACTCGCGTTTGCAATAGCTCAAGATGTCATCAAGTATGTGGAAACAAAGCTGTGGTGGTATAGTCTGTAGGAAGATAGGAAATGAAGGTGCTCTCAAGAGGTCCTAAGGGCCGTTCTCGTCCAACCACCCATTATTTCAAGTGATTGGAATACCGTTTTCTAGATGTACACAGACTTTTGTGACCTCATGAAATAAGAAAAAAAAAATAAAATAAAATAAAAAAGAAATTGCCTGAGACTGTGCAAGCCCAAGAATGTTGGACGCCGTAGCCGTGGTTGGTCTTCTACCGAGATCTCAGACACGCAGTAGTCTATGATGGTCAACTTGAGTCTTCTCTTTACGCGATCAGTTTCCAACATATTTATGGCCCGTCGCATCTGCCTTTCACATCCCACACTTTCCACCATATCGGTACCCTTCCAAACCCTCGTTCTCTACCTTTCCTGATTGTAGCCATCCCAAAGCCATGACAATTCAGGATACCCCAGCATTCCCAGATGATGTCCTATTTAGGAGGCTAATCAATATCGCAGTCGAAAGAGACAGCAAAACCATTGTTGATGATTATAGTACTGGCACACAGTTCGGCTATCGTCAAATCCTCCACGGGATTGCGAAGCTTCAACAGACGTTGCAAGGACTCCTGCATCGATCTGAATCTCGGAAGCCTGGTAGCATCTACGTTGCTCTGCTTGCGCCAAATGGATATGAGTTTATCGTTGGAGTCATCGCCGTTCTGGCGGTCGGTGGAGTGGTTGTTCCAATGCGTGAGTTATGCAGTAGGACGGACAGTGGGATGAAAACCGCTAACAGCTTCATCCACAGCGACCGGTGCGCTGCCCGCCGAAGCAGCGTATATCATCCAACAGTGCAATGCGCAGGTCATGATTGTTAGCAGAGAGCTTACTGACTCTGCGACGCAAATTCAACAAGAAGTTAAGATTCCATCGATCAGTATTGAAGGCAACACCCATACCGCGACTCATCTCCCTCCCGCTAAATCCTACCGACTCGACCCCACGCTTGCAGTATCCGAAGAGACTCCGAGTATTTTGTTCTTTACCTCGGGGACGACTGGCCCCCCAAAGGGTGTCCTCCATTCCCGTCGCACGATCAATAAGTATGCCCGTATGGAGACAGAGCCAGCGACGAACGACGAGATCTGCATAATTCCGAGAGGAGCATTTTGGTCGATTTATTTCACAAAGCTGTTCCAGATGCTTCTCGCTGGGGTGCGCGTTGAGATTCAGAACTTTGGACGCAATTACAATCTCATTTGGGACAGGCTTCGGGAACAGGCGGGAACGAAGATCGTTTTGTCTCCTACCTTTTGGTATGGTATGATGTTGCACTATGAAAGTCATATATCGAAGTTGCCAGAGAAGATGATTCAAGACTACATTGACGGTGTGCGATATCTGCGAGACGCGTGTGCTACGGGCGCCATGCCTTCAAGTCGGGTCAAGCAGTTCTGGCAGGAAATGCGCGGTGGAAAGCCACTGAAGGTGCTCTACGGGTCTACGGAAACGCAGGAGATAGCTATGTGGGATGGGGCAATAGGGAGCGAAGAGGTAATGCGCCACAATATGAGATCGATATAGTAGCTGACATGGCTATCGATGATACAGGCTGACTTGGGAACCCCCTTTCCGCATGTGACTATGAAGCTGTCCGAGGGGGATCAAGGGGAGCTTCTTGTCAAGACTCCATCTATGTTCCTTGGGTATATCTCTCTTTCAATGCATCGATCTATGAACCAAAGTGCTAATGTCATCGCCGGGAATATACTAGGTACTTGAACTCTCCTGATGCTACGGCAAAGCGCCTGGATGCAGAAGGGTTCTTCAGAACGGGCGACCTAGCAACCCTAGAAGATGGTCGATTTATATTCAAAGGAAGAGCAAACATGGATTGTCCGTATACCTGCTCCAGAATCGCCCTAATGAAGATCCTTGTCTAACTCCATCTCGAGTATAGTGTTCAAATTCTTTACTTACAAAGTTCCTCGAATGGAGGTCGAAGCTAAGCTAACCGCACTGCCTTACGTGTCGGAGGGATATATCTTGCCAGTCCAAGATCCACAGTGCGATACCCGAACAGCTGCACTTGTACGATTCCGTGATGGCTACGATAAGATCGACTTGGGCTCTCTGCGGAGAGATCTAGCCCACGACCTACCAGCTTATCAATTGCCTACCGTGCTGAGAAATTTGAGGGAGGATGAAACTGTGCCACGAACATGGTCTGATAAGACAGCCATGATGAAGGTAATCCAGATGTTCTTCCCACAAGACACCGAGGACAAGATTTGCGGCGATGCGACGGAAGTGATGGATGTTAGCGGTTTCATGAAAATGAAAACCACAAAGTTATGGGAATTGTCCGGAATCCGATAGCAGCCTGGCGCGAAGCGTTGACAGATTATGACATTCTTTACGGTAGCCTAATGATTATCATGTTGATAGCTTCAATGCTACACTAGAAATCTTGGTCACCATTGTTCATGCTCGTTAGCTCAGACACCACTAATCTACACTGGTCATGGCTTGAGCTTTCCAACCTAGGATACAATGCGGAATCTCATCTAGATGGTTTTAAAGGAGCTGTTGACTAGTTCGTCGATGGAATCCTTGATGATTCCTAGTGCCCGCTCAATCTCACTCTCCGTGATGACGAGAGGAGGAGCAATGCGAATGACGCCTGTTCGGCTGGATTTGAGCTATATCGCCAATTAGCATGAGCGTTCCCCTGGAAGGTGATGTTACTGACCAAAAGCCCCTTCGCCTTCATGAGCTCGCACAGCTCTATGCCAGTGTGTCCGTTGGCCTTGGTTTGGTCAATGACAAAGGCGTTGAGCAAGCCCCGGCCACGAACCGTCTCGATAACGGGGGTCTGAGCCTGAATAGCTTTCAGACCCGCTCTAAGAAGGTTTCCAAGATGCTCAGCCCGCTCGACCAAGTTTTCCTCCTCAACAACCTGGAGAGCACGCATAGCAACTGCCGCCCCCAGCGGATTCCCACCGTAAGTCGATCCATGCGTGCCGGGCTCGACCGTGAGCATCACATCATCGTTAGCCAAGGCGCAGGAGACGGGGTACATGCCACCGGTCATAGTCTTTCCCAAGATCACCATGTCGGGTTTGATCCCGCTCCAGTAATGACCGAGTAGCTTGCCCGTTCGTGCAATACCAGTCTGGATTTCGTCGCAGATCAACAAGACGTTGTGCTTGTCACAGAGCGCTCGAGCCTCTCGGAGGTAATCATCATCTGCAACTATAACACCCGCATCTCCTTGGATTGGCTCGATCACAAATGCAGCCAGGTTGAAGCCCGCTGCCTCGAACGCCTCCCGCAATGCCGCCTTATCGTTGTACGTGATCAACTTGTCGGTCCCCGGGATTGAGCAACTAATATTAGGCACCAACGGGCCATAGTTTTCACGCGACATATTATCCGAGGCTAGGGAAATTGATGCGAGCTAAACAGGCGCCGTGTTAATGAGACACTTGGCAGTATTGCGAGTTCCGTCATGTTGGTACGTACTGTTCGTCCATGATGGTTTCCCGCGGCACCTAGAACAATAGCCTGGTCCCGAGGCACACCCTTGACTTTGTAAGCCCATTTCCGTGCAACTTTAATGGCCGTCTCTGAGGCTTCTGCACCCGTGCTAGAAGGTAGGGCTCTGTCATAGCCAAATAGCTTGGTCACCATTTCGGCAAATTTGGGGTATACATCATTGTGAAAGGCACGAGAAGTAAGCGTCAGTCGCGAAGCCTGCTCCACAAGGGCAGCTACAAGCTTTGGGTGGCAATGTCCATGATTCAGAGCGGTGGAGGCTGAGTGGAAATCAAGATAGTGATTTCCCTCCGGGTCCCAGACAGAGGCTCCTTGGGCGCGGGCGAAGACAATGGGAAGGGATTGGTAGTTCTTTGCTGAAAAGTTCTGCTCAGCAGTAAGGGCAGCCTCAGTTGTCGTAGCACGATTTGAGGGCGTCATATTCTCACCAGTATGCTCGTTCGATACCATTATGAGACTTGCAGGGTGGAACGTGCTGGGAAAATACAAGGAATTCTCCGATTTTGGCAGATGTGAGATGATTTAGAGGACGCAACGGAAATATAAAGCTCACGAGGAAGGAAATAATATTCTGGCAGCGGGCAGGGACTGAGACTTTTGAGGGGGTAGGCCGACCTGCATCATGTATATATATAACCTTGGTTTTTTTTTCCCCCCACGATATGCACGGTGATAGATTTGTACCTCTGGTATCCAAGGTTGGTAATCAATCAGATGCATCTAATGATCGGCCTACACCGGGATTCAGTGGTCGTGCTCCTGCAGGCACAAATGTTATGAGCAGCTCAGCGTTTTCATCAACGGATAGTAGGAAACTAGGAGTGATCGGGATGAAGTTCTACCGAGCTCCCTGAGTCCTGACAGAGGCTAGACAAAGCGGACAGCTTTGTGTACCTGAGGCCCTCCACTTCTGTTGCAGATGTGGACAAATTTGTCAACTAGTGAGCATAGTCAAAGATATGCACTACCGCCGAATTGCCTACTGGAGCAAAATGCTACTCGTAATATGGTGTCTCTAGAGTGGGGAAATATTCATACTAGTATCAAAGTAATATTTAAAAATACCTTAGATTAAACTTGATAGATTCTCTCCTCGATCATTTTGTTCATACAATGAGTCTATTTCTTGAATTGTAATATTGTTATTATTCGGCTCTAGGATGCCATGGCCGGTGCACACCCCCCTTTGTCCAGCTCCTGGGTTTATTACAACTCATGGACATGACCGACAGGTTGGCCAGCCCAGCTCAGCCAGCCTGATACCTCCATGTGAGTGTCTCCTGCACGTGTGATTGGGCATAGTATTACCAAGGGGCCTGAACACCTAATGCTGCATGCAAAAAAACACGGTACTGTTTTGTCTGTTACTACTTACAACAACTGACGACTGTGAAACCTTACAGAAAAAACCGGCTAAATAATCTGTAAAATAATAATCCATAGTTACAGTAATAATCAATAATACATTGTTAATAATTTCAAAAATGTAGACAAAGAGCTTTACCAAAATGATTAATAAACCTACTTAGAACTTCAAACTGAATTTTATATAGTTTATACCCGGTGGATAAGTTAATAAATTAATACCGTTTTCATATTGTTATTTTAGTCCTGAGCCCCACCCCCCCCTTACACGCAGCACGGGGCCGTTTCTTCCCGCGATGGTTTACCGCCGTTAGCAGTCCGGCCTTCCTTACAGCCATCTTGGGCACGTTCTGTGCCTAAGGTCGTTTCGGATAAGATCTCCGCTACAACCGTTGGAATAATGGAGCTCACGTGGCTCAATCATATTTTAGATAAACCGCCTGGTGCGACCGTAATCATGAACCTCATGACACCCTGCCTGGGTATATTTCCACCATCATAAACGGCTCCCAACCGCCGCCTTCTCCCCACCGGTATGCCTGAGAGATCAACAATGTATACCGAAAGGCAGGGATCCCGGGGGACGGCATCATGGATATCCTCGCTGTCACGATGGAATAAAGCTACGTATAGGAGCCACAGCACATCGGCAGATGAAGCGGAGAATGAAGACCCGGAAAGAGTCCCATTTTTGCAACCATCAGATCGGTCACTGCGAAGTGATGCCGACAAGAGATCTCCCCATAATCCTATTCCAAGTGCATTTGCGGTTACTATAACCGCCTGTATCGTTATGCTAATATTGGACATCGCATCTTCGGTTCCAACGGCGCCTCGAATGGTGATTTTTGAGGACATTATTTGTCGTAACCACTACGCAGCATGGTGGGATATTTCGAAGCTGGGGGACTGCAAAGTGAAAGCGGTTCAGGGTGAGCTCGCTTTGATAAATGGATGGAAGGAAACATTTGAAAAGATTCCTGGTAACCCGTACCTCCCCGGGCTATGAACTGTCAGCTCACATTTTCTGACCGTGGGAATTCTCATTCAGCCTTGTTGGTGTCAATACCTTATGGAGCCTTAGCGGATCGTATTGGACGTAAGAAGGTTTTGCTCCTTGCCCTGACCGGATGTTTGCTTTGTGATACATGGGTGGCAATAGTCTGTGTGTTTTAAATTAACCCTTCTCCTCGGCTACTCAAGAATGTCATTTAACAGATGCAAGGTCTTTTCCCACGAGTCTTCCCCCTTCGCGCAGTATGGGTGTCTGGTCTATGGCAGCTAGTTGGAGGAGGTGGCGCATTGGTCATTTCCATGTGCTATACACTGATAGGTGATGTTTGTTCTCCTGAGAAGCGGTATGTACCATGAGCACCCCCCGTTTTCTTTCGCAGAATGACTAGTTGACACGAGCTCGAGCATAGGACCACTGCCTTTTCTCAACTATACGCTGCTGTGCTCATCTCGGAGTTGATATCTATTCCACTGGGTTCTGCTCTTATCTCACTCGATCCGTGGATACCAGTCCTGGGATCTCTGGGTTTCATGGCCCTGGGAATTCTTTTTGCGCTGCTATTTGCGCCCAACTTCGTCAACTCCGCTGCAAAGTCCCAAGATTGTGAAAGGGATATCCAGAGCCAGGGCCCGAATTCTGTGGCTCCGGGCAAGATGCGGGATCGGTTAAGTTACACTTGGGCCAAAGTAGGCGATAATTGTCAATGGATAACTAGGGACGTCTGCTTGATGCTTGGTGCCTTCTTCATGTGCCAGTTGAGCCGGCAGGGTTCCGGAATACTTCTTCAGTACAGTTCCTTTAAGTTCAATTGGGGATATGCAAAGGTGATGACCCTTTGGAGATGATAATTAGCCTAGTTCCGCACAAGAGCTAACCATACAATGTAGGCCTCGTATCTCATTTCCCTTCGTTCCGGGATAAACCTGGTGGTCTTAGCTACACTAATACCCGCTCTCAAACGACTGTTTACCAAATTCTGGAGGACTCGCCAAACACAATCCGACAAATACATTACCTTGATCAGTGGCTTGTGTCTAGCTCTTGGGTCGTTTATTATCTTCCTCGCTGCTTCCCCTGGATTTCTGATCCTGGGGCAGATTGTCTCTTCTATCGGATTTGCTTTCGCGGTTACTGCCCATAGCCTCCTGACTGCTATGGTCGATCCACGCCATTTGGGCCTTGCGAATACCGGAGTGACGGCTACGAATTCTGTTGGCCACATGGCCGGAGGGCCGCTGCTGGCGACCATATTTCAGTGGGGGTTACAAATGGGGGGCTTCTGGGTTGGAATTCCCTTTCTATTCACCGCGGCTCTGCTCTCGATTGCTACTCTAGCGGTATCTATTTCCAACGCGCCATGATGTACTACTGTGTACCAAGGTTCCCTGGAGACCACGACTAGCAACAGGAAACACAACCTCTAGACCAATTTACGTCATGTATATAGATAGATCCATGAAATTGCATTTCAAATACACACGGGCATTTCAACAAGTTAACAGATCGTAAAAGAAGATTGATGGAGCCTACAGGGGAGGATGTGTGTACTCAGTGGACTCGAGTGCCCGCAAAGATTACTAGTATTTTTTAACAGCGAATGGCTGATACTCACTCCACTTTCATTGACACCTTCCAGCTCGAGATAGAATGGATATTCGACCACCAATCGTATGTGTCTTCCGACGCCCATAGATCGTTTTCACCCCCACTTAATGACTAATGCATACGCAGACAAACAAAACAAGTGAAGTCGCATTCTCCCAAGCAATGACCAGGATATAAAAGCATTCGCTTTCCCGCCCCAAAATTATCGCAACCCTCATATCCAAATCAAACCTACAAAAGAGAAAAGACAGAGATGGGTCCAATAACCCTCTACTACTCCCCAGGAGCTTGTTCCTTAGCGCCCCACATCCTTCTCCAAGAAAGCGGGCTGGAATTCTCCATCCACAAAGAGAAAACGGGCCAATTCACACCAGCACTCTACGCTTTGAACCCCAAAGGCAAAATTCCCGTCCTTGCTCTCGACAACAACACAATCATAACCGAGAACCCAGCCATCATGAATGCGATCTCAACCCTCGTACCGGAGAAAAACCTATTCGGAAAGACGCCTTGGGACGCTGTCCGTGTGTATGAATGGTTGACGTGGCTCTCCGGTACACTGCACGGGCAGGGCTTCGGATTGTTGTTTCGATTCCGCCGGTACACAGATGATGAAGGGCAGTTTGAGGGGCTGAAGAAAAGGGGGATGGCCATCGTGACAGATTGTTTTGAGATTATTGAGCAGAAGTTGACTGAAGCTGGTGATGGCCGTTTTGCTGTGGGGGGTGCATTTACGGCGGTTGATGCTTATTTGTTTGTTTTTCATCGTTGGGCCTTGGGATGTGAGATTGATATGCCGGCGCTGTATCCCAGATATACGGCTTTGTATGAAGCCGTTGGAGGCATGGAGGCGACGAAGAAGGCCCTCGCTGCTGAGGGGCTTTAAATTGTTGTTTCAATGCTCCCACTTAGTCCGAAACTATCTTGACCGAAGTTTCGATGCTGTCAAGGAAACAGAAATTGATCATATCTTGACTTTAATCTCACTTGTAGACCGCTAGAGAAGTTACTAAGACAAACCTACCGTCGGCATTACTGGTGCTGGGTCGACTTCATTCGAGATAAAACAAACCTACTACGAAGCGCCATCGCATGCTACTGAGAAGGAATGTCGGTCAGGCATTTCTCAGAGTCCACTGAAGATACTGGAACCGTGTAAAGTAGAATACAGGGGTCAGCCAGTTGTTTTATAATAGCTCACTACGGCCCCGTTCGCACAACTTTTAGCTCTACGCTAACCCCATATGTTGTGTCGTACGGCAAGCCATTGCGGCCAGTCCGCATTTATATATTTTCCTATAGTTTTTGGTCAGATATACTCACTGCTTTGTTGACTGCTTTAGTCTACTTAGTCAGAATCCGAAGGTCTTAGCTGAGTTTTTTTAGGGTCCCAGCTCCGAAAGAGTTAGGATCTAGTATCCGGATTTTAGAAATTATATACATACCTCTAAAATAATCAAACCTGTCTATTGTATTTTATCCGGATTTTTTTATACTACATCCTGATTTTTTTTATATTAAATCCTGTTTTTTTTTTAAAAGTTGGGACCCCAAAACTCAGCTAACTAGTTATTTAGATTTTCAGATTCTGACTAAGTAGACTAAAGCAGCAGTTAACAAAAGTGGTGGTAAGGATTGTAATTTGTAGCCTCTGGTTTCTGCGGCATTTCAACAGAAAGCGCCACGCAATCGATACAACCCAACCAAACTAAGGGTATATAAACTAGCAAAAGTCCCGGCAAGTCACTGCAGACAGTTGATGTCTTTCGTGATTTATCTACCATACCATCTCTCGATTCTCTGCAAGACTTCACACAACCCCCATCATCCCCTACAGCACAATCAATGGATATCCCTGATAAATGTACGGTGTTGGTGGTAGGCGGCGGACCGGGGGGTTCGTATGCTGCTTCGGTGCTCGCTAGAGAAGGCATTGATACGGTGCTCCTGGAGGCAGACGAGTTTCCGAGGTGAGGTTTCAGCTCGATGTTATTAGACAGGGGGCTCACTGTAAAGCCAGATACCACATTGGAGAGAGCCTCCTGCGGACTACGGGGTCTTTTCTTCAGTTTATCGATGCTTATGACAAATTCGAAAGCCATGGGTTCAGACCAAAGGTTAGATCAGTTCAACTGCCCTGAAGGTCATTGAGAGACGGACAACTGACGCCTGGTGAACGAAAGAACGGTGCTGCATTTAAATTCAACAGCAAGCCCGCCGCATGTAAGAAAGGATTCCTGCGGTTCAATCGTCCCAGGCCTCGCTGACTGAACAAATAGACTCCAACTTTCTTCAACATGGTCAACACGCATGGAATGTGGACCGATCGGAATGCGATGACCTCATGTTTAAACATGCCCGAGAATGTGGCGCAAGGACCTTCGACGGGGTTAAAGTCCAATCCATTCAATTTTGGCAGGCATTCTGCCACGACGAGAAGGTAAATGGCGAGCAAGCGCACCTTGGAAAGCCAGTCTCTGCTTCGTGGATTCGCAAAGACAAGACCACCGGCACCATTCAGTTTCAGTACCTGGTGGATGCCTCTGGCCGAGCGGGGCTGGTCAGTACTAAATACATGAAAAACCGTAAGTTCAATGAGGGGCTGAAAAACGTTGCTTCTTGGGGTTACTTTGAGGGTTTTGAAATGTACGGAGTCGGCACGGTTGCTGAAGGTTGCCCCTACTTTGCAAGCTTTCCAGGTATGTCCAAAGTTCGCCCTTGCCTTACCACTCAGCTGCGGAGACAACCTAACCAACAATTATAGATGGGTCGGGCTGGGTATGGTTCATCCCCCTGGGGGAGAATAAAGTCTCTGTGGGAGTCGTCATGGAACAGAAAAGTGCCACTGCCAAGAAGAAGCTGATGGAGTCCCCCTCTTCTCGCGAATGGCTTTTGGCGCAGGTCCAGGAGGCGCCCGGAATAGGCGATCTTCTTGCAAAAGCCACTCTTGTTTCTGACGTGAAGAGTGCTTCCGACTGGTCCTACACTGCATCCACTTATGCCAGCACAAACATCCGGATCGTTGGAGACGCTGGGTGTTTTATTGACCCACTCTTTTCATCGGGGATTCACCTGGCGCTCACCGGGGCGTTCTCGGCCGCAGCAACTATTTGCTCCTCGATTAGGGGCGACTGCTCGGAAAAGACTGCAGCGGACTGGCATTCGAAGAGAATCCAAGAAGCGTACGCAAGGTTTTTGCTCGTGGTGGCGAGCACGTATGGGCAGATCACCGGAAAAGAAGCACCGATTCTCAATGATGAGGGCGAGAGCGACTTTGACAATGCTTTTGAATTAATCCGTCCTAGTAAGTCACCATTGACCTGATATTGCTGTTCCTCCAGGAGCAAGTCCTCTTGTCTAACGTGATATGCGTGACAGTCATCCAGGGGTCCGCGGAAGAATCTACGGGAAAGGGCGCGCCAGAGGATGCTTCCGAGGCGGTTGCATTTTGCATGACAGTTATCCAAAAGGCGCAGACTCGATTGGAAGACATCAGCATTGGCGATAAAATTATCAGGGCGGCTATGCAGCCAGATACTGGATCATTAGGCGGTAACGATATTGATGGGATGGTGATCCACGCTGAACGCGGTGCTTTGGGTCTTGTAAAGATGTAACGAGCTGGACCCTATCGCTGTCATTCAGCAGACCAAATTTGAATATCAAGAATTGGAATATATGAGAATTGCAATCAATCCCGAGTTCCGTAATACGAAGCGATCGGCTTGCAACACACGCTAATTGGGCCTTATGCACGCAATTTCCGCTCCTCGCCTGCCGAACCCACCTAGACACGAATCTGGTAGAAAATTCAGGTCTATGTGGGGCTGTCATTTATCTGGGGGAAAGCCTTGCTTTTTCTTTTGCTTTTCCCGAGGCTGAGGAAGAGGATCCGTGTGCAAAGAGAGGAAGATTATGACTTACGCCGACTCAGTGGACACAGCAGCAGCAAGTCTATATTTGATATCCATACAGCGTAGAGAAGCAAGCGAAGAGAAAAACGGTGACAATACCAGCCCATATTGTTTCCTTCTTCGACATGCCTGGCTGGTTCCATTCCATGACTAGGGTTCTCCTCACAAAATGTAGAGCCAGGTTGCGACTCGTGAGTATACTCGTTTTATCCTTGAGCTTCACTATCCTATTCGTTCAATCAACCTTTTCAGACAGCGGAGTATTTCCAAATGTACATAATGCAAAAGAGCTTCTGCGGTCACTTACAACAGGGGGGGGGGGTGGGGGTGTTTTTTATTTTATTTTATTTTTTTCTTCGGAAGCGGCTGGGGAGAAGAGTCTCTAAATTACGCATTTTCATCTGAAAAATCGAACTTCTCGCAGCACAAGTATAACTACATAATCTTCCTTCCTCCGCTATCTTAAACCGTCCTACAAAACCAGGGATGTCAAGTGAGAGTTTTGATATTTACAAAATCAACCTTGGAGTATGCCTTCGACAGTGGTTCATCCTCCCTGCTCCCATGATGCTATGGGCTCAGAAAAGACCAAAATGCCTGTCGCCGAGAGCCCTCACAATGTTCAAACAACGTTGACCTTCAGTAAAGAGAACGAAGACGGTTCTGCTCCACCTCCAATGTACATTGGGAAACCGGAAAGCTACAAGAGGCCGACCACTACTCTTCCTGCGACGATCCATGATATTAGCGGCCATGAACTCGACTATACACTTGATAGTCATGGATTCCAATTCTATACCCACGAAAGCAAATTGAAGGATTTTCTTGATGAGGAGAGGATTAGAGCAGAGTACTACCCAGAAACAGAGCAGCTGCTTCACGACGTGTAAGTAAACCAAACCTCTTTGAACCTAGGAATAAACATATAAAAATAAAACCAAGCTGAGTAGTACCGGTGCCACTCGGTTCTGCGTCTTTGACCACACCGTCCGTCAAGCCTCACAAGACTGGACGACTGAGAGAGATGCCCGTGGTCCCGTCCAACGTGTCCACATCGATTCGTCTTACGCAGGGGCCGAGGCCAGAGTCCGCTACCATTTTCCCGATGAAGCAACAGAGCTTCTCAAACACCGCTACCAGATGATCAGCGTCTGGCGTCCGATCAAGACCATTCTGAAAGACCCACTGGCGGTCGCAGATGCACACTCCACGCCAGAATCGGATCTTTTCCCTGTCAAGATTCATTTCCCGGACCGAGAAGTGGAGGGGTGGGCCGTGAAAGCTGATCCACAACTCAAGTGGTACTATCGCTACAAACAACCCCCGGACATGGTCACTTTGATCAAACTTTTCGATTCCAAGCTTGACGGTAGGGCGCGCCGGGTGCCCCATACTGCTTTTGTGAATCCTGCGACAGAGCATGAGGCACCTAGGGCAAGTATCGAGCTGAGGGCTCTTATCTTTCATCCTGATGACCCTAATTAACCTTGCCTCACGGGGTGGGATCGCGCTTTTCGTTGTGGAGGTTCTGCGGATTGTGCGGATGTGGTTGCCAGTTATGATGTTTTCTGTGACGCATCTCTGGAATATGGGACTTCGTCCCTTGGCCATCGCCATGCTCCTGGAATGTACGTAATGAGAGAGGATTGCAGTGAGATGAGATGTTTCTGCAGAAGCCGGCAACTGTTCCTGGCTCAAAGCCCCAGTGGGCCAGGACGACATCGGCCTACTTTAGGAGTGTTATGCTGAGCCCTCAGTGAAGCTTTTGTGAAGATGATTGAATTCTCGATTTTTCGAATAGATCTTACAGTTGCCCTTGCAACTGGCCTAAGAAATGGATACGCAGATACTCTTATTTAGCCGTACGCCCCAAGACTTTGTGTGACGGCAGATACTACAGCAGAAGATCCGACACGATGAGAACAAGGAAAACGCAGTAAAGGGGCGTTTACATGTTCAAATTGAGATGTCATTAATCCTTTATTGTATCTCCCTTTTCAGTCTTCCATAGGAACAGCACCCTCAGCCTGCATCTCCAGAGCAACCCGGTCCACCTCACCCCAAACCCGCAGCACATTAGCCCCCGCCACCTTGACAGCATCCTCATCGGTGAGACCGCGCCGCAAAAGCTCAGCAATCAGAGCTGGGAACTTCGACACATCCTCTAAGCCTCGTACCGTAGTTGGCATTCCGTCAAAGTCACTGCCCAACCCGACATGGTCTATTCCGGCGACGTCCACGATATGCATGATATGGTCCGCCACCCGTTCCAGAGTCGCGTGTTCATCATCTATATCAGGCAGTCCACCGTCGTGGTCAGATGCTGTGCAGGAGATGAAATCGGGCGCAAAGTTAACCATCACTACCGAGTTTCTCTCCTTTACCAAAAGCAAAATATCATCAGGGACATTGCGAGGATGCGTGCATAGTGCCTGTGCTGAGCTGTGGCTGAAGATGACCGGTGATCGACTGCCAGGCCAGTCGTCCTTACCTGCGCCTAGGACATCGCGCATTGTATCCTCGCTCACATGGGCCAGATCAATAATCATGCCTATACGGTTCATTTCATAGATGAGGTCCTTCCCTAGCGGACTCACGCCGTGCCAGAGAGGATCTGACTTTCTAGTGCTACCATCTGGCCCCCTGATAATCGCTGCATCTGCGTAGATGTTGTGGCAGTTATGCGTGAGGGTCGCATATGAGACTCCCAATTCGTAGAACATGCGTAAATGGGCAAAGGAATTTCCAATTGAATGTAGACCTTCGATCCCAAGAGGCGAGATGATCTTCCCTTCTCGAAATTCCTGTAGAGCAGTAGTGCTGTTAGGGGGGTAGAAAAGATGTCTGGGTAGGCTCGTTGGATCCGAAGCATTAGATCGATTTGCTCGATAGTCAATCGAGGATCTGTTTCTTTGAGGTCAACTAGGGATATCTATCGAGCAGAAAATGCACATATAACGCACCAGGCGCGTCCTTAGGGTTCGAAGGGTCGATCCGATTCTTCGGACAAGGCACAAAAACACTCCAAAATGTGCCCCCGACAAGCCCCTGCCTCAAACGGAGTAGGTCCGTGTCACCCTCCAGAGTGCCGTCAGCAAAGGGCTTAGTGAAGTTGGATCCGTAAATGTGATTCTTGTAGTGTTTCCGAATATTGATAGGCAAGTCATTGTGGCCATCTGTCAGGCACGTCAGCCACTATAGTGCCCGTGTCAATGGGGCTTTATACCGATCAGAGGCATGTTTGTCAAGATGTTCTCCACTCGTTCCTCGATACTGGCCAAGCGAACATGGCAGCTGTGCGACCAGAACCACCAACCCCCAGCCAAGAGACAGCAGATGGCCAACGCCCAGTGACGGCGAAATAACTGCGAGCCCCTTGGCCCCGGATGGCAAGTTGAGCCTCCCGTAGACGAGTGTCGGATTTCTAACTTTTCATCCATCGCGGGGGTATGTCAGGGGAGAGAAGTTATTGAGGTCAAAGATTTGGACATTTGATTGTCTTATGAACCCCAGCATCCGCCGATGAAAACAAACAAAACAAAATCGGCACATATACCGGGGAGTTCGGGTTCCGTGTTATAGGCTGCATCTTTGATACAGTCCACCAGCTTCCTGCTGATCAGCCATAAGGCTCTCAAGTTGAATACTACCGAGAATCTGACTCTCAGAATCATTGATGAAATGGTCCTAATTATCTAGGCCCGCATCTACCAACCATGTACCATAGAGAGGTGACCTCAATATTGTAGGTCGTATGAGGTCAGATCTCATGTTCTGGTGGTGTTTATTCTGTTGTCGAAATGCACTACATACTGGGATAGCCTCTATACGTGGCACTGGCGTGAGCCCAACTAGGCTTCGGAATGTTTAAAATTCAAGGAACATGCAAGACAGCCCATAGGTCTCAGCAGCTTATATACTTGCTGCCTTGTTCTGACAGACTCAAACATTACACAACAGCCCGTTGGCGCCAATGACCGAGACATGTGTTCTCGATATTTCCTTTAATGAAGCACAACTTGCTCACAGTTAGCAATGAACTGAGACAACCTCGGATTGAAATGGGTTACCCACCCTGCATGTGCCATAGCATTGCGAAGCTCCTCCTCCAGAATTCTCACCGCTAGCTCAACTCCAGCCTGCCCGTCGTACTGTGGATACGTATCGATTAGACCAAGCCATGCAGTTTCTTTATACCCACTTACAGCCAGACCCCATAAGGGGATTCTTCCAAGGAAACAGATGTCGGCACCTAAAGCCAATGCACGGAATACATCAGCTCCTCGGCGGATTCCACTGTCGAACCCAATTTTGATGCGACCCTTCGCCAATGGAGCACATTCAGCCAAGACGTCTATGGCTGCTGCAACACCGTCTAACTGTCTGCCTCCGTGGCTTGAGATGACCAGGCCGTCCAGGCCGTAGTCAATTGCTTTCAAAACATCATGTGGGCAAGAGACTGGTAGATTTCAGCAATCTTGTAATTTCTCTTTGAAGTGCATAAATCTTTCACTTACTTCCTTTCACCCATACTTCTAAACTGGTGTTAGCTTTAACCCATGGGATAACCTCGTCCCATCTTTTACTCGGATCGTGACCATACCCGCCACTCGATCTATCCGAACTGTCCGACAGGTTGGGGTAGGAAAGGTGTGGGGGGAGCTGTAAGCTGTTTCTTTTCTTCCTCAGACGATTTGCCGTAACTGGGGCATCTACAGTGATGAAAATAGCCTTGTAACCAGATTCTATTGAGGGAAATGGTACACAATTATTAGAAGGGTCGGCTTTATCATATGCAGGAAGGCTCTCACTTTCAGCTCGCTTCATCCAATCCAGTGTTTTACTTCGATCCCTGGGGAAAATGGGCTGGAACGCGTATGGGTTCTGGCCCTCTTTGCGCTCAGAGATGACATCTTCCAATGATACCGTTGAAAATGTTGATAAAACCATTGGGATGTTCAGTTGGCTCGCTGCTCGAGATGTGGCCGCTTCGCCGTCAGGATGTGCAAGGCACTGTATACATGTTGGCGCAAATCCTATCGGCAAGGAGACCTGGAGTTGTTAATTAAACTCTTAAAAGACGGAATATATAATTTGCCTTTTCACCAAGAAATGTGGTTGAGGTATCAATATTGGACACGTCACAAAGAATACGGGGTCGAATCTTGAAGCGATCAAAGGCAGTCTCATTCTCACTCATGCTAAGACTTTATGTTAACAGAAACCGTTGGCCACACACCTCCGGATGGCTCTTGTACGTACGTGACCATATCCCCGGCCCCCTCATTGTAGTATTCTGGTTATTCCGCTGGTCAGGAGCAATCGTAGGAAGTGAAATTTCCACTTGGTGGATCTGAGCTTTCTTACCTTCAACATCCTTCTGTAAATTTGAGGACGCGGCTGCACGTAACTCCCTGATTGTGAGTATGTCCGCTGAACTTGAAGACTCCATCTTGGTACTTGGGAAATCCGACACTTGAAGCAGAGGGAACTTAAAGAACAGCAGTTTTCTAACAGGTATAAGAAATCGATTTCGAGGTCACCTATCTTTAAAAATGTTTATTATATACGGGGGGGGGGTTCTGCCTTGTGCCATTTCTGCTGTTTCAATCTATGCTGCAAAAGGAGGATTAGCGGTGAGACTCAGTCCCACATATACCTGAGTTTCCGTTCTTTCTCACGCATAAGTGGGTTTATTTGACGTTGGTGTCGAATCATTACCTACCATCTGCATGCAGCCATGGATGAAGCGGTGCTAGACGGACTATGGTCCTGCACGGTTGCCAATGGCGGCCGTCGGGGACCAAACATATATTCTAAAACAAGCCCAAAAGTAAATAACATACAATACACTCGGGGTATACCTCCCAGTTAGGATAGTATTCTCTTTGTGTACTTTGGTGTCTTTTAAACTCCGAGGATGGGGCATTGATATTGGATAGCCTCGCTCCGGGTCGGGCTTGCACCAATAGGCCACACCCCCTAAAGTCTATTTTTATATAAAACTCTGGTCTTGGTATTTATAAAGGTCATAATTCTAAATCTACGATTCAGAATGCCGTGGGATCACTTATATAAGTCACCGCCGTTGCAACTATACCTCACCACCACCAAGGAAAAGGCTCGTCCCGAGTCTTATATCCTATTCTACGCTGGGAGCGTAGGAAACTCGGCCTTTAAGCTATCGCTTCAAGCTTGAAGAACAAGAGGAGTACAGCACCGAGAGGCATCTAACTATCAAGACTACAACGGTCTATTATCTTCTACCTATCATCGACTTGAGCTAATGACGGTTTGTACTAGATAACGAGTTGGGAATTTTGACGGACACCTTCGCAGTTACACATAAGGATAGCTATATGAGCTTCTCGATGCACCCCTTCGATTTCTATATTGCAACTCTGTTTGGCACGATTTTGAAGATTCATGACAACGGCATCTTTAGGCAAGGTACACTGCAGCTCCCCAGGTCTTCTAGGAAGCCCTCCCATTGGCGACGGCTTTCATGGGCCCGAATCCACAATTACACCGAATATACTTTATCCATCCTGTCAAAACGTCCTTGACCTCCTCCCCAATGACCAAAAAATTTGTCATTACCAGGAGAAGCTATCTTCTGCTAATATCACGCGCCTCAAATACGGTATACCTCCCCTGAAACAGCGACATGAGAGGATCGGGAACATGGCGCACACCTATATGGGGACGTTCATTGCGGGTATTGCAGCCTGGAACCGTCCGGATGAGAATGGTGGTATATCTCTCCACAACCTGGACACGCCATTGTGAATCTGGGCGAATCGCTAGGCTTGAGTATTCTCTGTTTCATGAGGTGAGTCTGGATTCGAACATGGTACGATGTTGACTGGGCGCAAGTGATACCTTGGGTCAATTGTCTCACGTATATTTCTATGTTTTCTTTCGCGATTGCAGTATATGTGCAATCGGTAGTTACTGGGGGCACGTGGCCTGAAGAATTTCCGATTAATGCAAGAGCCCGTACCAGCTTGGAACTAGTATCATGGTACTCAATAGAAATGAATTCTTACGCGGTAGCTGAATATTGCGTGGTTCCATATGGTGTTAGACTTGCGGTATAATTTGTACTCCCATCGCTCCCATCCAATCGTCCAAGAGCATCATTATTCACAGCACTAGTAGATGGCGTTAAGTAGGCCGCCTGGCCCATATCCATTGTTTGAAAAGGGGTGTGAAAAATTGGCATGCTATTTCCCAATAGACTGTTCACAGGGACAGCCCAATCTGCCGGTATGGAACGGCAGGCATAGACACCTGCATACTGATCGGCCGAGCCGTGGTTCACGGGGTATTCCATTTCCATTTCCATCTCCATTTCCATCTCCATTCCCATTCCCATTTCCACTTCCAGTGAGGGGCAAGCCCTGGTGTCCAGACTAGCAATTAGCGACTCGGGTGAAGTTGGCGTTTGGACCGGCTGCACGGTGAGGATATGACTGGATAATTCGCTGAAACTCGGCATCGAACCCGGTGATTTGCAAGAGCCCTGGGGTGTGTCTCCTGAATTCCACAATCAGCGTCGTACTATATCGTTCTGGTGATTATAGACTTTACCAGGCGCTTCCCTGCGCTTCTTGCATGTCATATCTCTCAATGTCCCTGCAATGTGGTTACCCAACTCTGTAAGTTCATATTTTATCACAAGGTCTTCGATCCCTCGGCCTTTCAAGTCATTGGCAACATCGTGCATTCGCTTCTTCGTGCATCTTGATGTGTACGCAGAATGAGGCACGTCTAAAGGAAGTGCAATCAGATAGCCCAAGTCAGTTATACCTCTTTTGAAATGGCCGGCCCACTCATGATATTTGCAGCCTTGATCAACCCAGTTCAAGCTCTTATTCGCTGCCTGCTGGTCGCGAAACCGCTGCGGGAAATTCTCACAGAGCTTCATCGCCAGTTTAGTGCGCATATCCCGGATCCAGCAGGTGCCGGTATGATACCCAGCCTCGACAACATGCTTGTAGATATTGTAGCACTCGAACCTATGGTAGATCTTCATTCGGTCGCGTAGATCAGCATTGTCAACCTTCGCAGCTATGGCGGCCTCCCAGCCTTGCCCCGTGGGGAGCACTGCTCTGGCTTTTCCAATTTCCCGTAAGAAAGCTCCGCGGTCTGTCCGACAGCTTTCCAAAAGTACTTTCATACTTGGCGAAAGGTAGGGCGTACGAAAAAAAGAATCATCCTCTGTCACGCCCTGTAGAGGCGTCGTTGCTCCTGTAGTCAGCGATGGAGTGACTGTGTTCGTATCGATATCCGAACTTGGCGTACACTGGTTACTATTACGAGGATATCCTGGATTTGGGATGCTCATGCATAAATCTTTCCGGAAGTCGTCTGCTTCAGAAACTGAAGACACACCCTGCTGGTATTCATATGACTCTTGTTGGTGGTCGCCGTCAGCGAGCGAGGTAGCAGAAGGTCGACGGTCTCGTGCACGAACTTGCGACGGCCGCGCAGATGCTGCACCGGTGGCCACGGCTGGAAGTCCATCGTTTTGATTCGTAGTTGCAAGGTGGTCCGGTATATCAGTGATCGGGTTCTAGGTATCGGTCCGAGGCCGAGTTAGCATTAAGTGATCACGCAATTATATGGCTGCAAATCGATCGCTGGATTGGAATTAGGAACCTCACATGTTTGACCTGGTGCAAGAATAAGCTAAATAGGCGATGGAGAGCTGAGATGTCGCGCGCAGAAAGACATTCCTTCCATCTCAGGATCTGGTCGGCCGAGATACTGGTTTCGTTTGCCCTGTAGAGCTGGGCGAGTTGGGTAAGCAATTCTGGTAGCATTGGTTCGGCCTGATCCTAATAGTCTAGGTGTTCCCCCAGAATCTCGGTCAGCACCGTCATATGTTAAATCGATTGCGACACACGCTCAGACCCTCCAGAAAAACGGTGTCCTTCATTGACGTGCAGTCTCCTGCAATACTTAGCTCGATCTCCCGATTTAACTTTAGCGCGTGTATTGGCTTGTTCTCGTAAATTTTAAAAATTACACATCATACAGATCACATATGCGATCGGTATGTATCAATAAATCTTACCAGATCAGCACGCTTAGAATATATCGTAGCGAGGGTCGGCTAACATCTAGATATCTAACCTACTCATTTTCTTGATTTTCATATTTAGAATATTGTAAAGCGGCAGTAGGCGTCACACCGCTACTATGTCGAACTCCGTAAGTCAAATCCCGGTCATCATTGGTTATCAGGTCGCCTCGCAGTGCGTTTCTACACTACCAGCTGGTACGGTCCATGAGAGAATGGAAAACTTGCCTGAGGTCCACTATTCCAAGGAAACTGGTTACCTGTTGTCCGCGTGGGTCACTCCACTACAATATCTACAGCTTTCCCTAGGATATCAAGGAAGTTACAGATTCGCGCGATCTAAGATCTGTCGTCATTCCTCCTAAATTCCTAAGGTAACCCCTTTAGTTACGGCCCGTCCCGGCAGCCAGGGATTATATCTCCGTAGCCAGGGTCCGCAAATGGGCCCTGGAGAAGGGTGGCTTTCAGTCCGATTTCATTCGGCTTCAGAGATATTATAAGTAAAACTTAAGTCATTCTAATCCGACACACAATAATTGATAAAGCCTGTCTTTCTGTTAAAACTTAATACCGATTTTCTCAAGGCTAACCAACTATCACACCAGTTCCGGGGTCGCTTGGGATAAATCGTCGATATCTAACTTTCGATGAACTTTAGGCCCAACTTAGTTTTGCAGCATCAAACTACGCTAGGCTACATCATGTGGCTGGCAGCCAGGAGTATGCAGTTAATCCCTATTGGTTGGCAGTCCGTCACGTCGCATAGACTGGCGTCGTTTGATAGCTTTAGAAATACAGCTCCGTAGTGAACGTTGAACCCTTTTGTAACGGCGATCGCCTCAGGCAATGACTACCCCGCCCCTTGGATGCCTGTTCGTCAGCGATTCGTTTCCCTTTCATTCCCCATCACATTATTCTATTCGGTCCTGAACATCCTCGATCTCCCTCCTACTACTAGTAACTACTAGTACTAGTAGTGCTACCTGTACTCCCCGGCCGTTGGCCTCCACCCCAAAGGCGTACCACCAATCATGTCGCGTATTCCTGAAGGGCGCTTACAATGACCGCCTGCTATCATATTGCAAAAAGAAAAACGAAAAGCAACCATGATGGAATAACAACATATCAATTTTGCTTTTAATTATCTCTATTACTTTAAGATATTCCAAGGTGTTCAGATTAGACAGTGTAACTATTAGTAGGTAGAACACAACTGGAGCAGCAGCTGGTCAGCCCTATTGGGGGTGTGCCTTGCGATTGCCGGTAAAACCCCAATCTATATAATACGTTAGGGTTGGGTTCAGATGGGTCGTATTGATGTCTACCGACCCACCAAGAAGTTGAACCCATAGGTTTGAAATCTAACCCCAGACCCATGTACAGGCTGTTCTGGATGTAAATGGCTATGCAGCTTATGCTATCAGGTGGCAAATTTGGCAGGTCTGATGCATCTCGTATTTGATACACGCATATGTAGTGAGATTGTTGATTTTTTTAATACAGTTTCGTTAATTTGTTATTGTCGTAGTTTACCACTAAGGATGAGTGGGGAGTCTCCACCGCGAATAAAGATGCTAGCTAGCAGGTACACAGCCAGCCACCGTTTTCCCCTCACCACATCACGATCTAGAATCTTTGATAGACATGTAACCTAGCAGGGAGCGATCGACATTGACTGAGGAATTGCAGACCTTTCCAGACCCAAACCACAAAATTCGTAGGGGTTGCTGGGATTCTGCCGGAAATCGATGCATTGATGTGATTGTGCCAATCAATATCACATAGTACCTAGTACTTGTGAAAACAATGAGAAAGATTATAAAAATCTATCGTTAAAAGCCTAGAGAACACAGTACTACACTCTATCTATATTATCGATCCTAAGGGGCGGTATAGTACATATCAAGATTCAAGAGCTCACTACGCCGAGGTAGACGGCATCGCCTTGTACCCTATTGTTCCTGAATGTGTAAATGTATGGTAGATTTGACCATGATAGCACGGTCCTTAATAGACCTGTATTATTAGCCAGACACACATACCCGGAGTGTGGATCCGAGCGCGACATCTCCACTTATGCGTGAATCTGTCCAGATTTCACAACAATGTGGGCCTGAAGCTCCCGATCGGTGCATCGTGATTGCTGAAAGACGAAGACCAGTGACACATGCAATCCATTTTCGTCTAGTGTGACGCTGTCTCAGACCCGATAGCTATTCAAGCTGATGCCTGTACAGGATACCTTGCCTCAGGTGCATCGACAATGCGATAGCCGTCGGAGTTCCTGAATCCTACCCGCTGGCTTTTCAATGGTGTATGGTAGACTACATACCTACCTAATCCCCTTCTATGGATTTAGGGGACCATTCAATAATATATTAATGCTTTGGTAGTAGTAGAAAGAAGCAATAATCAGTCTTCTGTCTCATTAGTATCTGTAGTCTGTCTTTAGAAGTCTTGCTTACGTATCCTTCCTTCGTTGACGGGTATGCTACCCCGATTCCCCGCATATTGACAGAAACCTCGTTATAAGCAATTAATTGAGCCAGCAGTTTAAACTGCTTACCACAGAGAATTGCTTAGATCGAATTTCCTATATATATATATATATATTTAGTTCATCCGGGAATTTGAAGTACTTTGATAGTTATACAGGCTGCACACATATTCTTCGCAACAGTATGCAAGGGATGGCGCTACGGGCTGAGCAATACTAGTACATGACAAGACGCGGTGTAACCATTGAGGGCTTAAAATAATCACATGTCCATCTCCAGGACTGGTATTAAACCTCCCTCGCTAATAGCTACTTTCCTTGTCACCTAGCAATTCAAAATAGATCATGTCACAACCCTGGCCTATCCGCAATCGAGATGTGGAAAACCAAGTATGAGAATTACTAATCCCCACTCAGTAACATTGAGATACTAACCCTCATGTACCTCTATGGCAGTCTTCATTGTACCTGATATCTACTAATTCAAAGACGAGCATCACGCATCAGCACACCTCGCAGAAATCTCGGCCAGGCGTCACTGCCGCCATACCAACATCAATAAAGCTCTGCGTTCTCGCTCTTCTGTCGCTATTGTTGATCGCCAGTCATCCGCCCAACTCCAATACTTGGCCCTTCAATTCTTTCCAGCGCAATCACGATACCAACAGTGCGTCGCATAGCAAATCTGCCCCCGGGAAGCTGGGGGCTGTTGCGAGTGAGAACTCTATCTGCTCTCAACATGGAGTGGAGATATTGCGCATGGGTGGTAATGCGGCAGATGCTGTGAGTGCAGGCCTCAGGGCTCGGAGAAATTTATTGGTGACTATTGCCGCTGATGCAATTAAGTAGTTAGTTGCGACCGAGCTTTGTGTTGGTGTAGTTGGTAAGAACACATCCGGTCAACCTTTTGAAAGAGCAGAAATGGCCAACAAAGAATAGCCATGTACCACAGTGGGATCGGTGGAGGTGGGATCATGCTAGTCAGGACACCGCACAGGAGCTACGAGGTTATCGATTTCAGAGAGACCGCTCCAGCTGCAGCGTTCAAGGATATGTATGAACATAACAAAAATGCCTCTGTCTATGGTGGACTGGCAAGGTAAGATATTCATAAGATTTCCCACGATATGTGAGCACAATTAAAACTGTTCTAGCGGCGTACCAGGCGAGATTCGGGGTCTTGAATACCTTCACAGCAAGTACGGTGTTCTTCCGTGGTCGACTGTCGTACAACCAGCTGTTCAAACAGCTCGTCACGGGTTTCCTGTGGGAGAGGATCTTATCAGATATATGAATCATGTTGCTGGTGACGAGGACCTTTTTACCAACAACCCTACATGGGCGATCGACTTCGCTCCAGATGGAACCCGACTGAAGCTGGGCGACACAATGACTCGGCACCGATATGCGGATACTCTGGAAGCAATTGCGAAATATGGCTCCAGAGCATTCTACTCGGGGCGTCTTGCGGAGACTATGGTCAATGCTCTACAGAATGAGAACGGTACAATGACGCTTGAAGATCTAGAAAACTACACTGTGGCTATTCGGAATATCTCACAGATCGACTATCGTGGGTATAAGATCACAAGCACATCGGCTCCTTCGAGCGGAGTTATCGCCTTGTATATTCTTAAAGTTCTCGAGACATATAAGGATCTCTTCCGCACGGAACAGTCTGTGAGCCTAAGTACTCATCGCATGAATGAGGCGATCCGATTTGGATATGGTAGAGTAAGGGCCTTGGTGTGGAATTCCTTCAGTGTGAATATTCGCTGATAAAAGTCTCAGCGAACCTACCTAGGTGATCCCTTGTTTATTGATGATATGGCTACGTATGAATCGCAGACTCTTGCCCAATCTATGATCGACGCCACTCGATCTAAGATCTCGGATCATCGAACTCAGAATATATCAGCTTATGATCCAGCCGGGTTAGAAAGCCCGGAGACGTAAGTTCGACATCACTCTATATTACTTCTGATTGTTGACTAAACTCGATCTTACTATCAGCCATGGAACCTCACATATTGTAGCAGTTGACAATACTGGCCTTGCAATTTCTTCGATATCTACGATCAACCATGTCTTTGGCAGTTATGTTATGGTCCCAGAGACTGGTATCATCATGAACAATGAAATGAATGGTAAATTCTAATAAGCACCCTCAATTACCGTTAGGGGGGCTCCGTTTCCTTTTCTTTTTTTAAATGAAAGAGAGGGAAAGAGGAGAGAGAGAGAGAGAGAGAAGTCCTTTTTAGTTAACTTTGTCCTTTCCACAGACTTCTCTATCCCTGGATCATCAGATCTATTTGGATATATTCCCTCCGAAACAAATTACGTCTGTGCTGGCAAACGTCCACTTTCGTCTATCACACCAGTGATAGTAGAACGACCCAATGGTACACTAGTCTTGATTACAGGATCTGCAGGTGGCAGTCGTATCATTACCGCCACTGTCCAGAATGTTATCCATTCTATTGACGAAGGACTCTCAGCTGCCGACGCACTGGCTAAACCGCGACTGCATGACCAGCTGGTGCCAAACCGGGTCACCTTCGAGTACAACTATGACAACGGTACAGTTGCCTTCATGGAAAGTCTTGGCCATAACGTTTCTTGGGTTGCACCTGGACAAAGTAATGCTCAACTCGTTAGAGTCTCGCCCAATGGGACATTTGATGCTGCCGGTGAGCCGAGACTGGTCAGTTCGGCTGGATACTCAATATAGTATAATTATATAGAGCAGGTTAGGACGGCGTACTACGGCACATACTACAGTATGCTTACGACGCATAGACCAGACATAAAAAGAGAAATACTGCCAATTGCATTTTCCACAGACTGTGACGGAAGTTCCTGTACGAGAGAAGTGCAGTGAAGCTAATCAATAATTAGCTCTGCTATCAATTATTCTTTCGTATCTGAATTTCAAACCCACTCAAGCCAGTGGTTTATAGTCTGTTGGTATAGTCTCTAAGTCATCGGAAATCTTCTATGCTTGTCTTGAATAGTATCTTCATGTAGGCTCTAGGGATCTAGCCTTTCTCTTCTATAAGAGATTGAGCCTTGCTTTGGCCCTATCACGCGCGGAGAAAAAGGCGTATGACCTATAGGCAGATATTCGTTTCTAGCCTGAAGGTAAAGAGGCAGTCATTTCGCGGAGAGAATACAGATATAAGCAGTGAATTCCTGCTGCTTTTACTAGGGTAGTGAGAAAGATAGTCTCCTTCAGGCTTCGAATTTTCCCACTTTAAAGTGTGTCCTCGAATGAGCTACAAGGTCTATTTTCAACTAAAAAAGCTCTGACTCTCAAGATGTGAACATCAATGATATAAGTTTTCAAATGGGGCGCGACATGAGGTAACATGAGAGACACTTAGCCAAGCTGACCAACCCTGAGAATACCTTTTTATATATACTCAAAATTAATTATAAATCTATATAACTCGACTAGATATCTATATTTCTCTGCTACTCTCTATAAAAATATGTTATTTATAGATATAAATATATAACTGAAAGAAAAATAATATATAGATAAAGCAGAGAAGAATATTTAGAAAAATTAACGAGACTTGATAACAATATCGATTTTTTTTATTCATTAATATACTGCTTCTCTGTAGACTATGTGAGCTCAATTACAGTAATAACAATTACTATATAGTATTATATAGCTTAAGTACGGCTGAGCAGACGGGAAGCCCTGTTCTCCACACCCCTATGGTCGTATGTACTTGCTTGCCCTAAGTAGTGGATGGTATAGTGTACCTTACATATCTTCAATTGAGGAGGATAACCAAAACAGGGAGACGGAGAAGGAAGGAGGAAGTATGAGAAGGGCAGTCGAAGGTCGGCTCATATCCGAACGTCTCCGGCAAATGCTGTGGACGGCGATTATCAACTTTCACTCCTATCTACCAGTCAACATATCTACCGCCGGAAGTGTCGGCTCGATCTAACAAGGGCAATATTCTTCATCCCGTTAGCCTTCTTCGCCGCGGGTTTCGACGTAGTCTGCCCTTATCCCATTTCTCAGCACCTGTATAAACAAAACCAGTTCATCCACGAAGTCAGAGATCTCAAAGCAGCCAGCAAGACTAATGCAGGAAAGGGCAAACAGCCGCCGTTGAACCCAGCGCCTCCACCGACCAGCGGATGGCAATGTTTGGTCAAAGCCAGCCTCCATTATGGGACCGTTAAGCAAACGGATACTACCTAAGATCACCAGGGGTCTTTAGTTCGCCCCGCAAGAAAGGGGCACTTAGGGCTTTTTACTTAATCCACAGGCAAGGCGGATGTGCATTTTTCATTGGTCAAAGAGCTCCACTTCCAACGCCCCCAATGAAAATCTCCACTGAACAAGCAAATACCCAAGCATTTTTGTGTGGGAAATGGAAGTGCATGGGGCTTTTGTTAGCTTTGCGAGTCAAGAAGGTTGGTGATGCTACTGGTACACTTCTTGTTGCGCCATCTTCATCGCTTCGAATTTTATATCAAGTAAGCAATTCGGAAATGGCGGTAGAAGTTTGGCGGGTATTCTGCTATGCTGGAGTCGGTGGTGGGTGGCAAGTTGGACGATGTATTTTTGGAATCTAGTTCCTAGTGAGGACGATGTAACGTGGGTTCCAATAGCTTGGAATATTTCTAGTATTGCTGTTCTAGGAACGGACATCGCACCCGATATATTGACCGGAAGGCAGGCACCGGAAGGCCCGGAAACGACAGGGTAAGAACCTGTGTAGGGTTATGGATAACAACAGTTTTACTGCCGAGAAAAGAGATTTCGCGATGGACTATAATTAGACCAGCCCGATTAGTAGGATCGAGTATAAGTTATGTAATGCGTATATTGGACATTCAAATCATAGTCAGGATATCATTAACTAAGCACATCGCAATAGGGTTATCATCATAAATCAAATCATATCTAAAAACCAAACGCCACTGAAGATGGCATCTACGACCATATGCATTAAAAACAGCCGCGTGCGTCATGAAAGTCATCATCTATAGGAACCCCTCTAGGACATTAATAATAGACGAGCGCTTCTCGGGATTATTCAAGAGCTCATCCACAGCCCGACTGGTCAACAGATCAGTCACGCCCTTGTCGGACCCCCCGAGTAAACTGCTGAGTAAACCGCCGCCGCTATCCGAGTCCGAGTTATTCGTGAGGTTCGAGAAAATGTTGTTTCCGTTGTCGGGGCGGAGCAGGCCACGTAGCGTGTTCGTGATTAGGCCGCCGAGGGGCACTTGCGCCGTCATGGTTAGGTTTCTCATTACTTCGGTGTAGTAGGGGACCTCGACGCCGTCGTAGACGACGGACTTGCCGACGGTGTCAAGAGTCAGGTAGCCGTTCTTGAGGGAGCTGGCCTGGGTCTGCAGGATTGGTCCGATGTTCTTGAGCAAGACCCTGAGGTCCATGATGCCGTGGACGGGGGATGAGTGGTTGCCTGGTTTGAGGACGAGGTTGTCAATGGTTGCGTTGCCGATGACGAGGTCTCCACTCTTGAGTTCGAGGATTGTTGTTCCCTATTTCCATTAGTAAGTCTCTATTGACTTTCGGTGGGATGTGACGTACGATTTCCAAGGTCATGACCGAAGGGTTGGGCAAGGTGGCGTTGGCAATTAGGTTGGTCCCGTCTTCCCTCGGAGGGAGAAGGAGTTGTGGGTCTGCGATCGAGAAGCCAGAGAACGAGTCGAGGGCTGGAACGTTGGTTAGTCTATTCTTGGAGTATGGGTCATCGAGAACATACTGTTTTGCTTCACGTCCTTATCCATGGTGATGTGATTCTTCAGCTTGCCGAGATATGCCGTGGTTTTGCCGTGGAGCGATAGCGGAGCGTTTTTCTCGAAGACCACGCTGTGGACGTACTCCTTCCATTGCTCTACATTCAACGGGGTGAATTGGTTGTCGACTCCTAGGGTGGTGTTCCCTGAGATCGTGGCGCCGTCAAGGTAGACCTTGGCCCAGGTCCCGTTGCCCTTATTCTTGCGGTTGAATAGACTGATCGCTATGGGCTCGATGCGAACCGGAACGCCGATGGGCAGCTTCAGGGCGGTCTTCAAGCTAAGCATGATCGAATCCGGCCGCGGCTGCATGACGCTGGTCTCGGTGACCACGAGTGACGAATTGTCGACAACCCTTTGGGCAATGGCGGGGATAATGACAGTGAAGCTGCAAAAATTAGTCAATCTGAAACGTACTTGGACGAAAGTGGAGCACCTACAAAACGGGCAAGAAAACGGCCAGGAAGATAATGCTCCAAAAAATGTAGCAACACCAAAATCGGGCCCAATGACGGCGTGCTCGCTCAGCCCTTGTCTTCTCCCTTTTCTCTAACGAGATGGTGTTTGCCGTCTCGACATGCTCGATTGTGCAGCCGTCGCCATCGTCCTGGGGGAGAGGCCCACGATGGACCCCTAGGGCATATTTCGCCGCTTTGGAGCCGAGATAATGTTGCTTCTCTTCCATGGCTATGCCCAGTCGCTGTCCACGGGTAGCAGGGGTGGACACGTCGAACTTGTCGGGGGGTGTGAAAATATATGGTCGAGGCGTGTATGATTTAATATATGGCCACTGAGTAAATTAACGTTACGATGTCTTATCCTATTTTTTTTCGCCTTCGGGGGTTCGAACACCAAGGGGTAGATTCCGGAGTAAGCCCGGTTTCGACCTTGGTATGGTCTCTCCGCATGGATCGACAATGCGACGCTGTCGATCGCAGCGAGCGGCGCGTCGGGGCCAATGATGACGACCTCATTTTAGACACACGAGTTCACATGCGGAAGTTGGATGAGGATCGGCACGAACTATTGAGAAACCGCGGTTGTTAGCAGGGGACCTAAGCTTCGGGACAGGTGGTGGATCCACCAGCTCCAGACGCATTAAACTTGGGTGCGGATTTATTGCCTCATTGAGATGCGGGGAAAGTGAGTAAAACAAGAGCGTCACTGGGGCCTGATGTGCATGATAAAACGCAAAGACAGGCAAATTGATGTATGACAAGCCTGTGGAGGCGAGGTCGTCGTACTCCAGACCCATGTGTGTTGTTGTCGTGAGTCGTCGGTGATCCTGTAACCCTAAGTCATCCATCGCGCAACCACCCGCGATATCCCGTACAAATCCTACGATCTTCAACGAGAAAAAGCCACACCTCCCCCTTTATTCTCCATCAAACGTACAGCCATCATGTCGTTCGATGAGAAGAAATCCCCAGACCAGATTTCCCAGACACCATCGGTCTCGTCCGATTCGAGTCGTCTGGAGGCCCTCGATCAACTTGAAATCCTCCCCCAGATCCTGCAAGAAGGCATTCTATTTGCTGGATCAGGATCCGCTTTACTACTCCAGGCGGCCTTCCCCGGAATCCGGAATCGAACTAGTGATACCCATCATGCCAGCAACGGCCACAGCAGCAACCTGGCGACAGAGTTAGGGGACGCCCTCCAGGCGAATCTCAGCTACATCGCCTGCCTGGTGTTCGGCACGCGAGAAGAAAAGAAGACCCTGTTGGACCTCATCAACCAAGGCCAACCGCCTCTTCGCGGGAGTGAAAACTTCTCCTCCCACCGACCGACCCAGCTCTGGGTCGCAGCGACGCTCTACGCGACCGCGACCGATTTCTACCAGCGTGTCTACGGCCTCGTCAACTACACCACAGCCGAGAAGGCTTACGCAGAGTTTACAGTCCTCATGCATGCCATGGGCCTACCATCGGGTACTTGGCCCGAGAACCGACAGGCATTCTGGAAGTACTGGGACGACCAGATCGAGCAGTTGAGCGTGACCGCAGACGCACACAAGTTTGCTCAGGACCTTCTGAACCGCAACGATTATCCCCGCTGGGTATCAGTTATGAAACCGTTTTTGCGGGTCCTTACGATTGAGATGTTACCCCCGCGCATTAGAGAGGCTTACGGGCTTAAGTCGACATTTAGTACCCGGGGTCTGTATCGGACCACTATGGGATTGTCGGTAGCAGTGTACCCTGCACTGCCGACCTCTACACGGGGATATCCACTGCGCTATTATTTGCAAGAATTACGAAAGCATATGAACGTCGTGTAGTTACTTGGTGCTTGTTTTCCCTTATCTTTTGTCGTAGTGCATGCACCCATGTCATCCAACCGTGCTCGGGGAATTATCTGAATGAGATTAATGAGACAAACTAGAGTGAAAAAATCTCTACCATACACGTGCTTCAGGATCTAGTTCGTTAATATAACTAACCTCCGGATTAATAATGCGCTAAAAGTCTTGTTTTGGGCTTGAAATCCCTGTCGATTTTAATTTGAGAGATAAGGCCGAAATGTACCATGCGCGGCACATTACAGGGATACGAAACTAGACCCGGATTATTAATCTTTTTATTCTTATCCTTTTACGAACAAAAGAAAGGGAAGGAAGCCGAGGAAGAGAAGGAAAGGGACCATTTCATGTATCTAGATCGCTATATGAACAAGATTAAAGGAACAAGAACAAGTCATCCAGACATCCATCTAGGCACGTAGGACACCACTTGCATGAGAACATAAAAGCCTATGATAACCGTCTAGGCATCAAAGTGCTGATTTCGTAGCATCATTAAATCAAGGATCCGAGAAGTCCCGCCAAAAGTTTCGAAACGTTATCCACGAGCTAAAAAATTATCAGCATTCACCTATAATCATGGGTTCGGCACTAGCTTACCGGTGACGCAGCGTCAATAAGAGTTGTGGTCTCGTTGACAAACTTGGGAGTCAAAAGATTATCGGCATTGTCAACGAGAGCCTGTAGTTTATCGATGTTCCCGCTCGAAAGGAGTTTCTGTAGGTTCTTCGGAGTGTCTCCGCCGAGAAGGACTGCACCGCCCTTGACGATAGTTTGGAGGTCATTGATAGTGTCTGTGCTCAGGAGGCCTTTGACCGCGTCGAGAAGCGCAGGCAGCTCCGAGAGGAGACCACCTTCTGGCATAGGAGCTGCTACCGGGTTCGGCCTGGGAGTAGCCAGGGCGAGAGGGGCAGCAAAAACAAGGTACTTGAAGAAGCGCATTTTTGCACTGGTAGAATGATATTCAGGGTCTGAACGAATGACTTTCGGAGTGTATGAGATTTGGAAGAGAGATGTTGATCTGTGGAAAAGATCACCGACTACTGCGGTCGTCCAAACTTATATGTAGCTATGGAGTCTGGCAAACTTGTTTTTTTTTCTTCTTTTCTATGAATACGAAACAAAGGCAACCCCGCCTGCACCTTAATCTCTGGCGTCCCAAATTTCTAGCTGGTGACCCATATTAAAGCCTAGACGGGGAGGATATGCTACCTAAAATTGTGTCCCTGTCTGGATGGCAAATACTACACACGGCTGGACCTAGCCTCTGATTCGACAGGTGTTAGTTATGTTCCAACCCTGGTCTGGACTTTGAGATCGCCGATTGCCTTTTTGCCCTGCTCATCGTTTCGCGTTGATGCCCGTTTTCTGCTTGGGCCCGAGGCTCAAGTAGGTTATTCCCGCTGGGAGAATCCAACTCTTACGGAAGGAAAACCCTCTCCATGTGAATTTGCCTCTGCACCGGTTGGCATGAGTCAATGGCTGTTATACCCCTCCTTCGCTACCAAATCAATATACGAATTAATCTTCGCAAGGATTTGGCGATAGCATCATTCGGGGCTGGGCAAGAACTGGAGACTCCAGACGACCCCGCAAAGGATTAGGGCTTCGCTAACTGCTGCAACTGTCGATCCCTTTCGGGGAATACCCCTCAGCTCGCCCAATCAGAGCCTACCATTGATACAGCATCGCGACGCTTTCCTCTTTCGCTCTCGGGCCGAGAGATACATGTGATACTTTGATCTAACCGTGAACCCTGATCGATCTCCAATGTTGGTGGTGAAAATACCCTCACCCACCATTGCACTGAGATTCGATATCGATTCGTGTCAACGGTGGAGTCCAATCGGAACCGATAACCCCAGCTAATTTTAGCAGCTTCCCCCATATCGAATAGTATGGGGTAGTGGTACCCGATCGAAGAGGCCCGTTCGGAGTCGATATCCGCTTTCATATGATCCTAGGTACATACTAATCATCTATCAGGTACAGCAAGGCCGGCCGAAACAGATTAATGTCCCACTCCGTATCCCCACCCGAAGCTTGTTTAGTCTGTGCTTGCAGCCGGTCTGTCGTATTCCCACTGGGTCAATTAATCTAATACGACACTAATTACAGGGACCACAAACGCCACCGCCAGGGTTGCAGTTGAACTACTCTGGGAGAGACCCCAAAAACATTCGTCATTTCCATAGCTTATCATTTCACTTCGGTCATAAGTTCATGTCGATCACAGCGCCAATGCTACCCCGAGCACCCCCAAGGCCCCCATTCCGCCCAGCACCAACCCGCCCGTCGGCTGCGCTCTTGCCGCGGCCATTCCTGATGATGTTGTGGACGATGCGCCACCGTCCTTCGTGCTCTCGGCCGTAGCCTTCGCAGGGGCGTACTTGCCCGTCGTCGCTGTCAATGCCCCGTCGGCCATTTCCTTCTTCACCTCGGCCATGTAGCTCTTGACGTCACTGGGGAGCGCAAGGTACCAGGAGGGGGTGTGCCCGGCATCGATCTCGCTGGCGAGCGCGCTTCGCTGAGCGGGAACCACCAGCTGAGCCAGCGCCGAGGGGGGGCACGTTCTTCATGATCTCCGGGATAAGGGAACGTGGAGGCGGAGAAATGTTATCCAAGTTGGCAGACCCTGTCGGCATCGTAAGCGTGATGGATTTTCTGTCTATATTAGTACACCAATCCTCGTAGACCTCAAACAGCAAAGACATACAGGGCTTGGCCAAGCGAAGACCAATTGACGGCATCGGCCGAATCAGTCGTCGTCGGAGCAGCATCGTCGTCGCGCTTTTCGGGCGCTGCCAGCACCGTAGCAGAAAGGGCAGCGAGCAACCACGCGAACTTCATTTTTGCGACCTTGTTTGATAGACAAAGGGACTGGGGGTGGAAACGAGATGCGATGAGACAATGGGCGACTGGGGAAAGTTAAATAGTTGAACCGGGTCTTTCATGTGCCTGGCAGGGCGGAGAAATAGTACTAGTAATTCGTCTTATGCGAAAAGTTCACTTGTACCCGAGATCCGGTGTGGAGAGTTAGTTGTCTGGATGATCGTCGCTGAGCCGAGTAATGTCCTAACTTTCGCCCTGACCCTACCAAAGTCTGGCATCCGCTCGCTGTTCCTATTTTTCAGTGTACGTTGTTTCATCCTCTGTAGCGACCCAACCGTCGTCTGAGTCTGTGACATGGAGTGTTGGAGTTTTTTTTTGTATGTGTAGCGTGTGCCTGTTTTTTGGACTCTTGGACGTGATGGCTTCTTTCTGTTTCATTGATAAAGGGGTCGTTTCCCTATAGAATCAATATGCGATCGTTGGAGTTGTTATTCTCACGCGAAATGGACTTTTTCCCCTTCCTGGTGTTCTATATGTGGTTTGAATATGCAGCAGATGCAACCAAGCACGTTCCTGCTTCGATCCGCAAGTCAAGCTCCAGAAGGTAGAGTAAACCCAATCCACTTGACCAAGCTACTAGTAGTGATAGAACGCTAGAGCTAACAGATCTACAGTAGCTCTCAAAAGCAGAAGAAAACTAAAAAGAGATTGTCGAAGCTACTTGCATGATTTCGACGCCTAGGGCCGAGACGCGATTTACAGGAAACAGTGCAGAACCAGAACATTTCATTCTCGAAAGCACCAACGCTAGTTAAGTTCCGCGGCCCGAGAGCTTCTGGTCGCTGTGCGTATAAACCGGGGAAGCGATGCGTGGAATAGTGATCGTCGGCTGGTCCGATTACTTATAATCACCGAAAGTCCACGTATGCATTCTCCCTTACCATCTTATGCAATACGCTAATGGCCTTCTAGATTTGCGTCGCTTTCGAACCATAAACAATTTGATATCCTACCTGGCTATGGAAAAGACATTTGTTGAAGTAGGATCAAAACACGGGGCCAAGTCGGGTTTCCATGAGATGGTGGTGTTTCATTGGAAGAGGATATGGAATCAATGGAGGAGCCAATCCAGCTCTGACCTGGAAATAAGTCGAGTCCAGGTCAGCCTGAGGTGCCATGGGGTACATAATCCAGGGATGGTTATTCGCCAACGCCCTTGTGCATCCCAATAGACATGATATTTGTAACGCGTTCAAGAATATCTATTGTTAGGTGGAGATAAAAGGTAGAGTGCCAACCAAACCATGCAGGTGATTCTCAATTGTCCACAGTCTTGAACTGAAGATTGCCGTGCTTCGCAAGAGCAAGAGTCAGTCTGCTACCCGAAACACACTCCGCTTGCATCACCCTAGTTATTACTATAATAGGAACACCTTTGTCAAAGTTCCTAATATGCTTCATGAACTCCAGGATTGTTTTGCCTGTGTTGACAACCTAGTCCAGCAAACGAACCCAGTAGTCAAATTAACTGTACGATACAGTCGTGACCATGGGAACAAGCATAGAAGTTTGCTTGCGTCCATCACTTATAGCCCCCGCCTCCTAGACGTAAGCGGATGAATGTGGTCGAGAGGAACACTTGGATGAGAAATGGGTCGGTATCGCATGCACAGTTCACCACGTTCTCCATCAAAAAAAAGAGTCAACGGCCTTGCTGTAGGAATCAGTCTATCGTGCCGCGATTCCATTAGGTCCTGATTTCAGCATATTCCGCGGGGCGATATGGACGAACAATGGAGCAAAGTCCGAACAGAACATCCATGGCATTGCACCTCCCTCACCCGAGTCCTTGAAGAGTTGCAGCTCAATACAAACAATCTCCGAAAGTCTTCTGCCTGTAACCACGACTTCTCTGCAATTTCTATTAACTGAGCAATATGTTCGATTACCAGCGCCTAGCTCCAATCATTTCACTTTGAGCCTTTTGATGACCCAGGAGCCCATGATCGGCTGTGGTATGGATTTCTGAAGTGCAATAGGTCAAAACCGTCTCGGTACTTATCGTGCTCCTCCACCGTATCGCCATTATTGGATTCATTGACTTCCTTGATTGCAGCGACTAGTTGGTTCTCGTTTGTCCATTTATCAACACAAGTATAGTGTATCCTCAAACACATAACTGAGGACATGGCATTGTGGGGTTCAATAGTGGGTTAACCCTCTCAGTCTACCTGTCTGGTTCAGGAACACTGTGTCGAGCGGCTCTGTATATCCTCTTCGTATCGGTTGTGGAGTCTGGAACTGTGTGAAGAATCACCAGCAGTATCGAGCGCAGATAATAGAATACTGCAGACAAGACCGCGAGCTAGGTAAGAAGGTGGTGGCTAAGTAGTTTCCCAGGCTCAGCATGGCCGGCTTGGCTGTCATAGTAGAGTATGTTGTGTAGGGCTAGAGCTTAATATTGGTTGCCTAATTATGTTTGATGCAGTTTATAGACAGCAGATGACTAGACAGCCTATTTCAGAACGCTTATCTGCGCGGTTGACGGGATCGTAATTATTGGGGGACCAGCTCAATCAAGGAGTCGTTCTTCTCGGTCCAGGCGTATAAATTAACGGTGTTGTCATGTCGGATGGGACTTTAAAGCTATCGCTGCTGGCCGCTGGTGATGACGGGTCTGATGCATGACCTGATCAAAAGTAGCGCCAAGTTGCAGTGGATCGTTGCCTTCGTTACGAAGACGCTTGGCAAGGACGAAAAGCTTGTTATCCTATCCAAGTACCCGGTCCTCGCCATAATAGTCTATCTAGTATGCACCCCTCTACAGATCTCCCTTGACTTTCCCGTGGTACTGATCCCTTGCCTGTCGCAGGTATTGCGTTCAAAGTTTCCTTCCAGATACCCGGTTCTAGTTTTAGCTACCTATCCGCGGCGAGACGATACAATCGAGGCTTTCCAGACCCTCGCAGCGGGTGAGACCTATAATGGGAAGCTGTCACCAGGGATTCTTATCGGGACAACCGGGATATTCGGGATCGGTGTCACCTTAACGAGGGCACATCAAATGATTCTATTTGAGCCGTGCCTGGGAAACGGAGAGGAATTGCAAGCTAGCCGTAGGATCAACAGGATCGGCCAGAAGAGTGACACCACCATTGTGCACCGTTTGATAACCAATGTAGACTGCGAAAATGCCCTTTTGCTACGTCGTCAGCACCGACATCGATTGCATACTAACCCAGACACCGCCGCTGCCGGGTCGAGTACGGCACGTCCTATAGAAGTCTAGCTATCTTCGGCATTACCTAGACCTTTCCGGTGGTGGAATATGGTTGACCGGCTATCCGGAATCAAGTGATAGAACCAGCATCAGGGCGTCGATTCAAAGGGTGTGTCTTTCTGGACAGCAGCAGAATTCATTGGCACACTATGCTTTGTTATCCTATCTCCACTTCACCAGCCATCGGTACAAAGTAATAAAGACGTATAAATCAAGATACACCGGCATAGGATTGTGCTGAGATCTCCAAAGTAATAAGGTCCAGTGGGTAGATAATAAGTACGCACACTGTGAAATAGCCCCTCCAAGTCATGTATTGACAATGAATGCCGAAGGCTGTGTATCTGGCCATAGTGGCAAGAGGGCATCGAAGGTGTGAATGTGCGCTTATGCGTGTCGAATAACTCTCGTGTGGGTTCGTGTCAAAGCTTGGCAAAGAGATGGAAAGGTCACCCTACTGGCTGCCACATCGTAAGAGAAAAGGTTGTGAAAAGGCTGGCCTCGTCGGTAATATATAATCCATGACCCCCACCACATGATGCCTTTCGCTCAACGGACGAGGCAACGCCTCCCAGAGTTGCGCTATTCAGCGGAGACAACAACAGAATCCTTAGTTTGGAGTTGACCATCATGTGTGCTGTATAAGAAACTCGCTCTGAGTTTGTCGCCCGTTATGGGTGAAGCTTTGCCGAAAGGAATGAACAACAGCATAAGCCAGGCGATATCTCCTTGTCCTTCTATCCTATCCGAATAACCTGTTGATTGCGAGGAATGACGTTGGAGAGTCGACGGTATTGCGATAGCCTGAGCTGTTCCACACAAGGGTGTTATCAAAAGAATGAAAGAAAAGTTGACAGACACCCTTGAATTCCTCATCCATATATATAGGCACCTAAAGGGGTACCCAAAGCAACCACGTGATCCACGCACAATAATAAGCAACACTTTGTACGGTAGTTTTACCTTTCCAGTCAAGAATTCAACCTTTTATCAAGGTACTTAGTTTCTTCTCTCCACCACAAAGTGGGCATTGGCTGTGTAGAAGATAAACGACTGATCGCGATGGTGTCCTGTCCTTGGGCAACAGGCCTTGATGGGAGTGAGTGGCCTTCCCTCATTCGAGAAGATTGACCGCAGTATGACTTGAGTCTTGACTTCATGGCTTTGTCCATGGATTTGCTTCTCGTTTGGGTTTCATGGACTCGGTTCTCCATCGACTGTGTGGTGTGAGAATATATATATATGTAGGTGAGAATGCTGTTCTGTGCTTCTCAGTTCCCTGAGTGAAAGGTCTACTTCATTGGCCCACAAGAATAGGCTGTGTAGTGGTTCCAATGGAATTTTCACGTTGCGTGTAGACATCGTATTCGCCTGCCCAGTTGTGGGCGCGAGGTACACATCGCCTTGATTAACATAGTCGTCCCTTCATCTAACAAGTGCTTATGTGGTGTGGGGGTCATGGTAATAAAAAGCTGTGGTAACCATCGGACATGTCAAAGAAGGACTGATGGAAAAGAATGAAAAGAAGAAGAGACAGATGTGGTGAACAAAGGAATGGCATGTGGAATCTGTATCAGAGCCGTCGAGAAGGACGAATTTATATCTTGTCTGACGGTTTGATGAGTCACGATTCTCTCGGCATCTGCCATATTCACGAAGGCTTTGTTTGAAAGGTACAGTCATTCTCTGCTTCATCCTGAGGCCAACCAGTGCTTACAGGTGACAGACAACAGTGACGGTTAACGCCACCAATACAGGAGTGGTTGGTAGAAACCGTAAAGCAATGCACATTATATATCTATAATACAGTAAATGACTTGAGTGGCCACGAAAGGAATCCGGTTGTTAACTGAGATTGAATAATATTAGAGAGTTCTTTCGGAGTAAGCCGAACATCAGACTAAGACACTTGTTCAATGAATGAACTCTGTTATCTCACAAAAGAAAAAAGAAATTCTGCAAACAGTCACAGCACCGAGCGTAGCTTACTTTGAACTGATCACTGACTGACAATAACTTGAATGATCACGGTTACTTTGACAACCTCGATCCAACCAAAGAATAAGGAAATACTGGGCAAGGCGAAAGTTAGAAAAGGACGGTCTATTAAGACCTATTCAAGTCGACCCAACAAAAGAAACTGCCCCTCCCTTTGTTATGTAAAAGAAGCTTCTTTGTATTCAGATATCCAAGGTGCGGATTATACAAGGGCATGATATGTTTCCGCCCCAGTCTAAGATAAGGGGGATATCTCTGGGTAAGGGAAATAATAGACTCAAAGATCTATTGACACCCATGGATGGAGGTTTGGCACCACCTTTTACCGCAACGCATCCACTGCCGTTCACTAAGAGGCGGGGGTATGAAGGAGCATACTTGGTACCTTTCGGTCAGATTGGGGGTAGTTCAGAGGATGGTGAGAACGAACATCTTGCGAAGTATTTAAGGGGTACGAGCGAACGAGTCTTCAATGATGTCCTCAACCCAGGCCTGTGCATGTATTTATGCTACCTTATAAGAGGTAGAGAACAAATACTCGACAACGATTATGGACCTACTAGGAGTAGGAAGAAGGTGTTAAAAGAAGTTCATCAATTCCATCAAGTATAATACATCTCAAGTCATAAAAGTTACATCCCATAACCATCAAACTCCCTGACGAAGCGATATCAACCCAGTCGCAGTGGTATCACAAATAACGCTTGAAAGTCTCGTTTAAGCATGCTTCTGCATATCAAGCTCAGCACCCCTCTGCTTAACCTTGCCCTCATCATGAACCTGAGTCCACTTAGCCTCCTCACTGCGATCGCCAGTAGCAGCAGCAGCGACCTTTCCAAGACCACCCTGCAAGCGATCGGCAGCACCCTCACCGAAATCCTTCAGCTGTCCCTCCGCCTCGGCACCCTTACCACGCAGGTTCTGGTCTTCGCCCTGCTTGCGCAGGTTCTCGTTGCCGATCAGATTGCCCAGGGACTCCTTCGCGGAACCGACAGTCTGATCCCAGGCGCCGGTGGAGCGCTGTTCATGGTCCTTGGCTATCGCGCCAGTGTTAGGGTCGGCAGAGAAGGGGCCTAGCTTAGCGGTGGTGTGGCTGGCGTCATGTTCGGCGGCAGCCTTCTGCTGGGAGGCATCGCCTTCGGCCTGTGTTTGTGAGTCTATGCTTGTTGGTGGTACTGAAGGAGTTGTGGTAGTAGGTACCTTGGTAGCGGAGTTACCAGTCACGGCACCGACGGCGCTCTGGACCATGCCAGTGGCAGAGTCGACGTAGGACTTGAGAGTGGAAGCACCGTTGTCAGACATTATGGTGGTTGTGTAGTAGAAGGTGTTGTTTGTGAGGTAGGTGAAGAATTGATAGAGTGTGAATTCCGATTGTGTTTGCTTGTTCGTAAGAATTGCTGTTGTTGATGATGATCTGGACAAGCCAAGATGGCTGTTTATATAGGGTTGTTCCTGAACTCTGGACTTTTGGTTCCTGAGGCCCAATGATATCATATGACGTCATCGTATCGATGACGCACTACCGCGACGTCATGGGCGTTTTTCGTAGCCAGGATGGACATCAATTCACTGTACTCGATATGCTAGACATTGACTCTGACATTCAATTGCCATTGGGCCCACAGCTCATCGTGGATAGGAATAGTTCATTGTGGATAAACTCCGGGGGGGATGTCTAGAAACTTCGGGACAGGAACTTGGAGGCATCTCACGTGATGACTTCTATAGTAGCATTGAAGTGTACAAGAGAGAGACGATCGAGACAAACATGACGACAAGGTAGGCTGTGCAGGCCTGCTTAGGATAACACCATTTGTGGGCTCTAAATCTGTCGAGCTATCAAGGAATGTCGTAGTCTCAGAGAAGATAATTGATCCTGTTTTACGAGTCACCAGTGCAATCGTTTGGCGTTACAAATATTGTGTACGGTGAGTATTCTAGAAAGGAGGGAATAAAAGAATACAATCACTTTTCCATATTTCACACACTGCAGATGTATGCTGTTAAGTATAAAATCGTGAGAAGCACATTCTATCAGCATGAGAAGACATCATTCATCATCATGATCCACAACAGAAGGAAAAGACAGACAAACAAAGAGCATCTAACCAAAATCATTACAGAGCTCTAATCGAGAGAAACAAAAGAGACCCTAAATGCAATCATCACAGTCATGCAATAATCATCATAATCGTCGTTGTCATCATCGTCAAAACATGGTATACGTAATCCAAAAGATGGTCAGGCCCCATATACTAGACCATAATCAAGGCCTCTCCTGAGCAACGGGCTTCCTCGGGCTATCAATAAACAGCCCGAGAGTCCCGAGACAGTCGTCCAAACTGGCCGAATAATCCCAGGTCTCCGGGTCCAACCCATCGTGCCCATTAACAGCGAGCTGAGCTTGCTCCAACCAGTAATCCCAGGCTTCTGTATCCGGTGCGATACGTCCAGTCTTCACCCACCTAGTCGATCTAGTCGACTTAATCGCATTCCACAGCGCCTTTCGAAAGCTCCGGTCGTCCCCCGGCGCCGGAAAAACAGGCGCGACCTCCTCAATGTGAAGTGCCGAGTAGTCCCAGTGTAATTTCTCCGGCAATGCCGCAACCATCCAGTACGCGGCATTGAGCAACAGATATGACGCACCGAAAGCGACTTGCATGCGTGCTCCCGAGTTTCCGAGCGCAATAACTCCGAACATAAGCATCATGGTTCCGAGGAGGGCGAGGGAGCGATACCACGTTCCCGAGAGGAGGTAGTTGCATCGTTCAGGCGCGAAGAAGAGCGGTCGGGCGACCGTTTCGTCACACTCCACAATTATGAAAGCACCGTTCGGGTAGCAGATGATCACGTCGCCGGACGGGATATCGTCTCGGCCCGTTACACGTTTCCCGAGCTTCAGGGACCATTTGCACATAAGGCCGAGGAGGGATGAAAGGCACGAGAGGAGGATGGTCGCTACCAGCGCCCATCCGTCATTGAAATGGATCGAGAGGCCCAACAGCGCGATGGACATGGCACAGCCGATGGCGGCGAGTAGGGAGAGTAGGCTGAAGGCTCGAGCCGAGATCAGTGCATCTGACGGGTTCCCTCCATCTTTGATCGTGATTCGATAATGGCGGACCGTGTAATCGGAGCCGCTTTTCATCGACTCATCCCCGGGCAGGATGATATGGGGAATGCGGTAGACGTGAGGCCGGCAATTTCCAGAGCGAATGCCTAGTACGGTGCCTGGAACATCATCTAGACGGAGCGGTCGCGACGGTCTCATAAACGCCTGGGGTGCGGGCATGAGGCGTGGGAGGAAGGTGAAGGCGGATAACGTTGAGACTTGGTAGTTCACCGACACGGAGCCCTCGCCCAAAATGGCGAGGAAACCGACGATGTCGAGGTGAAAATCTTCGAAACTGTCATTGAAGAACATGACGGGCTGTGTTTTGCCAGGCAAACGAAGGTGACATGCGGGTACGCTCGAGATATTTCAAGGATACGACCCACTGTGAGGTTGTGTCACTTTCTCCGCAACTCAACAGAGTTGCCCGTCCGTTTTTATTTTCATCTGGCGAGGCTGAAACTCTTCCCCGTGGAGCTCATTATTGGCCAGAACGCTCGAGCGCATAAGCGCTTGAAACTTGCAAAGACATCATTGGCAGATTGTGGTTCCTTTGCGCTGGGGCCAAGTGAGGGACTTCTTAGGGCTCGTTGATTGGAGGTGGAAAAAGTAGCTGCATATGGGGCTGAAAGCGAAGTCTCTAAGCCAATGGTTCCCACCCAAGGGATAATGATTTGCGGGCCGGTCCTTTTAGTGGATTCGTACCGTTGGGCATCGATTGTTCATCCAGCAGGTGTCATGATACAAGGCTTTTTCATCGGGCGCATTCGCCCTTCCATATCACCGTCGGATCTATTTGGTTTCTTAGCTTATGGCAAGTGGATGGACGTCAGGGATTCACTTACAGTCTCTGGAAAAGGCATGATTGCATAAATCCATTTGTGTCTGCCTAAACCACTGGCTAGTGGTTGAAAACTTCCTGTTGTTATGCAGTTCTTGGAGCTGCGCCATGGGTATTTGCCACATACCAGCGCTCATTCAGCCTGATCATTGTCCTTCCTCCCGGATCAAGCCCTAGAATTGAACTTGAGATAAAACATGCGTTTCACCGATTTCAGGGTCGCGGCAAAGGCACATAGATTGCCCCGCCAGTCCGCATCCTATTCAACCTGATGGAAGTATGTTAAGCGCCTGGTTCTAGAAATAAGAGGATGTATCTACGTTGTACAAACCCTTTTTCTGGGCCATCGATGGTAGTCGGGAGTCGTCACAGTGATCGCTCTTTGAATCCTGCAGCGGCCATAAAAATAATGTATAGCCCTGAGAGAACATAACGGTGGGCGCAGCCTACTAGCTTCACTTATCTGGGGTGACCCTGGTTGTTGGGGCTGAGTGTTGAATCTGATCTTTGACTTGACGTAATTTAGGCAACCCCATAATTGAAACACAGCACATCTTCTTCTTCTTCTTCTTTTACTGGGTGACCTGCACGGTCTTTGTATGAGCAGAAAAGTGTCATGAGAAATCAATAGAAGTATTATAACTCGAGAGTAAGATAATATCGGGAATTGGCCATTGCTAGCGACTCTTCGCCGCATACTTTTGCTTTGCTGCAGATGCAAGTCGTATATAGTTGTTCCAGCGATACACGCGCCTGTCAACTAATGTCCCACATAAACATGTGTATATGACTGTCATCACCTTTCGGGGTATATTTCTGCCTACGAAGTCTAGAACGAAGACGTCCAATGAGCCGTGACATGCACAAGGCCGTCCAATTCGAAATAGGAGACCTGATCAGATCCGCAGGGTCATGGATAACCGCCGATTCTCGGAACGGATCAGATAAGATAAACAGTCCCGTTCGGAGATTCGACGGAGACTCCATCAGTCGACCCGGAGTAAACACGAATTTCCCGTCCCCCGGACATAAGTACAAACAAACGTTCGGGCAAGATAAGCGAAAGAATACGATGGTCTCACCTTCGGTGGACGGATGTTTCATCAATCCGAGCCCCGAAAGCCATCACCGACTCTTAAAACCTAGCATTCATCCTCCCTGACAACTAGAGTTGGCGATGGAGACACGGGTCTAAGCACTACACGGGATGACGCCAATAGTCCTGTCACCATGCTAGCCAAATTGCTACTTTTCTGTAGACTCTTCGGTCCTATCTTCGGCCAGATATTCGCCAGCTTGAGAGAGGCGGTTGCCACCCGCTTACACCGGCTCACGTACCGCGCTGTGGAGCATCCGCGCAACGTTGTCGTTATTGGCGCTTCTTTCGCTGGATATCACGCGGCTAAATGTCTTGCTAGTTCGCTCCCAACTGGGTATCGGGTTGTGGTTGTTGAGAAGAATACGCATTTCCAGTTGACTTGGGTTTTGCCACGGTTTAGCGTGGTGAATGGCCACGAACATAAGGCCTTCATACCTTATGGGCCTTACCTTGATCGGGTTCCGGAAGGCTCTTATCAATGGGTTCGTGATCGTGTTGAGCGTATTGTACCTGGTGACAATGGACATACTGGACAGGTAGAACTTGCATCTGGCGAGAAGGTGGAATTCGATTACTTGGTGCTTGCGACTGGGGCGTCGGGAGCACTTCCATCGCGAGTGCCAGCCGGCACCAAACAGGAAGGGATAGAAGAGCTACTTGCTGAGCAGGAAAAGCTCCGAGCTGCCACGAACGTGATCATTGTTGGTGGTGGAGCTGCGGGTATTGAGCTCGTGGCAGATGTGAAGTCGCAATATCCTGAGAAGAATGCCACGTTAGTTCATTCCCGGACGACATTGCTGAGTCGGTTTGGTCCTCGGATCGGAGAAAGGGCATTGCGAGCGCTTGAAGAGCTAGGTGTGAGGACTATAATGGGTGAACGAGTGCTCAGCGACAGTGCAGAGGAGGGCAATGTCAAGCTGAGCTCAGGCGAAACTCTCGCGTGTGATTACTTGGTACGCGTCTTGCACCTACATCCTTGAGTGCTTGCTAATTTTCCAGGTGAAATGTGTGGGCCAACGTCCCAACTCGAGGCTAATACAAGCTCTGTCACCTGAATCGATCTCTGAGACAGGTCATGTGAAAGTTCGCCCTACACTTCAAATATCAGACATGTCGCTCAACCATATCTATGCCGCCGGGGATGTGGTAGATATGGACAATATCAAGAATGGTCGAGCAGCGGTACAGCAGGCGCAGTCTGTCGCACAGAATATCGTACGCTCCATCAGGTCGCAGAATCAACTAGAATATCGCCCGCAGTGGTGGGAGGGAATGACGAAACTGCACGTAGGGCTGGTAAGTCGCTTGTTTGTTGCTCATTCATATCATGCACAAACTGACACCATAAAGGGGAAAGCTTTGGTTTGGATGGGCGACGGTTCGGCCGAAATAATCATGTCTGTAAAGTGCCGAGCGGAAGAGTTGGACAGCGCAAAGGTGTGGAAGTTTTTCGGGGTGAAGCCATACACGGATGTCGGATATGATCTGAGAAGGGATGGAATATAAGCTATACTTCCCAACCGCTGTCCAGTGTGCTGCCAGATATTGCCATGATATGGGTCAAACCGGGGTGGTAACCAATCCTGATTTGGTCATTCCAAGCTCCAGGAACCCAGTCGCATACAGAGGTTTTGCACGAACCACCCCCCGCTGCACAGCCAATCTGAAGGCAACCGAGAAGGCTTCTCTCAAAGAGCCTTCTGGGTCGCTCCCTGCCGAGACGGGATGTGTGTGTACGAGTCTCATGGCGAGACGATGAAACGATAGTCGATTTGGTTGCCCTACTCGAATCAATCGATAATACAGACATCGTATGCTACATCCAGTTCGGACTGACATCTTTACCTCGTACTGAGGATTTTCCGATGATGCTTGTAAAAGCGGCAAATGTTACACTCCAGGCGTCAAACTTCTTTTAGAAAGATCTAGCCTTGTGGTTTCTAGGTTTCTACCGATTACATTGAAGAACAACCTAGCGACGCACGACGCGTTTAATACATCACACGGGCACAGTGTGCTCCGAGATTGTCGACCTGCCTAGAGGTTATCATCAACCTCGTCTATACTGTAATGTCATGGCACATAGGGATTGCTGATCGTGAGGGACACAAATGTGACACGTCTCGACCGGTTCGTTACATACCGATGCATCATATCTCGCTTACTCGATATATGCATGCAAGGATTACGCGGAGATATTTTCCAGTTTACCTTTTAGAGTTGCATGTGTAATGTGGCCTGTAAACATTGCCCCTGGCTAAACCCCATCCCCACCCCTTGCATACTTCGCGTGTCCGCTACCAAAACAGAGAACGTTTTAAGAACTCTCTCCTGCATGTTGTATCCGAAGTAATCCTTGTCCCACCATATACGCAGTCTGGATGAGTGTACGAGTGTATGAAAATGTTTGGAAATAAATTTGATGTGAACGGCAAGGTCTTACACCCCCCCTATTGTCATCCATATATGCTAACAACTATCAGTTGGTAGTAGTGGCGGGGGGGTCGAAGGGGTTAGGCAAGGCAATAGCACTAGAACTGGCATCGAAAGGTACGATCTGATTTTCACTAGAAAAAGGCCTTTCATCATTATGCATCGTTCTCTATCATAGACATGGATCGGGCTCACAAGAACCAGGCGCCAATCTGCTCCTTCTCGCCCGGACGGAAAGTGCATTACAAGCTACGCAGCATGAAGTCGAAGCCGCATGTGTCTCGTCAAAACAGATTGTCGATACACGGTCGGTTGATCTGACCAAACCTGATGAAGTATATCCTCTTCGTACATGCCGACTTTTGCTCATCCTGGCTAAGTAAACAGATATCTAGAGCCTTACGACACTACCACCCGCCTGACATCCTTGTCTGCACAGCGGGGGGCACTCCCAACCAGGTCGGCTTTCTCGCCGATGTCCCTCCCGAAGCTCTCACCTCGTGCATGGAATCAAACTACTACACCACAATATTCGCCGTCCAATGCTGCTTGAAACTATGGCTCGTTACCCCGCAGACGCCCTCCCCCAGACATATTATCCTCACATCCTCGACCGCCGCTTTCCTCGGGCTACCGGGTTACATAGCATACACCCCTACCAAGGTAGCTATTCGCGCGTTGGCTGATACCCTTCGTCAAGAACTGCTTCTTTACGGAAAAGATGCGTTTAAAGTCCATTGCTGTTTTCCTGGATCATTCCTATCGGAGTCCTTTTTCCAGGAGCAAGAACACAAACCCGGGCTTACAAAGGTCCTCGAGGGAACCAGTATGTCTCAGGAGGAACTGGAGCGCAAGATACCCGGTGCCCGAGAGGTCGCGAGGAAGATTGTTCGGGGCTTGGAGAAGGGGAAGACGTACATCTCAGTCGACTTCCAGACGGAGCTTCTGCTGAATAATATGCGTGGGCCGAGTCCGCGGTTTTGGACGGTGTGTGATTTCATGCTGGGATTGTTAGCGTCCTTCGTATGGTGGGTTTTCCGTATCGATTTTGATGCGAAGACCACAAGGTATGGGGCGGCGAGGAATGCAAGAGATAGTCGGGTTTAATATTAAGTCTGCAGTGTCCCAAATGAAGCTTTGGGCCACGTAGATCACTACATACTGATATGCACTACTATAGCCAGGTCAAACGGCCTGGGGCATCTAATATCTAATAATGACAACTTCGAAAATCGTGAGCCAGTGCTGGTTGTTGGAAACGTCGTCTCCCGATTATCCAGTATTCCTCCCTCGTTTGGGTATCCACTGGTTGCATCCATGAATGATAGGTCCTGTGGTAAAAAGCGCATTTATAATCAATCTTAGCTCATGATTATCCTAAGTGTTACTTGAAGTAGAGCAATCATTACGTGAGAAATCCATATTTGCTGTTAATGAACTATAAATTTGACAATAATACAAGAACCAGCCAATTGCAGTAGAGTGCTGTAGATCACTGGCCAATAGGAAGCCATAAAAGTCCTATCGGCCTCGGCACCTAAGCCGAGCATTTGTCAGCCGTGATTTTCGGGCATTCCCAAAAAGGATTCCACGCGGTTTATCATATCGAAGCTATAAATCGCCATGAGTGCACCCACGATGACCGTTATCCGACAGGGCAAACTATCCTCGTTCTCTCCTCACAATCATATACCAAGATAGCCACAATGGGATCCATATCTTCGACGTCCCCTTCTGTGGTCCAAGCTGACAGCACCCCCTACTTCACCCCCGCCAACAATGCAGGCGCCGCTGTTAACCCCGACGACCCCAATACTCCCACCCTCTTCAAACCCTTGCACATCCGCGATGTGGCCCTCAGAACCGCATCATTGTGTCCCCCATGTGCATGTACTCCGCCGAGTCGAACCCCGCCTCCCCCTTCGTCGGCGCCCTGACCGACTACCACATCGCACACCTGGGCCAATTCGCGCTAAAAGGTGCCGGCTTGGTCTTCGTCGAGGCACAAGCCGTCCAGCCCAATGGACGTATCTCGCCCCACGACGCCGGTCTTTGGCAGGAGGGAACCGACTCCGAACAATTCAAAGGTCTCCAACGTATCGTCCAATTCTCCCATAGCCAGGGTGCCAAGGTGGCCGTTCAGTTGGCCCACGCCGGTCGGAAAGCCAGTGTGTTACCCCCATGGGTAGCATCGCAAGCCGGGAAACACAGTGTTCGGGCCGATGAGAGCGTCTTCGGGTGGCCAAAGGACGTGGTCGGCCCTAGTGGCGGTGAAGAAAATATCTGGGACTCCGTGGAGGGCACATACTGGGCTCCCCGGGCATTGAACACAGCGGAGATCAAGGAGGTGGTCCAAGCGTTTGCGAAGAGCGCAGAACTGGCGGTGAAGGCCGGTGTCGATGTCATCGAGATCCATGCGGCACACGGATACTTGTTGAATCAGTTCCTGAGCCCCGCGACCAACAAGCGTACCGATGAGTACGGTGGTAGCTTCGAGAACCGTGTTCGCATTGTCCGTGAGGTTGCGACTGCCATCCGTGCTGTCATCCCGAAGGGCATGCCGGTGTTCCTCCGCATCAGTGCGACTGATTGGCTTGAGGGTCAACCTGTGGCTGCCGAGTCGGGCAGCTGGGATCTAGAGAGCTCTCTCCGTTTAGCCGAGATCTTGCCGGAATTGGGCATTGATTTGGTCGATGTTAGTTCGGGCGGAGTTCATAAGGACCAGAAGATTAAACTGGGTCCTGGCTACCAGGTGGATTTGGCCGGGGAGCTGAGAAACGCGATCCGGAAAGCTGGCGCATCAACCCTGGTGGGAGGTGTGGGATTGATCACTGAGGCAGAACAGGCGCAGAGCATCGTTCAGGGTGCCGATGAAGCGCAGCAGGCTGAGGCCATCGTGACGGCCAAGGCAGATGTTGTTCTCTTAGCGCGTCAGTTCCTGAGAGAACCTGAATGGGTCATTATCACGGCGAAGAAATTAGGCGTCAAGGTGACACGCCCACATCAGTTCTGGCGAGCACTGTAGATAAAAATATGGCCATGGAGGATATGTATAGATGAACACAATAGAACGAATGTGATTTGGATTATGATCTGCAATTGAGTTTTTGAATCGATTCACTTCGGTTAATTCCGGCTCAAGCGGGGGACTCCGGAG